TTAAGATGTTCGATACTCTAGTTTTTCCAATATTGCTTTACTCATGTGAGATATGGGGCTTTGAAAATGTAAATATAATAGAAAGAGTACATCTTCAGTTCTGTAAACGTTTGCTGAATGTAAGGAAAAGCACTGCCTCCTTTATGGTGTATGCAGAAATAGCGCGTTTCCCTGTGTTATATGACATAAAACTCAGAACAATTTTCTTTTGGCATAAATTGATAACATGTAATGAAAAACTGTCCAGTACATTGTATAACTTGATGTTCAGACTACACGAAAATAATGTTGTTAAATTTAAATATATTTCTTTTGTACTGAATATACTAAATGAATCAGGCTATGTATGAACCTTACAATGAGAGTATCTACCTGGTTTACCAGAGCTGAAAGTTATTCTTAAACAGAATTTACATGATCAATTCATTCAAAGTGATATAGTGAAATAAATAATGCTTCAAGGGGAAATGTGTATGTCTTATACAAAAAGAATTTCGGTTGTGAAACCTATTTATCGAAAATGAGTCCTTAAAATAGGAAATTACTTTGTAAATTAAGAACTTCCAACATGCCCTTGCCAGTAGAAACTGGTAGGTGGACAGGTATTAGAAGAGAGGACAGGTTATGTCCCCTTTGTAACAATGGCGTAAGTGATGATATAATATCATTATTTATATTGTGTGAAAATCCAGCGATACAAACTAATAGGAGAAAGTTCATACCTAATTATTATACTATTTACTCTAATATGACAAAGTTCAAAGGGTTACTGACTATATGTAATGTAAACAGGCTCAGAAGATTGTGCTGTTTTTTGCTTGCTCTTGAGGGGATCTTGAAGGCGATATAATTATCTGGTTGTATTTCCTTGGATGATCTCCCCTTGATTAGGCGAGATCAGCCTATCAGCTGAGTCTGTAGTATCCCGTCTGTTAGCTTATAATTCGCTACACCGTTGTACTCCTGCCATGTAACAGATATATAAATTGTGACCTCTTGATTCACACGTCAGTGTGACTGAGCGAAATAAAATCTCTCAATAACAAATGCAATAGGATTCATTATCTTGTATCACAATACCCTATAGCCGGTCATTTTCGCGGATACGATGTTTTATATATATGAACGTGATCGCGACAATTTTAATCCGTGAAATAATTAGACATGTGTGAATCCAAAGTCCTTTAAATTGCGATCGTGAATTTTATACTTCATTGAAATATAATCGTTTTGGAAGCAAATCGCAAAAAATTCGATGCGTGGAAATAACCATTTCATACAGTACTTATAACTGCTATTACATGTAGCTGCTTTCAAACTAGAAAACATTGGAGTATGATCAGAAGACTCATTCCAATTCTAACTCTGCAATTTTCAACAATGGCGATATAATCATCATAGGCAAGATTATAACACTTAAGTTTAAAGCATTGAAAATGTAAATTTACCGTCAGTATCTCCTGGTTTCCGACCACTCAAAAAATCGAAACCAGTAACAGTACCTAAAAGGTCATAATCTTTCAGTCAATCTTTCAGTCTTTTTGCCTTTGTTCCATGATAGGACTGACAGATCACTTTCTTCAATATCACATCTGTTGTACTGTGAGCCAGGATGATAAGGGGATGAACCCCAAGATCTCTGAGTATTTCTATTGGTTTGTCTGTCTGTAATAAGTTTAATTTGCACTTTCAGTACATATGTACAACAACACATCCACACCCACACTTGTCTGGCTACGTCCCTGCCCATTCTGACGTCATCCCTCTCAGATCTTTGTCATGTTTATATACTTCTTGCCAGGTAACTAACTCAGTAGATCGATGCTGTGTCAAAGCAAATATTATATCTCTACGAAAAGTCTCTTTGGGTGTGCATTAGGTCTACCATCTTTAGCTAAGTCATGTAGATACACGAAGGCACATATGCATGGTAACATTCAATGATTATTTCACAAACCACACCCAAGCATTTTGCTAATTTTTCATTATCTTCAAAATAACTTTGATTTAAAAGCAGGACAAACGGTGACAAAAAAATCACTGCGTAGAAACTTGCAATATTTATATACAGTCTTTACTTTTATGGATATGTATTATTTCAGAACAGGTGCGTTGAGGATATCTTTCGCCACAAGCAATTTCTGTAACAGGTACCTATTGTTCTTGGGTTAACTGTCGAAGACTGGTGAATGCGTCACAGAAAAATGTCCGCTCGTTTGCTTTTAAGATTCCATTACAACCTTGAAAGTACTTTACTCGGGAGATTCTCCGATTCATTATGCCCACACGATCGAATTCGAAGACCGGTGGCCGAGAGTGCGGTACGACCGTCAGACAAATACGACAGGTGAGTACTGCTGACAAACTCTGGTGAAAGAGTCGTGCTGACTCTGAATCCCCAGGCAGCACAGTGTTTCGACGAGCGCTGTAAAACCTTAATTCAATTGACATGTCTGAATTTAGTGAAAGGTTTTAACATGCGTTTGAAAGATCTTCTACTGCCAAAGGTCTGCGAACTTGAACGAAAAGGATGGAATAAAATGGACGAATAACCATTGCGAAAGTATGAAGTACGTACAAAGCAGACGGTTCATTGGCGTAGAAGCCACCGATCTGGTGTTCCAACAACACCAATGTACCATTGTGTCTGATAGCTTGAAGCCAAACTTTAACATTTCTGGATAGAATTATGTATATTTGGCAAAGTGGACGTAATCCCCGGAGTATCGAGGATGTAGTGATTGTAACCCCTGGAGTGACGAGAATGTAGATATCGTAACCCCTGGAGTGTCGAGGATGTAGTGATCGTAACCCCTGGAGTGTCGAGGATTTAGTGATCGTAACCTCTGGAGTGTCGAGGATGTAGTGATCGTAACCCCTGGAGTGTCGAGAATGTAGAGATTGTAACCCCTGGAGTGTCGAGGATGTAGAGATTGTAACCCCTGGAGTATCGAGGATGTAGTGATCGTAACCCCTGGAGTGTCAAGGATGTAGAGATTGTAATCCCTGGAGTACCAATGATGTAGTGATCGTAACCCCTGGAGTGTCGAGAATGTAGCGATTGTAACCCCTGGAGTGTCGAGGATGTAGAGATTGTAACCCCTGGAGTGTCAAGGATGTAGTGATCGTAACCCCTGGAGTGTCGAGAATGTAGAGATTGTAACCCCTGGAGTGTCGAGGATGTAGAGATTGTAACCCCTGGAGTGTCAAGGATGTAGTGATCGTAACCCCTGGAGTGTCGAGGATGTAGTGATCGTAACCCCTGGAGTGTCGAGGATGTAGTGATCGTAACCCCTGGAGTATCGAGGATGTAGTGATCGTAACCCCTGGAGTGTCGAGAATGTAGAGATTGTAACCCCTGGAGTGTCGAGAATGTAGAGATTGTAACCCCTGGAGTATCGAGGATGTAGTAATTGTAACCCCTGGAGTGTCAAGGATGTAGAGATTGTAACCCTGGAGTGTCGAGGATGTAGTGATTGTAACCCCTGGAGTGTCGAGGATGTAGTGATCGTAACCCCTGGAGTGTCAAGGATGTAGAGATTGTAACCCCTGGAGTGTCGAGGATGTAGAGGTAATGTAGAGATTGTAATAACCCCTGGAGTGTCGAGAATGTAGAGAGTAACCCCTGGAGTATCGAGGATGTAGTAATTGTAACCCCTGGAGTGTCAAGGATGTAGAGATTGTAACCCTGGAGTGTCGAGGATGTAGTGATTGTAACCCCTGGAGTGTCGAGGATGTAGTGATCGTAACCCCTGGAGTGTCAAGGATGTAGAGATTGTAATCCCTGGAGTGTCGAGGATGTAGAGATTGTAATCCCTGGAGTACCAATGATGTAGTGATCGTAACCCTGGAGTGTCGAGGATGTAGTGATTGTAACCCCTGGAGTGTCGAGGATGTAGTGATTGTAACCCCCTGGAGTGTCGAGGATGTAGTGATCGTAACCCCTGGAGTGTCAAGGATGTAGAGATTGTAATCCCTGGAGTGTCGAGGATGTAGAGATTGTAATCCCTGGAGTACCAATGATGTAGTGATCGTAACCCCTGGAGTGTCGAGGATGTAGAGATTGTAACCCCTGGAGTGTCGAGGATGTAGTGATCGTAACCCCTGGAGTGTCAAGGATGTAGAGATTGTAATCCCTGGAGTGTCGAGGATGTAGAGATTGTAATCCCTGGAGTAGCGCGTGATGCAAATGCGTTTAGTGTTATCTGTCTGTTCATACCTACATTGTAAGTAGACACCCCCCCCCCCCCCCACCGAGATGCTAAATTATGACTTGTGTATATTGTATGTGGAAAATGGAATCTTAAAATTCATCTGTATTTGCGAGGTATGGAAATATATATCTTATACGGTATTGTAAACAAAATTAAACGTGTAACTATCGGTATTTTGCATTCTGGCCCGAAATATTTCTGGAGTAAATAAAATGATTGCAAACAGACTTTCATATGAAATGAAAAGAAAAATAATTTAAAAAAAAAACCGTCAATATTGATTAACAACATAGTGAATTATATTCATTAAATTCTGTCCTGTAAATCATAGTCCATATGAAATGAACCCATTAAAGTGTGTCCCTTTAAAAACAAAAGTCGTACACTTAAAACATTTAAATGCTCAATCCTGTCCGATTTTGTAATACGTCTTGCAGGTCCTAGGCGATCCGAATATATACCTGTAAAACTATCACTTTTCGATCGCTTTCTGTTCCATTAATTCGTTAAAATAAGCACATGGAAACATTAAAACGGTGCGATTCCATCCCTATTTTGCCAAATCTTGTAACTCATCCTTTGATTCTGTCAGATCCTGCCCGATCCTATAATCGTCTCACCCACATGACGGTTAAAAAAGCTTATTACTATACGGACGAGGACCCCATTTATCGCCTGTATTATCCCGATGAAAGACTGTATCAGGCCTATCTCACCGAAGAAGTAATTTAGACAGATAGCATTTTAGGCGTCAGATCGCTTTCGATTCGTACAGACTCAGAAAATATGGCTTCCTTTCAAGCAGGAACTGCTGTTGCTCCATCTTCACAAGTTGAAATTAGCGTCGCATGCAAGTATGTTTCGTCAGTTTCTCTCACACTTGGCTTTGAGAAATCTCGACACTTTAATGGTAGCACAGTCGAATCAACGTAGCCAATTTACTGTGCAGCTGATATACATAATTTAAAGTTGTCTCAAGGTATATTATCATGTTTGATTAACATTAGTTCAGTCCTATTCTTAAGGCGCAGGTGCTTTTGGACATGTGGTAGTTATGGAAATATTTTGGGTTAGCAGAATAATGTTTCGGGCTACCAGCCCTGTGCTAGTGCAACGAAAAAATGATACCCCTGATTAAATACTGGGAAATATGGTAAGTTGAAGGAGAACAACACAGTTTAACGTCCAGTTCAAGTTCTTTAACAACTATACACTTGTGGATTGTTCAAATCAGTTTGGACATCATGAACAGTAGTGGTGTCAGCTCCGATCAGGTATAAAATATTTGATTGTAGCTCTGCCCTCTATTTTTTTCAGAAACCTTCGGGACAAAGATGCTTTCTCCAAATCAGATCCAGTTGTTGTTGTTTTCACAAAAGATGTTCGAACAAATTCATATTATGAGGTAAGGTCAAATTCAGCAATGTTGATATAATCTAATGTTGAACCATTCAAGTATAACGAGTAGATTTTGAGCTCACCTAGTCTGAATGACAAATGAGCTCATGGTATGACACAACATCCCTCATCCTTCCATCAACTTTTTCTTGAAATCACTTACAAGCCATATACGACCAAATATTGTCAGAAGCATCCTTTTATAAAATAGAAACTGAAAATTGATATGAAGTGAAACATTTGAGATTTTTGTGACTCCAGGGACACAGACACTTAACACAGGCAAGTTTGAATAGTGATAAAAGAGATAACATCCTGAAGTAAAAGTGTCTTTCATAAAATCATTTCTTTTCAAATTGTGAAAATAGAGAGTCTAGAACCTGGGGGGGTCTGATGGGCAAGGATTAGTACAAGAAATTAAGTAATTTCCTTAAAATCCATCTTCTTCCATAGGAATGACTGGGAATTTGTCAAAATTTACCATAATCAGAAGGATCTATTGGTAATTGGGATTCAGTTTTGTATAAATGGTGGGTCAGACCCCCTGGAGCCTGAGGGATATATAGGGCCTAATTATGAATTATAACAAATTCTTACAAATCTTCCTCTGTAGGAATGACATGTCCAAATATGGTCAGAAAACTCCCTCGGGGAAATGGACAATTTTATGAAAAGAGTGTCTGAGGCATAGGGGTTGTGCCCTAATAAGGGAAATAGAGATAAAGATTTAAAGCCTTCTTCTTTTGTGAATTCTTTACAATCCTCTTCTTCCATCATAGAAATGACAGGATTTCATCCAAGTTTGTTTTCAAAGATCCCTACATGAAGGGGACATTGGTATCCTCAGAGACAGAATAGTTAGGGTTTAATATGTGAAACAGATATTATTCTTCAGAATACTTTTTGAAACTCAGATGAATATCTATTGTCTCCATTGTGATGTCGTAACTTGATTCCATCATTTAATTTTCTAACAGTTAAATGAACATGAAATCATATAAAGTTATATGATATGGGTTTATTCTCACAAGGATAAGTAGCAAAACACATATTTTGTTAATTGCAAGTTTGAATTATCTCCAAATTACTGCAAATATTGATTGTTTTTCAATAAATGTAAGTTATCCATTAATTATGTTTCAGTTTGGAAGAAGTGAAATGATCAAGAATTGCCTCAATCCTCAATTTGTGAAGAAGTTCATCATGAACTACTTCTTTGAAGAAAGTCAAAAGCTGAAATTTGAAGTGTATGTATACATTATTCTTGTCATATTTTAAAATTTAAGCGTTTAATGTATTTACTTTGTCATCACAGTAAATGTACTTTCTTTGGGCAAATAATTATAAGTGCAATTTTGAATGCATGCATTCAATTTTCAAAAAGGTTAACATCATTACAATTTTCAGAGTAGTATTAATTCTGCTCCCAAATTTCTTGTGTTCCATGGTAACACTAAGAAACGTCACAAAATGACCAACTGTTTTATGGGTTTTTAACATTCCAGAACTATGTTTTTTTTTTAGCCTACTGTCAGCACTGAGCAAATGATCAAACATCCTGTAAATACCCAAAAAGGCATAGGAATGTGATGCATGCCTTCCTAGGAAGTCAATCAATATCTGAAAAAAACGTGTTTACCTATTATTATTAAAAAAAAACAGTCATTAAATAACCTCAGTTAGGCAATGTGTTTGCAAACAACAGTGATTGACAGATGAGTGATGCAGGCCTGTTGGGCCTCTTGTTACAAATATTTACTGAATCTTCAGTTGAAGATTTTCGGCTGAACAGGTTAATCAGATAATTGACACCCAGACTGAATTTACCTTGATACCTATGTTTTAGATTTGACCATTTTTATAATACATTACCTGGGTACATATTTGAGGTAATTTCTGTTTCAGGTATGATGTTGATTCTCCTAGCCAAAGACTAGATGCACATGTAAGTGTTCATTGTGATGAAGTTTTATCTAACAATTGTATTTAATGGCTTAATTTGTTCTACTTTAAATTCAGGGTGCCAACACAATTACTTCTTAATCTGACTCAAAGTAATGGACATTGAAAAAATAATTTGTAGTAAATGTTACTAAATACATGTAGCTTTTAATATAAATTGGTCTTTTACAAGGCATAGGCTTATTGTCACTAGATATATACCCTGTCACTTCAAAACTGGTGTTGTATGGTGATTTCACCGAAAATGTTTTGATATCAGAAAGATTTTTTCTTCTTTTAAAGACTTTTCCTCCTTTTTAAACAGGATTTCTTAGGGAGACTTGAATGTACCTTGGGAGAAATTGTTAGTGCCCTTGGTGGGAAACTCGAGAAGCCGATGACGTAAGTATGAAACTGATGGATGTGTGTGCTGTGAAATGTAATAAAATGTAACAAATAACAATAAACTTCTTTGTTAATTTATATAAGAAAGCATTCTGGTGATGGTATTGCCCTGAATCCACTGTCTGTCCATCGTTCATCCTTAAACATTTTCTGTCGTCACTTTTTCTTGGGATGTACAAAATGGATCTTTCAAATTTCATAAGAAAGTTTCCCTTGGTCCCTTAGTATGACCATTGGATTTGGGGACTGATCAGAAGAACAAAATGGCTGACAGGTGGCCATCTTGGATTTAGGCAGTGAAAGTTTGTTGTCCTATTTCTTGAGAAATAATGGTCTCAATTTTTTGTAAATCAAGGAGCTGCAGAGCGGCAAAGCCCAATATGAGAGTATAAAATCATTGTTTGTCTACTAGGATGAAAGGATTTGTTAAAATTTAGGCCTGTGCTTCATTGTTCTGCAAGTTTTGCGGAAAATAATACTAACAATAATAATAAATTTATTCAGGAAAGATTTGCACAAATGTATACAAAGCATGATAATAAAATACATGTTACATAGTACATAAGGTGAAAAATTGACATAAATAAAACATGCAACACCGGAACATAAAATTACAATAAAGACAGCTGATATATGTTAAACAAATCTATCCAAGGATAGCCCAAAAAGCGTAATAATATACGCTTATTTCTGTTGGGGTCCTTCAAAATGTAGATTAAAAAACCATTATCTGTCTCAATAGTAAGTATAATCACTGTTATGTTTCTCTTTCATTTTGTCTTGAAAGTGACGTTTTACTTGAGATTTGAATCTAACTTTTTTGGGTATTGTTTTTGTATTTTCTGGAAGTAGATTCCATTCTTTAGCTCCGACAAAACATATGCAACACTAAATGCAACACTTTAGCAGTGGAAAATGGTTTAGAAGTGAAAGTTGAATTATCCAGGTGAGAAATATAGACCCCATATCGTGATTAAAATCCAGTTTATCTGTGTATTGTTTTGATATAAAGATATTTATAAAAAAATGTAATGATACATGTAATTTGATTTTATTTCTGACCAGTGGTTTGAAAGGAACACCAGGACAAATTATAAGTAAGTAAATAATTCTGTGTGATATTTGTGTGTAACATTGGTACAAGTATGTATTATATAACAACAGCTGTGTGATATTTGTGTGTAACATTGGTACAAGTATGTATTATATAACAACAGCTGTGTGATATTTGTGTGTAACATTGGTACAAGTATGTATTATATAACAACAGCTGTGTGATATTTGTGTAACATTGGTATAAGTATGTATTATATAACAACAGCTGTGTGAAATTTGTGTGTAACATTGGTACAAGTATGTATTATATAACAACAGCTGTGTGAAATTAGTGTGTAACATTGGTACAAGTATGTATTATATAACAACAGCTGTGTGAAATTTGTGTGTAACATTGGTACAAGTATGTATTATATAACAACAGCTGTGTGAAATTAGTGTGTAACATTGGTACAAGTAGGTATGTATTATATAACAACAGCTGTGTGAAATTTGTGTGTAACATTGGTACAAGTATGTATTATATAACAACAGCTGTGTGAAATTAGTGTGTAACATTGGTACAAGTATGTATTATATAACAACAGCTGTGTGAAATTTGTGTGTAACATTGGTACAAGTAGGTATGTATTATATAACACCAGCTGTGTGATATTTGTGTGTAACATTGGTACAAGTAGGTATTATATAACACCAGCTGTGTGATAGAAAGTGGAACCTTTATGGGTTTTACGAATGGAATGAAAGAAGATATGAACCTTGATTCAAAGAACAAGAAAAGTAATTCTTTTCCTTATTGGATGAAGATATTTCATTAGCACTACTGGCTTACCTGTCACATGTAAGGATCTTTAAACTTCTTTATCTTTTAGGCAAAATATAACATTATATTTGTGAATAAAAATGTCAGTGACAGCTGTAAAAATTCAACCAAATTATTTTTTATTGATACACATCATTTGACTGGTCGAGTGCCTTTGGGTTTTGATCAGTCTTTAATTTCAGGTTTTCATTGTTACCATGGAAACAAATACTTAAAATCACTGATTTCAGCTTTTCAGACGAATATCTTAAAAACCTTTCAAGATAATTCCATGAATGTTCCTAAAGACATCAGTTGAGTGGTCTAGTAGTGTCTTCCAATATTGAGGAGTTTCCTACTTCTACTTTTCTACTTTTTATTTTTGTTGCCAAATGTCTTAAGTTGAACTAGGAGGGTTTACATGTGAAGTATGAATATGAAAGAATTCCCCTTTGAAAAGTTATGGAGAGTGATACAGAGATTTGTGAAAAAAAAATGTTTATTTTTGCATACTTAACCCCAAATATCATGGTTAGTAGAGTTGTAGATCACTCAGAGTGCTACAATCCTACTAGATTTTAGCAAAGTCTCTGATGCCATTTTAAACTGTATATTTTTTATTTTTACTGTTTATTAATTGTTACATTCTGAGGACCAATAAAGGATATGTCAGATTTGGATGGTAGAACAAAGCTAGATTTGCTAGATAAATAAACATAGACCTGTGGCCAGTACCTGCTCCCCCCCTAATTAACTGACCGAAATCACTAGAATATGTTGCACACTAGCCTGTTTTAATACTGTAGACATTCAGAGAATGTGAATCGAAGAGATTTTTCCCTTTTCTCATTCTATATGTATATCTATGGTTGGTAGAATTTGAAATTTGATTCTAAGAGTGATAGAACTGTATGTATAATAAAATGTTGATATTTTGTGTTTCAGTCAGGGCAGAAGAAATCAGCTCCTGCAAGGTAAACTAAGAAACCAATGTAATTGATGTTGGTTAGTGTGTGAGTCGGTAGGATTTTTACTGTATTATCATTTTTTTTTCGCAAATTGCGAAATTCAAGGAAAAAAATTCAATGTCAGAAAGAAATCTTGTGTACGGTATACCGAAAAATAACACTATTTATGTTGTATACCAAGTTCATTTCTTAGTAACTGTGAGAGAATTAGCATTAGAGCTATGTTTCTGTAATAAACGTCTATTGTATAGATATACCAAAATACACAGTAATAGATTTCTCATGTTTAGAATCTCAGGGGTAAAATTGCAGTTAAATCAGTGTCCTGATTGCAGAAGTCAAAACAGGATGAAATCTGCCTGTTTATTTGCTGTTATTGATCTCTACCAACAAAGTTGTTTTAAGTTTCAACAGACCTGCATATCATAAGGTATCCAGACAAGGGGGCTGGGAACCAAGGATCCACCTCTGCAATGTAAATTTAACTGAAGTAACACTGAGATGAAAAGTAATATCAAACATATCAGTTTACAAAGTATATTTTGTATGAAACATTAGACATACTTATGATGATAGAGGGACAATCACGTGATCAGGTTAGCTTTAAACATAAATAACTTTAAGGTGTTTTCTGTCTCTCTGCAGGAAAGTGTAACAATGCATTTCTGTGCTACCCATCTTGATAAAAAAGATTTTCTTGGCAAATCAGATCCTTTCCTTGTGTTCTACAGAGCTAATGAAGATAACAGGTAAGAGTGAAGCTGTGAAGGAAGGAACATGTACAAAATCATCAGTTACATCAATCTGATTAAGAATCATAGCTGAGATTTGAGATCCAAGAATTCAAAATTCCTGACACATTGTCTTATCTGCCTAAATTCATTTATGTGTAAATTTTAGTCTGAAATTTCTTTTCTACACACTTAAAAACTTCCTGATCTCAGTCGTATTTTTCCTCATTTTTAGTTATACAACAGTTCATAAGACAGAAGTTATCAAGAATACCCTCAATCCTACGTGGCGGCCGTTCACAATCCCAGCGAGAGCTCTTTGTAATGGAGACTATGACAGGTAAGGCAGATGGCTTTTAAGTTTATACATAAAAAAGATGGTCAACAGTGTTGGTAGTTTGGAAGTAGACATTAATCTTGTACGCCCAATACTGAAACTGAACACTAGTTTAATAGATCATATAGGGATATATTTTATATTGCTTACAAGTAACAATTCTGCCTCGTGATGTGGAGAGAGCAAATTATGTGAAACACTGTTGACTATTTTCCTATATACTTGGCAGGACTATTCATGAAATTGACGATAAGTTCTATAGTCACAGTATTATCTACAGTTGGACTAGAAAAACTCTATCATTCATCATCGCTGCACGGAAGTCGTTCAGCAATATTACTCAAGCAGGATTGCGGAATGGTTTTGATCACGGAGAATGAAAACCAAATCACCTCAGCTGTATAGTACATGCCCACATAGGAAAGAAAGAAAAAGTTATTTGAAAGTGGATGGCTGGGATAGAATACGAAAAGATCTTATACACTTTATCAATATTTTAACACAGCAACATATTTATGACTGTTACATACTATTTATCAAAATTAATTTTAAAATTTGGTATTTAGGGGAAGGGGGGAAAAGACGGACATAATTTTTATGTATTTTGTATTTTTCTTACAAATTATCCTATTAAAAAAACGGGACAAGGACGACATGATTTTGTGTAATTCTTGTATCTTTTGGTAAATCCTGAAGATTTTTTGGTTAGATTTATCATAATCCTTTCATTCTTTCTTTTTATGCAGGAACATCAGAGTGGAATGCTATGACTGGGATGGTGATGGAGGGTAGGTGATCTTTACAATGTATTTTATACAGTGAATATACACTTCAAATATTGTCTCATAGCCCTGTAGGTCTAGGAAATCAGAGATGGGCAACAGAAAAATGCATACATGTTAATCTAGATACTAAAGACAATTTCAAATCAAATATGAAAAATATATCTATAAAAGAAGGAGAACTGTACACTATTTATTTAGAATATTTGAGTTTTGTTTTTTCAAACTTAATGGAAATTATTATATTTTGTGATGAAATGTTCATATCTAATGAAAGCTTTGTTCCTGTATAGCAGCCATGACTTAATTGGTGAGTTTACCACCAACCTGCGAGAGATGACAAGGGGAGGAAGCTCCGGCAGCAGTTACCAGGTACAAAACAATCACTGTCATATAGAAGATTACTCTTCAAGTCTGGAGATACAAATTGAACATGACTTTTTTTTTTTTTTTATCAAACGCCGACTGAAATTACTGATCATTGAAAAACCTTAGTTAACATCTTGGTGTGAAAATTTCAGAACAGTAGTTGGTAACTTGAAAAGGAGATTGTGTGATGATGATGACGATGGGGTCGCAATTTTAACATGACTCACAAATCACATTGGTATAGAGTGGAATTTGTCAGATATATCGCTGTATTGTGAAATATATTAACTTATATTCATATGTTATGTTGTCATATGTTTTTATTCATTTATGTTTAACAAGCTCTATAATGTTCGGGTGTCTTTTAATCTTATGCCTGGAAATGATTTTATGTGATTTCATGCCTGACAATCTGATTCACAGCTTGGTATAAAATCTATAACATAGATGCAGTGTCATATATTTTGTTAAATGTTAAAAGACACATTGTTTCACTTTTGTTTGTAAAGCCGTTCACCAGAGAGGTATGTATCACACCTCCATTAGTCAGATCATTAGGTTATATTTTTAGCTTATATGGCATGTGACCTCATAGCATGGTGAAGGATCCGTCGTCTGTTATCCATCGGTCTTGAAACAATATTGTTGTGGTTGTGTCTTCAGAAGTCATGCAGGTTTCCCTTTGTCCCAAGTTGTGTCCATTTGATTTTGAGAAAGATTAGAAGAAAAAAAAATGACTTCTAGTAGTACCATTGTATTGTTGGGACAGCTCAGAAAAAAGAATTGCTAACAGCCAATCTTGTTTGATTTCTTTGAAAAGTTTGTTTCAGCTATTTCTTGATGTGCCTTTTCACCTGACCTGAGCCAAAGAACTGGAAACCTAATGCTTTAGCATGGCTTTCGACAGCATCTGTCTGTTGTCTGTCTGTCAACATTTTCTTAAAATTGCTACTAGTCATGGTCAACTGTTGAAATTTTTATAGAATTAATTCTATATTATTATTCTAAGTGTTTCTAGAATTAATTCTATATTATTATTCTAAGTGTCCTTGGGGAAGGAGAATCAATTTATATAAATTGAGGTTCTAGGCCTCCTGGTACCTGGAGGCGCAGGCTCAGAAGAGGTTCCATAACAATGTCTTTGAAATACTTCTTCTCTAGGAATGACAGGATTTTGTCCAAATTGATCTGAAGTATGAGATGAAGGGCGGTCATTTTTCTGTAATATGTTTAGAAGGTCTTAGGATTAAACGGAATCAACTTTTAGTAATTTGCAGGTTTTTGCCCCCTGCTACCAAATTGTGTACAAATGATTGACCTAGATTTTTTATAGGTTTATTGGAGTCAAAAATTTAAAAATTGACTTTAAAAACCAACAATGTCTTCTTTTTACACTGCAGAACATGTGAACGATTCAGGCTGCATATAGTCTGAATCACCCTGGGGCTGAGGAAGTCAGTGTTGTGTAAATATGGAGTCTGAACCAGGAAAAAGGGCATGGCCAAAATAGTAAAATCTATAGCAGTGATATGATTTTGTTTTTGTTCCTCTGTAGAGATGAAATGTTTTAACTAAATTTGTATAAATGGTGAGTCTTGGTCCCTGAAGCCAGAAGGACTGGGTCCAAGATAGGATATATAACAAATCCTAAAAAATCCTCGTAGGAATAATATAACTCAGTTTTGTTTTCAATGAGGAGTCACTCCCCTGGAGACAGGGGGCAGAGAGGGCTGTCCTTATAGGGTAAATCAAAGTAAATTTGTAAAATACTTCAATATTGTGATTGGGTAGAGGCGATTCTGATTTGTGAACCAAAGGTCCAACCCTTCTGAGCAGTCCAGTTTGAGAAATAGAGTATGAATCAATCAGTAATGACTAAACCAAACCAGGTGAACGACTCCAGGTCTCTGGTTCCCTTGTATAGTAACCCTGCAAGCATACTACAGTTATTTACTGGTAATTATGTTAAAAAGATGTTTTTATCTGAATTTTTGATTTGTTTAAAGGTTCATAATCTGTGTTTGTATTAAAAACTTTTCCCCCATTTTCTTCTTGCACACAAATTTCAGTATTTGATTATGTGTTTCCTGTTATACATGACAGTTCCATTAGAAGAACTTTTATTATACCGCCTGAAGAAGCTGAGGAAACATCTTTGAGTTGTTGGTTGTTTGTTATATTCAACTTGTTATCAAAACATCAACTTTTGGACTGCAGTAACCATTAATTGATATTTATGTTATATATACCCTTTTTTTTTAATATGACCCCAATAACATACCTGCGCACTATACCCACAAATTTACTTATTATTTGTTCTAGTTGTCATTATAGTGTACACAGCTTGAGCTTGCGATCAAATTTTTAATGCATGTACTGATACTGAGATTAAAATTAAGTGATATACATATATATAGGAAGCATTCCCACAGGAAAATCTGTGGTTGAGGAGAGATACCCTCATACATCACCTGTTTATACTTACATGGTGGAGGTTTTATATAACAAAATTCTTGGTGTAAAAGTCTGATGGTATTTGCATGACTCTGAAAGGTAACTAAATAACTGCTGCATGATTAGAGTTCTTTTAGAAAGAGCATTTCATCTTGTTAGGGTCCCACAACATAGTGGCAGACACCCTTTGCTGAATGATCTGTCTGTCTGTCTGAAACACAAACACATTCACAAACAAAATATGTCATTATAATCAGTCACAGCAGAGGGATGACACTTAATATGCTTGTTAATCACTATGAGAGGATATGTGATATACCAAATTCTTGTCTGTACTCCAAAGGTCGAGTTCTTAAACTTGGAGTATTTCATTTGACCACCCTATATCTGTTTCTTCTTGTGTCTGTCTTCAATACGTGTATTTCTGTTTTATGACTTTGTAATCAGTTATAGCAGAGGGATGACATTTTATATTAGGTGTATCGCATAATATATTCTGGTTTGTGCTCCAAAGGTCAAGTTCCCTAGTGTAGAGCAGATATCTATTTATCCAATAGCCAGTCATCCGTCTATCTGTATTAAACAATTTTAGTTATTGCTCTTTCTTGAGAGTTGTGCATGGTCTCAATTTTGGACTGATTAAAAAAAAACATGAGGTATTGTTGATGGAAGATCCATAATCAAGTGGTGTACCAAAAATTTATTAAAAGTTATAAACCTTTAAAGTTTGTAAACTGGTATGCTTTTTAAGAATATCAGTTTCTTTTTTTGAAAACCCTCAAATTAAGAAAATTTAAATTGAAAAAAAATGGCTGCGAGACATTTTTTGACAGGGCAGCCATCTTGGATTTTGACAATGAAAGTTTGCTATTTCTTCAGACATACACATTGGATCTTTCTCAGATTTCATTTGTATTTCCTCTTGGTCCCTAGTTGTGCCCTTTTGATCTTGGAACTGATTAGAAAAGCAAAATGAACGCCAGAGGTGACCATGTTTGATTTGATAGTTAAAGACTGTTATCTTTAAAATTTTCAAATTTGAAAGCAGAATCAAAGAAAAGAATAGAAGGGAAAAAATCTTGTAAACAACAGTGGGTGCAAGACTTCTGTTTTTTTCCCTTTCAGGTAATCAATCCTAAGAAGAAAGCAAAAAAGAAAAATTATAAAAATTCTGGACAGGTAAGTTTTCATGTTTGTAGATATAAAGATTGTATGGGCTGTTCTGTCTTTGTAGATGAGATGTAAAGATTGTATGGACTGTTCTGTCTTGTAGATCAGCTGTAAAGATTGTATGGGCTGTTCTGTCTTCTTCCATTGTTTGTCCTTAAATAAGTCTTGTTATTGCTGTATGTATTTACAGAGAAGTACTTGATGGATATATAGGTATCATGTTGTCCATTGTTCATATTTTGACGGATCAGAATTATAAAATGGCAAGCAAATGGCTATCTTGGAATTTAGCAGTTGTTATATAGTAACAAACCCTCTAAAGAACCATATAATAGTTAAATTTTATCGGAGTTCAGTTTCACAATTTCAGATGCCTTTATTCCATATTACAAGCTTGTTTATGTTTGAACTGATGGACATGGGCACTGCCATGTTGCCCTTAAATGAAACAATGTAACCCTCTAAAGAAAGTTGGAGGGTTACCATGTGATGTCTCTTAACCAATGATATCAGTATGTTCTTGTCCAAGATGTGATAAAAAATGGATGGATCATTCAGAAATCTAATTAGAGGTTTACCTTGGAAGCAGTTGTGCATTGTCAGTTTTGAGAATGATTGTGAGGACACCTTTCATTCTCAAATTCATTTGTCAGTTTCCCTTGTTTAATTTCGTTGCTGTATAGTAAAGTTTTATCAATACAATAAATAATTATGATCAAAGAAAAGGAAAGAAGAGAAAAAGAAGGAAAAAGATTGAACTTACATAGAAATGAAAAAGATCAGAGGTTTCCACAATCTCTCTGGGATCTGTTGTTGATTTGACATAATTTCAAAGTGGATTATAGTGGATGAAATTTGTACACTACCAAAGTAGGAAAATATCAATAACATTGTTACATTGTTATACTGTTACTCCGACAGGTAACACTGATGAATTGTAAGATTGAGATCCACCCGTCATTCCTGGATTATGTTAAAGGAGGGTAAGTGTTTGTGCTGAGTGGCATGATGTTGTGATTGTACGGTTAAATGTACACCGATGAGAGACATTGATAAACAGAGGGAAGACAGGAAGGATTAATGTTGGTAGAATAGACAGTGTATTTAGTAAGCTGTAAGATGTAAAAAAAAAAGAAAATTATCCCAGGTGTTTATGATTTTTATTTGATATGAATTGTCTGTTGTCTTGAAATACTAACAATTTCTATGCTTGGGATTCGATCATGTTTCTAATTCTGAGTGAAAATATTTATAAACATGTCACATGCGAAACTTCTTTAGCTGACAAAATTGCTTATGATAATCATGTATCTCACTTGGTGGTCTCTGAAAAATATTGTATGAATGGTTATCCGTCCTTAATTGATTCTTGTTGCTAATTACAGAGAAGTACTAACCCTCCTACTTCCCTCGGCCACTCCCTTGTGTTTGTTTCCCTTTTTGGATTGGACTGATTGGTAAAAATGCAATGGCTGACAAATGGCCATATTTGTTATTGGATTTTGATGTGTGAAGTTGGTTGTAATAATTTCTTGCAAAGCACTAGATGGTAAATTTCATATGCTGAGGTCGCATGTACATGTACAAGTGTAATGTGCAAGTTTTGACTAATAAAAAAGACAGATTTGCGGTGAGACAGCGGCATTGAATAATGACCATGGAAGAATTACGTTATTGATATCACTTGAGAAATGTTGGATTAATCTTTCCCAAACTTCATTATTATTTTGACTCCCCATGGGCAGTAGTTATGCATATCTAATATTTGGGATTGATTGAAAAAAAAGAAAATTGGGGACAGATGATCATTTTGGATTTTGAAAGTTATCCCAATATCTTAAGCACTAAATGGATCTTTATCAAATTTCATACCCATTTGCTATCATAAATTCTGACATCTTTAATTTGTTTTAAGTGAGTTTATGCTGTGGTGTTTCCTTCATCTGTCCAATGTCATCCTTCCATTTGAACAACTTCTTCTCAATAAGCAAAAGGCTTCGAATCATGATTTTTGGATGGAAAATTTCTTATATGAAATCCAAAAAAGTTTGAGAAAAGAAACCTTGATCTATATTCAAGGTCACAAAAGCCTAATTTGTTGAAACATTTAAACATCTTCTTCTGATGAACCAAAGGTCTAGAGTATTTGTATTTGGCTGGTAGGTCTCTTGTTCAAAGCCCAACATAGTTTGTGAAAAACATTGACCTTGACCTTATTCAAGGTCAAAGAGATCAAATTTATTGAAACTTTCAAACAACTTCTCAATTAAAAAAAGGTGTGGAGTAATGATATTTAGATGGTAGGTGCTGACAAAGTCTGAAAGAAGAAATGACTTGATTCATATTTAAAGTCACAGGGGTCAAATTTGTTGAAACCTTCAAATTATTTCTTGTGATTAACCAAAATGCCAAGAATTATGATATTTGACTGATATGTTCCAAGAACAACATCAAGCAAAGTTCAGAAAAAAAACCTTAAAAAGTATTCAAGGTCACATAGATCAAATTTGTTTAAACCTTTAAATGTTTACCAGGAGGCCTAGAATTTTGATATTTGGCTGGTAGGTTCCTGATGTGAAGCATGACAATAATTGCAGAAAGAAAAGACATATTCAAGGTTGCAGTGATCAAAATTTGTTTAAACTTTAAAATAATTTCTGATAAACTGAAAGGCCTAGAATTTTGAAGCATTGAAATTAAGTGAGTAATGCAGACCTATTGAGCCTCTTGTCTTGAGGAGAACTGATGGTTCATTATCAAATTTCATATATCAGTTCTCCCTTGTCCTTAAGTAGTGCATTGTCTATTCAGGGACTGATTAGAATGATATTACAGCCAATAGGCAGCCATCTTGGATATTCACTGTTTATCATCACTATGTCTTCTAAGTTGTGAATGGATCATTTCAGATTTCATTTGTAGGTTTCCTAGTCCCAGGCCATGCATTGCCTGTTATTGGACTGATTGCAATATTAAATTGACTGACAGGTGGATATCTTGTATTACAACTGTTTATTTGGTTATCACTATAGTTAGATGGATCATTCTTATGTTGAATAATAGGTTTCCCTTGTTCCCAAGTTAGGCATAATTAATTTTTAAAGAGATGTGAAAAAGAGATGAGAAGAGATAAGATCCTTTTGATAAGAAAAACCAATGAAGATTATACAAGATTAGACGCCAAGTTCCTTCTGGGATCTCTTGATGAGACAACTCAAACAAATGCACTGGGTTCATGTTTAGTTCACCCTGTAAGTAAAGTCACTTTTATATTTATTTTATTGTGCTGTTCAAAGTAATGTCTTAGTGACATTGTGAAGTATTTCTTTACGTACATAATCAGTTTGTTAGAGGAGATGTTTGTATTTATGTACATATATTATCTGACTTACATTTAACATTTCAGAACACAACTCAACTTCACAGTGGCAATTGATTTCACAGCATCCAATGGTAATCCAGCTAGTCCTACGTCACTTCACTACTATAGTCCGTATCAACCCAACCAGTATGGAGCAGCTATTCAGGCTGTAGGCGAGATTATACAGGACTATGATAGGTAAAATATACACATCTTTACCCGAGATTATACAGGACTACGATAGGTAAAACATACACATCTTTACCCAGGATTATACAGGACTACGATAGGTAAAATATACACATCTTTATTATCATTATACAGGACTACGATAGGTAAAATATACACATCTTTACCCGAGATTATACAGGACTACGATAGGTAAAATATACACATCTTTACCCAGGATTATACAGGACTACACATCTTTAGGATTATACAGGACTACGATAGGTAAAATATACACATCTTTACCCAGGATTATATACAGGACTACGATAGGTAAAATATACATTATCATTATCTTTATATACACATCATTATACAGGACTACAATAGGTAAAATATACACATCTTTACCCAGGATTATACAGGACTACGATAGGTAAAATATACACATCTTTATTATCATTATACAGGACTACAATAGGTAAAATATACAAATCTTTATTATCATTATACAGGACTACGATAGGTAAAATATACACATACACCTAAAATTATTAGGATTATACAGGACTACGATAGGTAAAATATACACATCTTTACCCAGGATAAAAAAGAACTACTAAAGGAAAAATATCCAAAAATTTATAAACATAATACAGAAATACGATAGGTAAAATATACACATCAGGATTATACAGGACTACGATAGGTAAAATATACACATCTTTATTATCATTATACAGGACTACGATAGGTAAAATATACACATCTTTACCCAGGATTATACAGGACTACGATAGGTAAAATATACACATCTTTATTATCATTATACAGGACTACGATAGGTAAAATATACACATCTTTATTATCATTATACAGGACTACGATAGGTAAAATATACACATCTTTACCCAGGATTATACAGGACTACGATAGGTAAAATATATACACATCTTTACCTATCGATAGGATTATACAGGACTACGATAGGTAAAATATACACATCTTTATTAGGATTATACAGGACTACGATAGGTAAAATATACACATCTTCATTAGGATTATACAGGACTACGATAGGTAAAATATACACATCTTTATTATCATTATACAGGACTACGATAGGTAAAATATACACATCTTTATTAGAGATTATACAGATAGGTAAAATATACACATCTTTATTATCATTATACAGGACTACGATAGGTAAAATATACACAACATTACCCAGGCTTATACAGGACTACGATAGGTAAAATATACACATCTTTATTATCATTATACAGGACTACGATAGGTAAAATATACACATCTTTACCCAGGATTATACAGGACTACGATAGGTAAAATATACACATCTTTATTATCATTATACAGGACTACATTATACAGGACTACGATAGGTAAAATATACACATCTTTACCCAGGATTATACAGGACTACGATAGGTAAAATATACACATCTTTATTATCATTATACAGGACTACAATAGGTAAAATATACACATCTTTATTATCATTATACAGGACTACGATAGGTAAAATATACACATCTTTATTATCATTATACAGGACTACGATAGGTAAAATATACACATCGATAGGTAAAATATTTACCCAGGATTATACAGGACTACGATAGGTAAAATATACACATCTTTATTAGGATTATACAGGACTACGATAGGTAAAATATACACATCTTTACCCAGGATTATACAGGACTACGATAGGTAAAATATACTTTACAGGATTATCTTTATATACACATCAGGATTATACAGGACTACGATAGGTAAAATATACACATCTTTACAGGATTATACAGGACTACGATAGGTAAAATATACACATCTTTACCCAGGATTATACAGGACTACAATAGGTAAAATATACACATCTTTATTATCATTATACAGGACTACAATAGGTAAAATATACACATCTTTATTATCATTATATACAAATCTTTATTATCATTATACAGGACTACGATAGGTAAAATATACACATCTTTACCAGAGATTATACAGGACTACGATAGTTAAAATATACACATCTTTACCCAGGATTATACAGGACTACGATAGGTAAAATATACACATCTTTATTATCATTATACAGGACTACGATAGGTAAAATATACACATCTTTACCCAGGATTATACAGGACTACAATAGGTAAAATATACACATCTTTACCCAGGATTATACAGGACTACAATAGGTAAAATATACACATCTTTATTATCATTATACAGGACTACGATAGGTAAAATATACACATCTTTATTATCATTATACAGGACTACGATAGGTAAAATATACACATCTTTATTATCATTATACAGGACTACAATAGGTAAAATATACACATCTTTACAGGATTATCATTATACAGGACTACACATAGGTAAAATATACACATCTTTATTATCATTATACAGGACTACGATAGGTAAAATATACACATCTTTATTATCATTATACAGGACTACGATAGGTAAAATATACACATCTTTATTATCATTATACAGGACTACGATAGGTAAAATATACACATCTTTATTATCATTATACAGGACTACGATAGGTAAAATATACACATCTTTATTATCATTATACAGGACTACGATAGGTAAAATATACACATCTTTACCCAGGATTATACAGGACTACAATAGGTAAAATATACACATCTTTACCCAGGATTATACAGGACTACGATAGGTAAAATATACACATCTTTACCCAGGATTATACAGGACTACGATAGGTAAAATATACACATCTTTACCCAGGATTATACAGGACTACGATAGGTAAAATATACACATCTTTATTATCATTATACAGGACTACAATAGGTAAAATATACACATCTTTACCTGAGATTATACAGGACTACAATAGGTAAAATATACACATCTTTATTATCATTATACAGGACTACGATAGGTAAAATATACACATCTCATTATACAGGACTACAGGATAGGTAAAATTATACAGGACTACGATAGGTAAAATATACACATCTTTATTATCATTAAACAGGACAACGAAAGGTAAAATATACACATCATTACAGATTACTATACCGGACTTGATTAGTTAAATTATACACATCTTTACCCAGGATTATACAGGACTACGATAGGTAAAATATACACATCTTTATTATCATTATACAGGACTACGATAGGTAAAATATACACATCTTTATTATCATTATACAGGACTACGATAGGTAAAATATACACATCTTTATCATATACAGGACTACAATAGGTAAAATATACACATCTTTATTATACAGGACTACGATAGGTAAAATATACACATCTTTATTATCATTATACAGGACTACGATAGGTAAAATATACACATCTTTATTATCATTATACAGGACTACGATAGGTAAAATATACACATCTTTACCCAGGATTATACAGGACTACGATAGGTAAAATATACACATCTTTATTATCTTTATTATCATTATACAGGACTACGATAGGTAAAATATACACATCTTTACCCGAGATTATACAGGACTACGATAGGTAAAATATACACATCTTTATTATCATTATACAGGACTACGATAGGTAAAATATACACATCTTTACCCAGGATTAGGTAAAATATACACATCTTTACCCAGGATTATACTACAGGTAAAATATACACATCTATCATTATACAGGACTACGATAGGTAAAATATACACATTTTTACCTGAGATTATACAGGACTACAATAGGTAAAATATACACATCTTTACCCAGGATTATACAGGACTACGATAGGTAAAATATACACATCTTTACCCAGGATTATACAGGACTACGATAGGTAAAATATACACATCTTTATTAGGATTATACAGGACTACGATAGGTAAAATATACACATCATCATTATACAGGACTACGATAGGTAAAATATACACATCTTTACAGGATTATACAGGACTACGATAGGTAAAATATACACATCTTTACCCAGGATTATACAGGACTACGATAGGTAAAATATACACATCTTTATTATCATTATACAGGACTACGATAGGTAAAATATACACATCTTTATTATCATTATACAGGACTACGATAGGTAAAATATACACATCTTTACCCAGGATTATACAGGACTACGATAGGTAAAATATACACATCTTTATTATCATTATACAGGACTACGATAGGTAAAATATACACATCTTTACCCAGGATTATACAGGACTACGATAGGTAAAATATACACATCTTTATTATCATTATACAGGACTACGATAGGTAAAATATACACATCTTTATTATCATTATACAGGACTACGATAGGTAAAATATACACATCTTTATTATCATTATACAGGACTACGATAGGTAAAATATACACATCTTTATTATCATTATACAGGACTACGATAGGTAAAATATACACATCTTTATTATCATTATACAGGACTACGATAGGTAAAATATACACATCTTTATTATCATTATACAGGACTACGATAGGTAAAATATACACATCTTTACCCAGGATTATACAGGACTACGATAGGTAAAATATACACATCTTTACCCAGGATTATACAGGACTACGATAGGTAAAATATACACATCTTTATTATCATTATACAGGACTACGATAGGTAAAATATACACATCTTTATTATCATTATACAGGACTACGATAGGTAAAATATACACATCTTTACCCAGGATTATACAGGACTACGATAGGTAAAATATACACATCTTTACCCAGGATTATACAGGACTACGATAGGTAAAATATACACATCTTTATTATCATTATACAGGACTACGATAGGTAAAATATACACATCTTTACCCAGGATTATACAGGACTACGATAGGTAAAATATACACATCTTTACCCAGGATTATACAGGACTACGATAGGTAAAATATACACATCTTTACGACTATCTTTACCCAGGATTATACAGGACTACGATAGGACCCAGGATTATACAGGATAGGTAAAATATACACATCTTTATTATCATTATACAGGACTACGATAGGTAAAATATACACATCTTTATTATCATTATACAGGACTACGATAGGTAAAATATACACATCTTTACCCGAGATTATACAGGACTACGATAGGTAAAATATACACATCTTTATTATCATTATACAGGACTACGATAGGTAAAATATACACATCTTTATTATCATTATACAGGACTACGATAGGTAAAATATACACATAGGTAAAATATACACATCTTTATTATCATTATACAGGACTACGATAGGTAAAATATACACATCTTTACCCAGGATTATACAGGACTACAATAGGTAAAATATACACATCTTTATTATCATTATACAGGACTACGATAGGTAAAATATACACATCTTTACCCAGGATTATACAGGACTACGATAGGTAAAATATACACATCTTTACCCAGGATTATACAGGACTACGATAGGTAAAATATACACATCTTTATTAGGATTATACAGGACTACGATAGGTAAAACATACACATCTTTACCCAGGATTATACAGGACTACGATAGGTAAAATATACACATCTTTATTATCATTATACAGGACTACGATAGGTAAAATATACACATCTTTACCCAGGATTATACAGGACTACGATAGGTAAAATATACACATCTTTACCCAGGATTATACAGGACTACGATAGGTAAAATATACACATCTTTATTATCATTATACAGGACTACGATAGGTAAAATATACACATCTTTATTATCATTATACAGGACTACGATAGGTAAAATATACACATCTTTATTATCATTATACAGGACTACGATAGGTAAAATATACACATCTTTATTATCATTATACAGGACTACGATAGGTAAAATATACACATCTTTATTATCATTATACAGGACTACGATAGGATTATACAGGACTACGATAGGTAAAATATACACATCTTTATTATCATTATACAGGACTACGATAGGTAAAATATACACATCTTTATTATCATTATACAGGACTACGATAGGTAAAATATACACATCTTTACACAGGATTATACAGGACTACGATAGGTAAAATATACACATCTTTATTATCATTATACAGGACTACGATAGGTAAAATATACACATCTTTACCCAGGATTATACAGGACTACGATAGGTAAAATATACACATCTTTCATTATACAGGACTACGATAGGTAAAATATACACATCTTTACCCAGGATTATACAGGACTACGATAGGTAAAATATACACATCTTTACCCAGGATTATACAGGACTACGATAGGTAAAATATACACATCTTTACCCAGGATTATACAGGACTACGATAGGTAAAATATACACATCTTTACCCAGGATTATACAGGACTATGATAGGTAAAATATACACATCTTTACCCAGGATTATACAGGACTACGATAGGTAAAATATACACATCTTTACCCAGGATTATACAGGACTACAATAGGTAAAATATACACATCTTTACCCAGGATTATACAGGACTACGATAGGTAAAATATACACATCTTTACCCAGGATTATACAGGACTATGATAGGTAAAATATACACATCTTTATTATCATTATACAGGACTACGATAGGTAAAATATACACATCTTTATTATCATTATACAGGACTACAATAGGTAAAATATACACATCTTTATTATCATTATACAGGACTACGATAGGTAAAATATACACATCTTTACCCAGGATTATACAGGACTACGATAGGTAAAATATACACATCTTTACCCGAGATTATACAGGACTACGATAGGTAAAATATACACATCTTTACCCGAGATTATACAGGACTACGATAGGTAAAATATACACATCTTTACCCAGGATTATACAGGACTACGATAGGTAAAATATACACATCTTTACCCAGGATTATACAGGACTACGATAGGTAAAATATACACATCTTTACCCAGGATTATACAGGACTACGATAGGTAAAATATACATGTCTTTAACTGAGATTCTTTGAATGGGGAAGCCAGTTCTGCTGTCATGTATCCACTGGACACCCCATTACACAAAACATTTATGTTTTTGTGTGAAGATATTTCCAGGTTTAAACTGAAAATGGTTCTGTCTGAATAAAACCTTCTGTTAACTGATAACTGTGGACAGAAACATAAAATTTTAGTTGTTTGTTTCCAGTGATAAGATGTTTCCTGTGCTGGGGTTCGGTGGCAAGCTTCCAGATGGTTCAGTTTCCCATGAGTTTCCATTAGTAAGTACAACAAAAGAAACACTTTCCTTTGTGTGGTCAAGAAAAAATGGATTATGAAATGATGATTCATAGCTTTTACAGCTAGGAGTAGATCTTTTAAACTTATAGTTTGTCAAAGTGATAACAACTGTTATGGTAACAATATTTATAATATATAATATTGATACGATTTCAGAACTTTAATTCAGCCAACCCCTACTGTGCTGGTATACAAGGTATCATGCAGGCATATTACGGAGCTTTACAGAAGGTGCAGCTTTACGGTCCAACAAACTTTTCCCCCGTCATACAACATGTAGCAAGGTAACGCAGAAAAAATCATTGTCAAAGATAGGTTTAAGGAAATGAATTCTAAAAACATATCAACTAAAGATATCGGAGATATTTTAAAGATCGGTATACAAGAGGCAAATGAAAATGCATTAGCAGGTATATTGCCTGCATCATGAATATGCATGAGCAGGTATATTGCCTGCGTCATGAATATGCATGAGCAGGTATATTGCCTGTATCATGAATATGCATGAGCAGGTATACTGTGATCCCTTGATAGAAATTTGGTGTAACTATGTAGTGCTTTATGTGACTAAACCAGACACATTACAGGTGATTCCTATATCAACATAATTTAACTTTGTTCAGCAGATATGCTTGTTGAACTCTGAATTTAAAAAAAAATGTTAGAATAAATGCTTTTGAAAAGCATATTTATGTGAAATCAGAAGTGAAGACACATTCAGAACCCTTGGGAATATTATATACCATGTGCCATCAATTTTTCGCTTTTTGTTTTATTTATAAAATATTTGAATGATGGAGATAGATGTGATATTTTCCAGTAGTAGGACATTTGTGAGTATATAAGCCAATGTAATATCATGTCAGAGAATTAATTTACTAATGCTAAAACATCATAAGGCCAGCTTCTCTCCTTTGGGATTTTGGCGGTATAACAAGTTCGGTGGTATAACAAGTTTGGCGGAATATCAGGTTTACTGTTTGACCCTGGGAGTTCACATATCATCACTGACCATCTTGACTCACCAGTCTGAAGTACAGGATACTTGTATTCTAAAGATAACATTAGAATACTTTTAAACTAGGATTTGTTATGACATATTTATGAAAAAAAACTTTCTTATAGTAGTGTCACAAATTAGATACATATGTACAACGTATGTGAAGTTACTCTTGTTCCGAACACATCAAATGACTTTACATAAGCTCTTACAAAAGAAATCACTGATACTTGGTTTTCTAGTAGTATTATGTCTTATGGTCACTAATCAAGTCTGACAAGATTAACGTCTGACTGTTGTGGAGGCTTCCTGTTCCAAAAATTTCGAAACCACCACCTTTGTTTTGGAAATCATAGAAGGGAGGGCTTTGCTTACGTCCATGTTGTTGTCATCATGGTCATCTTCACTGTCCGAGGTGGTCTGTGTGGTGACAGATTTGATAATGTCATTGTCATCTTCCACTTTGCTTGGTGTAGTTTCTTGTCCATGTCTCACTGTGAGGCATAAGTCAGGGTCCAGGTCAGGTCCTAAACTCTTTGAAGCAAATTATTTAAATCAGAATCCAGATTCTCATGATCAGCTTGTATCTCTGACTGCGTTGTCAAGTGGTAGGATACTGCTGTGACACCAGTAGTTTTGGATGGTCTTGGGAGTCATCAAGCCCCAGGCGACTTTAACAAAATGATCAGTGGTATCTAAAAATACACAAGCGGGTTCCTTCTTGTTGTATACAGTCAACTAAATACAGTGTTATTTTGTGTTAATTCTTTTTAAAACTATGCATAATCACAGCATCTAGTGCCTGTAGATGACTAATTGTTGTTGGAGTCAAGTCATGGTTCAGCAATTTCATGTGTACACGCATGTCAATCATACCACAATTATCGGTTCTGTTCACTCCAGGCATTCACTGGTAACAATATGATTTACAAATAACAAATACTTGTACGTGATTCTAATTGGCAGTATGTAATAAAGTGAAATAGTGTTAATATAACCATTTATGTGGATTTGGCAGTACAAAGGATGTATGAACACGGTGGGAAATCTGTTCTGATAAAATTGATGGCAGTATGCAGATTTGTCGGTTTAATGGGTGGCATTACAATGAAGTTTGACTGTATGTTGAGGCTGACCTATAAGTGTTCAGTATAAATACAGTTCTAGATAAATACATGTAGCAATTTCGCAGGAAAGACAAGAGAATTGAATTAGGGGTAGCTTTAAACCCATCTTCATGAAATTGTCCTACATCCATGGTCAGTTTGAAACTGTTTAAACAAAAATGTTGTTCTGTATCTCTAACGCTATTTCATGCAGAGTTACTAGACAGGAACATCCTGGTTAGGGGGAGTGTTGTATGCAAAGTCACTGTCAAGTGTGAAAAATATTTTGACCTTTAACCCTGTTCAAAGCAAAACCATGTCTTTAAGTGTATCCCCTATACTGCTTCATATTGGATTTCCGAATTTTCATAACAGGAACATCTGGGGCAGATGGAGTGTCATGTGGTATATCAGGGTGACTGTGACCTGTAATATCACATAAAGGTCGACTAATTCCTGATTTTTTTTGGTCAGATTTGCATCATCTATGAGAGATGGAAACAGTTACTTTGTATTGCTGATCCTAACTGATGGTGTGATCACAGATTTACCCAATACGATAGAGGCTATTGTACATGTAAGTTGATGGAATCCAGCTGACTTGTATTTGGTATGTAATCAAAACATTGCTTCATTGTGATACACATCGTAATTAAAAAGTATCCTTTATATGATCAAGAATAGTTAAACTTTTCCTAAGACGTACAGGGTTGATACAAATTACTGTTTATTACAAAATAGATTTAAATCCCTTGATTTGGCTCTTCCTTGTCATTACTTACTTTGCAAACACATAACTTATTTGCATTTAAATCATTTTCCATTGATACTGAGTATTAATTTTAGCCCATCATTAAAAATACTTTAAAAAATAAATAAGCTTGGGCCCTTAAAAGGGGGTACATTACAATGAATTATTTAATATGCAAATAAGGTATATAGGTAGGTCCGGGTATGAACGCTGGGACTCTAAAGTATTGATCGATAACAAATACATGAATGATACGAGAAAATAATGTGAGGTCGGCTTGATGACGAAATAATTGCATCAAAGAAAAGAATGGGCCAGCCAGATGACAAGAAAGACAACAATGACAAACCTATTATAATACATGTAATAAAAACTGAGGATGTGGTGGAATGTGTTAAAACTTTGCTTAGTTTTTTGTGATCACTGATAGAGCTATTTTGAAGTCTGGTGACATTTGATCTGTATTTAAAAAAAAAAATTAAAAATGGAAGTAAAAAGCAAATGATTTTCAGAAAGTTGAACAAAGATTGATTCACATATTTTGATACTTGTCTTAATACCTTTGTTTATAAAGAACGGTACTATTAACTGCTTTATAACCTGTAACAAATTATAAATATTGTCTCTGGTCCCCCTGGAATTTGTTATGAACAAGTTATACGGAAACATTTTATGTTCTGGTGAGTTTTTGTTATGAATACGATGGAGATGTGAGGTGAAGGCAGCAGCAGCAATTAATCAGACTTCGTTTAATTAATTAGACTTGTTAATTAAACGTGCCATGTTTCTGTGTTGCATTTATCTCCCAATTTAGCTTAATTTTTCTTAAAGCATTTAAGTCATCATAACAAACCTGGCATGTATTTGTGCATGTATCTGTGTATGAATTTCACCCATGGTTTACCATAAATTGGGCTTAATTAATTATTTGGACCATATCAAAATTTGATCTGTTAATGTAATATTTAGCTTTATTTTGAGTTTTATTTCTCCTAAAGTATTTGAGCTGTCAAAACCAAACATTGAGTATATTTATAAATCTTTGTATGGCCATTCCAAAACATTTTCCAGATCCTGAATTCACCTACAGTTTACTGTTAATTTAATTTTTGTCAATTAATTATGCTTTATATAAGTTTTGTGTTAAGCTCTACATAAAGCTTAATATCTCATTAAGTACATGTTCTGTCATAACAAAAACCTGAAATATACCTTTCTCTATGCATGGCCATCTTCATGAATATTTTATGTTAATAAGGCTAGTTAAATTCTGATGATTTTGAGAATCAGTCACACATGAGACACATACGTACACTGTAATTATGTGTAATTTTAAGAATCGGTGACACATGAGACACATACGTACGCTGTAATTATGTGTAATTTTGAGAATCAATGACACATGAGACACATACGTACACTGTAATTATGTGTAATTTTGAGAGCCAGTGACACATGAGACACATACGTACGCTGTAATTATGTGTAATTTTGAGAATCAATGACACATGAGACACATACGTACACTGTAATTATGTGTAATTTTGAGAACCAGTGACACATGAGACACATACGTAAGCTGTAATTATGTGTAATTTTTGTTTTCCGTAGAGTTCTGGCCTTCCAATGTCAATCATCATTGTAGGAGTGGGTAATGCCGAGTTTGACGGTGAGTAGGAATACAATTTCCCCTTGTATATCTTACACCAGATGTTGACTAGAGCTTTTGCAAAGAGAACAATTGTGTATGTCTTATTGTAAATTTGCTTCATAAATTACTTACATGATACCTGGAGTGAGTGAGATCAGATTACCAGGGTAAGAGTTTAACAGCCCACCTCCCTACTATAAGTCTGAGGTTATTTGTGTGCTTGCTGAGTTTGCCGGTTATGCATGATTCAGAATACTAAGGCAAAAATCAAGGTGTTTGTCCGCATCTTCTAGAAATCATAGTTTCCAAACCCTTTTGAAAAACAAAAATGTTTTCTGTTTATATGTGTATCTCAAAACATGTTACAACAAACCAGAGTTGATTTTAAGGAAATAATTAGCTAAGGTTACTAAATATTGCTAATGTTGGTATGATCTGATCGAGATTTATAACTATACTTTTACATAACAATAGTTGATTTTCATTGTTTGTTTCTCCTGCAGCCATGGATGTTCTAGATGCAGACAACAACAGATTGTCCAGTCGTGGAAAACAAGCAGTTAGAGACATAGTTCAGGTATAAATGTTCTTCCTCTGGTCTAGATTTTTATTGCAGTGAATACCGTTCTCAGCCATGAAAATCTACAGCTGATTGGCCGATTTCATCCTTTTTTAACTCTCAGAAAATAAATCATTTGATATATACATTTCCACTTTAGAATAAATAAATATAATTCAGCCTTTGTTAAGAATTCCATTTCATCTCTGCATCCTGAACAGAATTAAAATTCTAGACAAGACTTATAGAAGATTGAATTTATATCAGGTTGAAGTATAATTAAAAGATATTCAGTGTTGTAAAGTATATGAGATTTGATTGTGAATGAGTTTCCCTGTTAAGTGATTAGAAAGGGTTACTTTATAGCAATATGTAGGTTTCTTTTGATTTGATGAAGGTTGGCTATTCAAATCTCTCCGAGTCCATGGTCCAACCTTGCACAATATTTGTCATCACAATTTCTGAAGAAGTACTGGAAAGATCTTACTCAAATTTTTAATGGAAACTTTCCTTGGTCCCTGACTTTGTCCTTTTGATTTTGGGATTGAAAGGGAAAAATTGTTTTACAGGTGACCATTTTTAATTTGGTAACTTAAGTTTGCGATTGCAATTTCTGGAAGAGAACAAGATGGATCTTTCTCCAATGATATATGGAGTTGCCTTCTGGTCCCTTTTTGTGCTCTTTTAATAGTGGGACTGATTGAAAAGTAAAATGGCTGACAAGTGGGCATCTTTGTCAGAAGCATTCTTCAGGGAATGGGAACATATTTTGTATACATTGGGGGTCTGACTGCTAAGAATCTGAGGGGCAGGACCAGATGGAGGAAATCAAGCAAATTAAAAATGAAGCTGCAATTATGATTAGTATGTAGTATTTACTTCTCCATCGCTCTTTTTCAGTTTGTTCCTTTCCGTGACTTCATGGGAGGTAAATTTGGGAATAACATGCAGATATCTCAGGCTGCCCTGGCAAAGGAAGTCCTTGCGGAAATACCAGACCAGTTTCTTCAATATATGAAAGCAAATAATATAAAACCCAAAACACCCAAAGAAAATATAAGTGCGCCGGGCCAGGGACCACCACAAATGGCACCACCACCAGGAGGCGCTCCATCAATGGCACCACCACCAGGAGGCGCTGCGAACATGCCATCACATCAAGGTATCCACTTGACTAAATGCTCATTACAGCATTCCAATACTTATGTATTATTAAAATCTAGAATTTGTTTTAAAAAATAATTAGATATTGAATCAGAACTAGAGAGATGAAATTATTACCGGAAGTGTCCTGTTAAGTGAGACACTTACCTTGTATATAGATCTTACTAGGTAAAAATGTTATGAGAGATGTCCTGTTTAGTGAGACACTTACCTTGTATATAGATCTTACTAGGTAAAAATGTTATGAGAGATGTCCTGTTAAGTGAGACACTTACCTTGTATATAGATCTTACTAGGTAAAAATGTTATGAGAGATGTCCTGTTAAGTGAGACACTTACCTTGTATATAGATCTTACTAGGTAAAAATGTTATGAGGGATGTCCTGTTAAGTGAGACACTTATCTTGTATATAGATCTTACTAGGTAAAAATGTTATGAGAGATGTCCTGTTAAGTGAGACACATTCCAGGCATAAAATTCTTAGCTGTTATCATAGACTATTCTGTTAAGTACTTGACCTTTTGAGTATAAATGTCTTAACATGTAAATGAAGGGTCTCAGCTGCATGACATCTGAGGTTCAGACCAACAGTCCTTTAATCCTTCTTCTCTTGTTAGGAAGAGAGTATTTTAACCAATTTTGTCCAAAGCATTTTTGGGAAAAGTGAAATCAATTTGATGTAAATGGAAGGTCTTGACCGTCTGGGGTAAGAGGGGCAGGGTCCAATTCTGTTGGGATGAAGATGATTTGATCAAATTGGGACAATGACATCTTCAGAGGAAGGGAAAATAATTTTGCATGAATGGAGGGCCTTCACACTATACCCTTAGGGGCAGGGCCCAATATGGCAAATAGAGAATAAATTTTAAATCCTTCTCTGTTTTAATGAAGGTATTTGGACCAAATTTTCTCAAGAGCATCCTTGTGGAATGTTAACAATTTTTGTATACACTGACAGTCTGGTACCTGGGAAGGAGTAGGGTGAAACACACTTGCAGATGATATTAATTTGGGCTCTGTGTGTCTTCTTCCCACGGCTATTCCAGGCTATTACTTCAAAACTGTTCAACTCAACTTGACAGAACTTGCTTTATTAAGTTAGTGCTGTAGTTGCTATTGCTATTGACAACATTCCATTTTTTATATTTATCTGTTACCATGGAAACATCATTAAAATACACAAAATTAGTGTTACCTTTCCTGTCTGGGCTACAACTTTGAAATCATTTCACTCAGCTCCACAAAATTTCTATATATATTAGGTTAATGCTCTAGTAGTGCCTTTTGCTATCGACAATATTCCATTTTCTATATTTGTTTCTGTTACCATAGAAACATAGTAAAAAAACACAAAATGAGTGTTAACTTCCCTTTCCGGGCTGCAACTTAAAAACCATTCCACAAAATTTTCTGTATATATTAGGTTAGTGCCCTTGTTACTATGGAAACAGATAACCCTCATCACAAATTTCATTTTCTGGACCAGTGCACTGAAACCATTCAAGATAATTGCTCAAAATGTTTTACACTTATTAAGCTAGTTAGTATCTTTTGCTATGGGGAAGTTCTCCATTTAGATACTTTTTCTGTTACCATGGAAACAAATGGGTCAAATCACAAAGTTCAGTCTTTTCAGACAAGTTCTTTTAAATTGTTCAAGGTAATTACCTGATACTCACAACTTTGTACAGGCATCAAGCTAGTACTCGAGTAGAAGTTCACCATTTGTATGTAACAATTAAAAATAACAAATAGAAATTAAACTTGTTGTAATATCAACATATGTGTATGATTGTGTGTCTTTCTTTTAAACAGCAGGGTGTGGGGAATGATGTAATGCTTTGTGTTATCTTGTTTAAATGTATTTGTAAAATCTTTGTCAACAGGAATGCCTAACCAAGGAATGAGTCCCTACCCCCAAGCCCCTCCTCCAGCGTACCCCCAGGAAGGACCACAGAAAACCATGCCACCTCGGCCCCCACCTCCAGGGGGCGCTAGTGCACCACCATATCCTAGATAATGAACTCTAAAAGATTGAATGGAGTGAAACTGGCTGTTACCAAGCTTGATTACAATGTTAAAAGTTCAAAGTTAACTAAATCATATATGTTGATATTTACTTGTTTTGAATATGTACATTTAATTTAGTTTCATTATAGTATGTGTGATATATAATTAATCTTATCTCATGGTAATACCATTGTCTGCTATTGTGATGTGTGTAACAGTGTAAATTTACAGCAATGTAATGTGTACCTACCTGTCAGTGATCGTCTTCACTCTAGAAGACCCATTATACAGCTTTCAACTCAAAGTCATTATTATTATTACTATTGATAATATATTTTATGTCGCTAGCCTTGTGGACATTTTTAAGATTGCAATTGAATATTTCACTATATCAGTGATGTTCAATGTTTATTTACTTAAGATGAAGGAATCTTTGTTGTGACCTGGTCATTCCTCACTGTGAAGGATAAGCGTTTGAATACCTGTGATTCCTGGGTCATCTCCTCAGGAGAAGTGGGAAATATTGTGGTCTTCCTGTAACTACTGTATTCAGCTTACTTTGTACTTCTGTATTTGACTTAAACATCAGTATGTGTATGGTGTGCAATGTAGTTTAACTTATGTATCAATTCTTACCTGTTATTTGTTCCACAGATTCAGTTTTGTTGAGTGTTGGTTTAACTTCAGTATTATGTTAAGGGACATCACAATAAAAACAAATATTTAGAAATTGAATTGTCATATTATTAACACCCTGTACTATGTCATGATGCTATCTCAATACTCATAATCCAACACAGATGTTGAGCCTGACCTCTCAACTTACCCCGGGCAACCCCTCTAAATATAACAATGATAATATAAAACTCATAACAAATTTCAAAATGAGGCAGTCACATTTGTTTACGACAGCAAATAAAGTGTATCTACAACAATTTGGTGACTGTAAACACATAATAACCAAAACACAGGTAGTTTCTAAAACACTGTGTCAATAGTGACTTCATCCATTGCAATTATAATTGGTTTACATGTACAAAGGTCATGGGTCACCATTAACCATACAAACAAATGGCAAAATATATATTACAATTTCACTCAGTATCTACTTACGAGCATAATTGAACAAAATCAGATGAGAATTCACCCAGCCACAGGTCAGTCGTTGAAATGTGTTACTGGTAAATATTTTGTTACAACATAAAGCCTTATTAGTGACATAAAAGGAGAAGTTGTCTGACTATAGATCAAGGTCACAAGATCAGAGATAAAGGTCATATTTGATATATTTATCATATTTCATATGCAAACACTTTTTTATGACATAATGAGACAATGATTTCCAGATTCAAATAAAAAGTTTTCAGGGGGACAAAACATGATTAATCAAAGTAATCTATAGGAATGAGATTCTTCGCTGTCTGCGAGTCCGCACATGTTGAGAGTTGTACACAATGCAGGGCTAATTATGACGTGTTGGTACTCCACGAGAGTAATTCAAACTTTGTTAGAATTATTAGCATTGTATGGCAGTTTGATAGTATGTACATATTCACCATAGCTGACCTCCATGGGCTGATGATCGGGGCAAAAAGGGATCCAATTGACTTATTCAAAATCTTAACTCATGAATCCAATACTCTTCCTGAATGGAAGGATGTTAGAATATGTAACCAAAATTGTGGGCATTATCAATAAATTTTTAGTGGAAACAACTCAGGCTTGGTCAGATTTACTTTCAAGGGATGATATTTTTAATGTTTTGCACATTTCACATTCGTATTACATGTACAACATAGTTCAAGTCATTCTTAATTACATGTTTCAACAACATTTCTCAGGTGACTGTTCAGGCTTTTGGGACTCTTGCTAATAAAATTACTGTTGCCACAATATTAACATTTATACATACCTGGAGACCTGAAATTTATAAGGTTTCTGTGATTTTGTTGATATTGTACCTGTCAGGTGCGAGAGGGATAGGTATGTTATATAAGAAGTGGAATATATAAGACTTCTGAGATTTTATTGATATTGTACCTGTCAGGTGCGAGAGGGATAGGTATGTTATATAAGAATTGGAATCTGTGCTCTATGTTTGTCCTTCTGGATCCAGATATTTAGCCTTCTAATTGTTGTTTACTTGCACCTTCATTGTGACATCAGATTGAGACATCTACATGAAGCTTAAAGCAGAACGGTCCAGCTACAAAATGTTTAAATGTGCTGGTGGTGTGTTTTTTCAAGAAAGACAAGTCGGATAGGCAGAGGTTCAAAGGATGGTCCATTTACTAACAATCTCTATGTAGCTCATTATTATCCTTTGGAATATACAACATATATAATATGTTCATGAAGTACGCAATAATCTTTGTAACATTACATCAAATGATATTACATGTCTGTTCACGTTTAAACAATTTTTATATAAGATATAGGGATATAAGCATTTACAAACAGGTGAAAGAAATGACCTGAAGGATTACCTCAACAAAATCATCTTGGTAAATATTGATAAGTGCACACATTGATGTAGGTAAGCCTCATGTAGAGACTAACAATTATGCAAATACAGTATATTTATGGAGAATTTCATGATATTAATTGATGGATCATTTTGTGTATAATTTTGTTGATTAATAATTTAGTATTTGTTTTGATCTCATTAAAAAATTTAGGTAAGATATTCTTAAAACTTCATAAGATATATGTTACCTGGAAAAAGAAAGGAAGGTGGTGCCTTTAGCTTAGAATAAGACCAAGTATTATTAACTTATTACAGTATTATCAAAAGGATACTGATATTGATCTTCAAACAATATATGTAGCACATTTATATTTTTTGATACAATAAATCATGGCACAGGATTGGTGGTACCTTGTTATATCTTACATTGGTTATAATTTATAAAAAAAACCTCAATATTGATGTAAGAAACTCCAGTAATCTCGGAATCATTAGTGATTATTGATTGGTTATTGATTGATGAGTGATTAGTGATAATTGATTGATTAGTGATCATTGATTGATTAGTGATTAATAATTGATTAGTGATTGATTAGCGATTATTGATTTATTAGTGATTATTGATTGATAAGTGATTATTGATTGATTAGTGATTAATAATTGATTAGTGATTGATTATTAATTGATTAGTGATTATTGATTGATTAGTGATTATTGATTGATTAGTGATTATTGATTGATTAGTGATTAATAATTGATTAGTGATTATTGATTGATTAGTGATTATTGATTGATTAGTGATTATTGATTGATTAGTGATTATTGATTGATTAGTGATTATTGATTGATTAGTGATTATTGATTGATTAGTGATTATTGATTGATTAGTGATTATTGATTGATTAGTGATTATTGATTGATTAGTGATTAATAATTGATTAGTGATTGATTAGCGATTATTGATTGATTAGCGATTATTGATTGATTAGTGATTATTGATTGATTAGTGATTATTGATTGATTAGTGATTATTGATTGATTAGTGATTAGTGATTGATTAGTGATAATTGATTGATTATTAATTGATGAGTGATTATTAATTAATACGTTACAATTCAATACAATATACTTAAGTAATGAAAAATTGTTGAAATAAGTAGGGGTTGGGGGATGTCAAATGTTAATCTCTAAGTTGAAATGCATTTCTGCTGACCATTAAGCTTTGTTCCAACCCAAGTAAGGATCGAGGGATTTCATGTAAAATTTGTGATAGTGTTCAGTTTATATATTTATTTGTTTAAGTAAGAATTTCATTTACTTTTATTTATCAAAATCACTGTTGCAGCTTACTTTATGTTACAGGATGTATTATTTTACAGTGAACATCCTTCTTTTATCATAATTTGTTCTTTTAGACACAGAATGTGCATTTCCATTTGTTGCATAATAACTGTCAGTTCAAAATATGGAGCTTGTCCAGAGAAATGTAGATTGCCATTTGATATAAATCATTATGTTTTTCTAATTCAATATGTTTATGTCTTCATCATTATCTGCCCAAAATGCGAGTGAGCATAGTGCAAATACTGTGGCACCTGCAGTGTGTCTGGCATCAACTTTTACATAAAATTAAGGCCTGCACGGTACTGATATTGGGCCTGTAGATGCAGAGCTGAAAGGTTCCCAAGTTTGTTCAAAGAAAGACCTCAACCCACTTTTAAGGCCACTACCAATTTTGTTAAAATGAATCACTTTGATCCAGTCTGAAGGTCACAGGGGTAAAACAATGGCATAAATGTCTTAAGACATTTTGTGTTTTTTTTCTAACATATTTGAAAAGGAAAGTTTCATAGTAATTCTTGGATTGGTCCATCATATATGATTTATACTTAATTATCTATTTATATTGTTTTGTACCCAGAAACCGTACCTAAAGCAGAAAGATGGCATGGATTTCTATAAGGCAAGAGTGATAGAATGGTCTTTATTTTTAGGGATTTACCTCATTTTGATCTTAAATTGGACCACTGTTGTGTTTGTAAAAACTTTCAAATCTGTAAATGCTTTATTTATTCTTATCTAATATTAAAATTTTACCTGATCTATTTTGACTCAGTTTTGTCTTTCTTCTTTTTTTATATTTTGTGCAATTCACTGCAATTGAAATTATACTTTTAAATTGCATAAATGTTCCCACAAGTATTTCTCAAATATGTGCCCTGTTTTTGATTAGCCAGCATCAAACTGCACTTCCAATGTATGCCAGCCAGCCATCTGTTGTTTCACAATAAAGTCAGAGATTTCATATCACTCATGAAGGTTTGTAAAACATATTTAGAATGTTCAGTTAGATCAATCATTCAAAATCATCAGGTGATATCTGTGCTATGTTTAGGTGGCCTGATTTTGAATTGTTTGACACAACTGACCATAGTAAAGATATTTTGAAGATGAAAATACTTTGAATAGAAACTAGAAAGGGTTTTTAAACAGGTGCAGAACTTCCAGAAATTAACTACTTGTGTGTAAATTCCTCATAAAGTTTTAGGTACCTGTAAATTTGTTTATCATTCAATTCTGGCTTCTCTGTACATGTAATATAAACACTACGAACAGCAGATGTGAACTTCAAGGATCCCACTTCTGGGGTCCCAAGGATCAGTGTTTGGCCCCCTCTTATTTGTTATATTCCCAACAGATGCATCTGTATTCTAGCTTTTAAACAAAATTTCTTCTGTAAAAACATTTGATTTTTCCACCCTGTACACCACAATACCCAATTCTAAACTGAAGGAACATCTTTGTTCTCTTGATATGAGAGCTTCTCCGAGGATGTTGAACCATGCTATAAACAAAGGGTTGTGAACTTTACTGAAGCATATTTCATTAAATTTACGTCAAAATCATAGCAGAAATATAAGGACAAATTCATAAAAGTCATCAAGTTTCTGGTTGATAACATCTTCGAGTTTGGTAGCAAGATCTTCCAACAGACTATTGACATACATATGGGAACTGACTGCACCCCTCTGTTGACTGAAATGTTTTTGTTTTGCATACGAGGCTGAATTAATTAAAGAATTTATCAAAACAGGTCACATTGATGATGTCTGGTCTTCAAATAACAAAAAATTTATTGACAATGTTCATCGTATATGTATCGAAAAGAACTTGAAATCAAAGATAAGACAGACTCTTCTACATCAGCTGCTTATCTTGATCTTTCCCTAGAACGAAACCAACATGGACAGCTTTCCACCAAGCTGGATGATAAACGTGATGATTTCAATTTCCCTATTGTGAATTTTCCATTTCTGGATAGCAATATTCCCTCATCCCTAACCTTTGGTGTTTACATGTTGCAGGTGATTCAACATTCAAGTGCCAGTATCCATTATTATGATTTTAGTGCAAGAGGTTGTCAACTGTCAAACAAACTCTTAACACAGAGTTTCAAAAGATGCAGATTGATGAAATTTATGGGGAAGTTTTGAGAAATATTTCTTTGTGCGACATGAAGGTGAACGAGTTTGATGCTCATACAAATTGTAAGTTTGCCTGTTGGTTCCTTTGTTGTATATCTTGTTCCCATTTGAGAATACGATATTACTAACTTGAATTGACCCAGGTATACAGGGCGGGCGTCGTCGATGAAACAGAAAATGCTTACTCTTCCAGAACACCTGGCCTTATTCTCCTTGTACTTTTTCAGGAGTCTCTGTGTAAATCTTTCTTTTGTTCATATTTTCCCATAGTTTTATGGAATTTGAGTTTGACTTATGATTATCTTGAAATATTGTTTTTTTCTTGATGGTTTTGACCTGGGCTAAGCTCCAAGATGTCAGAAATGCCCATCAAGTCTAAAACCCTAGGTGGCCAGAAAATACCAAGTCAATTTTGAAGTCATTTGTTTATTTGTCTCTCAGCAATTGTTTCGTTTATTTTTTAGCCGTTGTGAATTAGGAAAAGACTTTGGTCCTCTATTTCATTATCTTATCATTTTCATTTCCTTTTCTTAAATTTTCAAACAACTAAAGAAATATATGACTCAAAGGATCTTCGGTTTTTATTAAAATATCCTGTGTCTTCAGTGACCAGGTTTTGAGTCCAATAATTCATACTGGGTTTTATCATAGAATTAATGTACCTCTTCCATGGGAATAATTATGCCATTCATCATCAATATGGTTTTGTGGTATTTTACGACAAATGGTCATGTACCATATAAAACCAGTGAAATAGACATCAATGGAGAATTGACATCATACACATGCTAAAGGTAGACTAAAAAAAACAAAACAGAGAAGTCAACATCACCATAATGTTTATTGTGCCTGTACATGATGTAGCACATTAAGAGACAGGGGAAAATGATACAAGTTCAATCACAACCAACAACTGACATGTGTTAGACCAAGTCAAACTGAGTAAACAGCAGACTTTATAATGGAGAGAATTCTCCCCTTCTAATGCTAAACAGCAGACTTTATAATGGAGAGAATTCCCCCTTCTAATGCTAAACAGTAGACTTAATAATGGAGAGAATTCTCCCCTTCTAATGCTAAACAGTAGACTTTATAATGGAGAGAATTCCCCCCTTCTAATGCTAAACAGTAGATTTGATAAAGGAGAGAATTCCCACCTTTTAATGCTATAATGTCCTAAACATTCACACCCTAGATATTGCAGCAGAGAGCCAACTATCCAACCCCAGTACAACACAAAGAAAATATTCTAAAATCCTGCAGTCAATCTGGCCGCGGTTACTCAAAGGTTACATAGAGTTAACCGGTGGTTAGTGAATAATTCTTTTTTTTGTTTGATCACTGAAAGAACACGAGATTAAAAGGCCTAATTAGAACTCTAAATATGTCCTGTCTCAACACATCTACTGCTGCTCAATAACAAATTATGTCTAAAATCTGGTTTGATTTGGTTCTAGCATTTGTCACTAACTACTGATTATCTCTTGTTTGAATGACTCTAGCCTTGTAGCCTTTATGTGGTGAAGTATCACCCCATGCTGTTTATTGGGATCAACAGAAGTCAATGGAAGTTTGGATAATTGGCTCATATTGTTTATTCTATAAAAGAATTTGAAAGCAATGATGTTTACAATTAGAAGTTAGCACTGATATTATATAGCACTTCATAAACTACAAATCGGATTACACTTTTTTTGCTATAAGGCAATCCAAATGTAATTTGATACCTCTTTAATATATGCCTGGACAGTAAAACACGATCAATCATATCGTTATACAATATTAAGTACAAGATTGGTCTATGTGCCTTTAAGCACAATTCAAAGTAAACTAATAAAGGAAAAAAATTGATGGTAAACTGCTGGTTGTCTGTAGAAACTCCACTTTATTCTTAGATATGTGAAACGTGAATACTTACACATTTCAGATTTTCTTGCAACTTCTATTTATTTTATTTTTGTTGGATTTTAAATCTGTTCTGTATTATTTCAGGCAATTTTGAAAATGTTTTTTTTTTATGTTCAGAAATGTCTTCAGTTGATCAAATGATAGTCTCTGTTTAAAAGCAAAGTCACCTGAACCCGTCACTCTAGCTCAATGTTTCTCTTTCACAAGTCTAAAGAAAATTAATTTGGTAATTGAACGAACAACACAGCTCCTGTTAATGAAACAAATATGATATGTTGTGTGAAAAATTCTAAACTCAAACTTAAACAAAACTATACGTATTGGAAAGATGAATAGTGATATCAAGGTAGGTTTTTGTAAGAAATTCTTACATAACTACTTTGTGCAGATATCAATTTTCAATCATTTTCAATACACAATTCAACACCTGAAAATTTCCATTTTCAAGTCGTTGTTAAACTGTTGAAAATTAAGAAATGGGAAATAAAAAAACACTGAAAAAATAATCATTAAAAAATGGCAATTAAACCTGGATCCCTTAGTACATGAACCTAGGACACAAATGGTTTGAGCTGTACTGACCAGTATCTTCAGGTCAAGTCCGTCCCAAGTTGGGATTGTAGACTTGTCCGTCATCCATGTACCACACAAGTACACTACAGGAAAGTACTACTCTTGACAAAAACCCTGCTGCTGTCTAAACACGACCAGAGTATCTCTATCACATCAAATTTTCCAATGGCTTGAAAAAACAAAACACAATGAAGTCATAATCAAAATCCAGTGGCATGATTAAAACATGTGCCTACCGACAAATGTCTATCGTTTTTGTTTACAATGTTCGACTATTGTAAAATGTTTTTCCATGTCATGTCTATTGATGTCCAGTAAGATTAACTTGTGCAAAGTCACAGAAATGGATACACAGTTTCTCCACACTCCAAAGTAACCAGGAGTCGAGGGCAGCCACTGGAACCAGCATGTGATGTGAGTTTACAGAGAACTTCTGGGTCTAATGTTTAGGTAGACAGCAGCAGGATCTAACCTCAGCAACCACCTTGATCTATCGTCTTTCCACTCCTCTTCGTCACATTCAAGGTGGTAAATTGCTGAAATAATAAAATTTCACATTAAAATTGATTATCTATATAGCACTGGTTTGTGAAAAATTCATTAAAGGATTATTTACAAAGGATACACAAGTCAACAGCAATCCATACATACAACAGCAGAGCCTAATAATGCATCACACCATTTTGTTCCTATAGGGGTGTAAGTAATGCTGAGTGTCTCAAGTATTAAAACAAGAGGCCCATGGGCTGTAAGGGTCATCTGACTATAAAAACCTATATAAGAAAGATGCCAAATAAGATGCTAAACTACAGCTCACATAGAAGACTTGTTTGGATCAAAAAGACATTTTCTGCAAACTTGAAACCATATTCTTTATAGATACACTACACCAATGCCATTACTCTGGACATAATGCTTGCTGAAAAAGCATGCTACAGGCCAATATCCAGGCCCTTGGCCTCTTGACCAGCTTTCATTTATATTAACAAATTGGTAGATTTTCATCACATCATGTGACAGGCCAAAATAACAGCACTGTTATCTTATCACCTAGTTATAAATTAAACCACAGTATCTTATCACCTGGTTATAAATTAAACCACAGTATCTATCACCTAGTTATAAATTAAACCAGTATCTTATCACCTAGTTATAAATTAAACCACAGTATTCCATCACCTAGTTATAAATTAAACCACAGTATCTTATCACCTGGTTATAAATTAAACCACAGTATTTTATCACCTAGTTATAAATTAAACCACAGTATTTTATCACCTAGTTATAAATTAAACCACAGTATTTTATCACCTAGTTATAAATTAAACCACAGTATTTTATCACTTAGTTATAAATTAAACCACAGTATTTTATCACCTAGTTATAAATTAATCCACAGTATTTTATCACCTAGTTATAAATTAAACCACAGTATTTTATCACCTAGTTATAAATTAAACCACAGTATTTTATCACCTAGTTATAAATTAAACCACAGTATTTTATCACCTAGTATATAAAAAGTATTCCATCACCTAGTTATAAATTAAACCACTTTAACACTTTTTAGTATCTTATCACCTTTTTTCCATAGTATTTTTCCTTATAAATCTTTTACATGTATTTTAGTATTTTAATGAATTATAAACTTCTCAGAGATAAAGATCTCCTGGCACAAACACAACGGGCATTTTAGAGGCCTACAAAATGCATAAAGTTATCAAAGAGATTTTATCTTGTAAATAGAATACATATTAGACATTTACAACCAAGGAATTCACTATTCCAGTACGTTTTTGGTGACAGCTTGTCAGTTTTCAGAAGATAGTGCCTCATTTTATTTGGTTTCCGGATCCTTGTTTTATAGATTTGTGTAATGATTTATTCAATACACTACATATTCATGCATCATCAGTTTAGAAATGACACCAACCTGGTAATGATTTATCTCATAGTTCTCAGCGTAACAAAGTCAAATAGATCACACCTGATTATAACAACCCCCTGTCTGTAACAATCAATTTCTAATACCGGTAGTCATCTGGGCGGGTGCTATAGACAGGTTTCACTGATTATAACAACCTCCTGTCCGTAACAATCAATTTCTAATGGTCATCTAGGCGGGTGCTATAGACAGGTTTCACTGATAATAATAACCCCCTGTCTGTAACAGTCAATTTCTAATGGTCATCTAGGCGGGTGCTATAGACAGGTTTCACTGATAATAACAACCCCCTGTCCGTAACAATCAATTTCTAATGGTCATCTGGGCAGTTATCATAAGAACACCCTGTCTACTGGTCCTCTAGACGGTTGTTATAGACAGATTTCACTGATCATAACACCCTGTCTGTGACAACCAATTTCTACTGGTCCTCTAGGCAGTTGCTATAGACAGGTTTCACAGATTATATGTCACTGTTCTGCTTAAGATCATATCATCACTAATTAGTATTTATTGAGATAGCAATTCTACAGAAAATTGAAATGACAGATTAAATTTCTGTCAAATTCTTATTAAGAAGACCAGCACTAACCTGTTCCACTCTATAATATCTGGGATTGTATATCTTTCCCTCAAAATATGTTCACTTACTTCGGAACAAGTAGGATGTATCCCTATTGTGTCGTCCAGGTCTTTCTTGGTTGCACCAAGTTTTATTCCCAATGCGTAGCCCTGAGTTATCTCCCCTGCAGTTGGTCCACAAACATGGAATCCCACCACTCGTTCCTTAGAAGACATGAAGAGGAATCAGTGTTAGAAAGTTCAGACAAAAGTTTGAATTTTCAAATTCAAGCTCAATGACAAAAATTCCACAATATTTTTTCCAAATCCAAAACAAAAGAAAAGTTAAAGAAGTAAATTTATGAATGAATTTGGTCATTACATGCAGAATATGATAAAAACATGTTGCATAAAATGGTTAAAAACACACCTTGTCAGGAATGTGACAGATAATTTTAGCATAGCAGACATTTTCCTCTCTCTTGGCCACAGTCCATTCCAGCGGCCAAAAGTTTGTGTGGTACACCTGTTATGAATGAAAAGGTCTGTAGTAACAAAATATTTCATAGGTAAAGTAACATTCATTCATAGATACAAATTTGTACACATTACTGTCTGTTCTATACCCTTTGAACCACTGGGTTTGGCTAGCTAACAAAAATTTAAAGAACATATTGTTTACATTAAATTTGTCAACTAAAATCCTGATTGGGCAGAGTCCAAGTTAGAAACTGATCTGTATGTTTGTGGTTAAAAAACACAGCAGAAATTTTCAATAAAAGTACAACACATTGCTATACATTGCTACTGATTTCTTGGTAATATTTTCTAAACGTTACTTCAGGAGCCAAAAAACTTTGTTTTTCAAATCCGTATTTGATCTATTCATCTCTGTAAACAGAAGTTACTATTAAGAGTACAAAATTATCACATAGAACAAATATCTTTCACCCTACCTCTATATTTGCCTCGCCAAACTTCTCTATTGCAGCCTCCTCCGAGTAGCCTATGGAACCATATTCCAGAGGCGTAAAAACTGTTGTGGCTACATTGATGTAGTCCGTCTGAAAAGAAACCATACATTGATTCAGCCTAGTGATTCTGATCACGACTAATGAGACGATAACTAGAATCTTTCACGTACTTGGGACATGAAAGGGTGATCTCAACCAGAAGAGAAAGATGATTAAGTTGACAAGCATGAAGCCTGAAATAATTTAGACCAGGATAGGACAGGATGCAAAGGGTATTGCAATACCACATATAGATTTACAGTACATTTACATACACAAAAAATCTTCATATAGAAAATCATTAGATCATTCCACATCTTTGCAAATGATTTCTAAACAAATCTAGACCTCATATCATAATAACAGATCAGTTCAATTAAACACAGCTTACATACCAGAACTTTGCTGTTGTTGTAGAGTCGACGGGCCAGGAGTTTGCCTGCCTGTATCGCTACTGGTGTGAGCTCTAGTTTGCCTTCCAGTATGTCACCAATTGCATAGATGTTGGACACGTTAGTAGCTTCATTTTCATCAGCAATAACTTTACCGTTCCTGTCAACAAATGTATCATTACCGCAACATTAGGGTATCAATTCTTATCTTAAAACTAGTTACAAAAAACTTTATTATTTGTCAATTTGTATTGACAATACAGAACTATGTACAAAGATCTTACATGGTGTTCTATTCATACAAGATGTATGAAACATCTAAATAAATACATTTTATCGAACCATAAATAAATAAAAGATCCTGTTTACTATAAAGGGTATAATTAACATGTTTCTGGTATTGTCTAACATCAAAACCTTGAGAGAAGATTGAAACATCATTATCAGTATATAATCTATCCTGTTTTTACACAATAAACTTACTTTTTCTCATGAATCAAATATACTACAAGCAGACATAAGAAGCCTAATTATGATAAATAAATCTAATACCACCACATTAACTAATTTATCAAAAAAGCTGAACTTTAGAAAGCTCCCAACATGTCGGGGCAATCCTCTTGTTTCCAATGTAAGTCAAAGTGCTTGAATATTTGTAAACAGCGCTCAATTTTCTATCATTAAAAAAAAAAAAAAAGACAAAAGAGGAAAATTCTAGTTGTTAATAAATCAGCATCAGTTGTGTAAATCACACATATCTACGAACAAAAACAAAAACCAGACAATTCTAAATGGTCTCTTTATCAAATGATACAGGAGCATGACCTGACAATATCTTTGTATATTAACTCACTTGTTGAGTTTGACACCAACTTTGTCAAATCCAATCGTGGATGTGACAGGGTCTCTGCCAATGGCAAATATCACCTGAAAACAGGACAAAATGTAGAAAGGTCATCATCCACAAATATCTTATTTCCATAACAGGAATATATTTACTTACAGAAGTTGGGAACTACAATTAGTTGTTTATTTAATTAGACTTTATCATATTGCTCTAGTTTAATCAGAGGTTAAAAAAGGTTCCAACATTTCTGGGAAACCTATCATTGATCCATCAGAAACATCCTTTATCCTTTTTTATCATCTTAACCTCTTTTGGTTTTAATTCATGTGTTGTCTTATCATCCCACTATTTCTCAGTTGGAAATGTCATGGATATAAAAACTGTGTATAAGACTTCATAGTCATTACCAAGGTTTTCCTAAAAATCAGACTGACAATTCAATGTTATCTTAGTAAATTAAAAGAATAAAATCAACAACTACTGTCTAAATAGTCAAACCACCCAGAACATACCTCACTGTATATCTGTATATCTCCTTAGTAGTCAGACCACCCAGAACATACCTCACTGTATATCTCTATATCTCCTTAGTAGTCAGACCACCCAGAACATACCTCACTGTATATCTGTATATCTCCTTAGTAGTCAGACCACCCAGAACATACCTCACTGTATATCTCCTTAGTAGTCAGACCACCCAGAACACACCTCACTGTATATCTCCTTAGTAGTCAGACCACCTAGAACATACCTCACTGTATATCTCCTTAGTAGTCAAACCACCCAGAACATACCTCACTGTATATCTCCTTAGTAGTCAAACCACCCAGAACATACCTCACTGTATATCTGTATATCTCCTTAGTAGTCAGACCACCTAGAACATACCTCACTGTATATCTCTATATCTCCTTAGTAGTCAGACCACCTAGAACATACCTCACTGTATATCTCCTTAGTAGTCAAACCACCCAGAACATACTCACTGTATATCTCCTTAGTAGTCAAACCACCCAGAACATACCTCACTGTATATCTCCTTAGTAGTCAAACCACCCAGAACATACCTCACTGTATATCTCCTTAGTAGTCAGACCACCTAGAACATACCTCACTGTATATCTCTATATTTCCTTAGTAGTCAGACCACCCAGAACATACCTCACTGTATATCTGTATATCTCCTTAGTAGTCAGACCACCCAGAACATACCTCACTGTATATCTCCTTAGTAGTCAGACCACCCAGAACATACCTCACTGTATATCTCTATATTTCCTTAGTAGTCAGACCACCCAGAACATACCTCACTGTATATCTCTATATTTCCTTAGTAGTCAGACCACCCAGAACATACCTCACTGTATATCTGTATATTTCCTTAGTAGTCAGACCACCTAGAACACACCTCACTGTATATCTGTATATCTCCTTAGTAACCAAAGTTCCTAGTATGTGAGGATACCTCAACGTACCCTTATATCGCCTTTAATGTCGGAAAGAATAAGGAATGACTTACAGTGTTGAATGTATCGCTGTACTCCGTCCCATCAGAGTATTTGCCATACACCTTGTATTTTCCGGGCTGGCCATCTTCCAGTTTCTCTATCTGAAGGGAAACCAGAGACATACAAATTAACACAGGATTACAATAAAAAATATTAATTAATTCCCCAGTTTTTCAGAAGAGTAATGCAGAATGAATTTGTAAAAGTGAAAGACTAATTTGTATCATCAGTCTGGTAACTCACACATGCTAACAAAGACAGATGTAAGATACTGAAACCAATCATCATGAAAAACAAGTCTCTGCAACTTGAAATCATGAATCTGGTTGTAGAGTCACAGCACACTTAGGTTCAGCATCCAAAATCAGAGATAGCCTAAATTTAATACAAAATTTTCCCAAATTTTTGTTCTTTCTGGCTTTGATACCAGCATTTTGTTCTTAAATTTGGAAAACTTGTTAATGGAACACTTTCTAAAGAATAAAATATGACAAATCTTTTTAAAACTTTTGTCATTAAGACCTACAAATCAATGTATATTTATGACATGACCTACCTTAGTTGGGACACATGGTCGGATGAAGTTGATGCCACTGGCTTCCATGTAATCTCCAATCCTGTTTGCCATCTGCTGATCGAAGCCTCTGAGCAGAATGGACCGAACCATCACTGTGACGTCTAGTCCAATGCCATGGAGGAATCCTCCACACTCGAGTGACACATAGGAGGCTCCGACAAGCAGGGTTTTTCCCGGGCAGTAGCTCAAGGAAAACAGGTCATCACTGGAACAAGAAATCTATATCTACCACTCGTATTCCACACATGTGCCGTTATTGTTTTCATATGTCAATAGAATTGTGTAATATTTGGCCATCAAATTCACTTATAATTCTAACTGGTACATATTTAAGTCTGTGTTGCTGAGATTTCAATCATGAATCCCAAAACTACAGTACTTATTTTCATCACCAATCTGTCATTTTTTCTAAAAATCATACACTTATTAGGAGAAGAATTAGCCTATCAGCTTACAGCAGTCTCAATAAATACACACAGAATATCATACATCAAAGCAAATTACTAGAATAACACATTCTTTGAATGATCATTCAGAAATCTACCCATACATCATGCCTTTATGCTTCTTTGGTATGAAACAATATAGATCTGGCAGCACTTGACAGTTATTTGTAGAGATTTAAGACATGGTTATCAGAGTCAACTGGTATGACTTTCAGTACTACTTAGAAACCATTACCGTAGGTGTAAGAATCATCTGATAACCTACAAGTACCCTGGTAATGCAGTACTCCTTTAGAATAGAAGTTCTTATAACACCACCAGTAGAAGATTAGAGAGTGACGTTTCAATGACTAAACAGTGTACAAGATGGTACAGAATTTATCATTTTTTGCGGCTGCACTGTAATCCAATGTACACTAAGGTCCAAAATAATGTAATGAGATGGTAAACAGAAAATAGACAAAAAAATACACCAGATAGTAACAAAGTTAAAGAAACCATCTGGATACTCTGCAGCGGGTCAGTACTTAATAGGGACGAGGGGGGCCACAGACTCTCGCATTTCTATGACCAAGTGTTAAACAAAGTGTAGTTGAATTGACTAAAGTACACTGTTACCATCTGGTTATTTTTTTGGTACTCCTTTACTCCTGGTTTATCAAGACAACCTACCTGGTGATGCAGTACTCCGTTACTCCTGGTATATCAATACAACCTACCTAGTGATGCCATGCTCCTTTACTCCTGGTTTATCAAGACAACCTACCTGGTGATGCCGTACTCCGTCACTCCTGGTATATAAAGGCAACCTACCTGGTGATGCTGTACTCCGTTACTCCTGGTATATCAAGACAACCTACCTGGTGATGCCGTACTCCTTTACTCCTGGTATATCAAGACAACCTACCTGGTGATGCCGTACTCCTTTGCGCCTGGTATATCAGGGTAACGTGGTCTTTCCCCTACAGCTACGATGAAATCTCGAGCTGTCTTTGTCACCTCCTTCCCCTTCTTGTTGACCCCCTAAACAATAAGACTTAAGTCAGCTTTCATATCAAACCAGAATATCCTTCTTTGGAAAATCAATCCAGCGTTTTCATGTTGTAGAAGTCATAAAAGGACCTTGTGTGACTTTCCATTTCATATAAAGTTGATGAAACGAGTCTTAAGGTTTTTCATTTCACCAATCTATCAAGCTATAATGAAAAAATAGTTTTTCATAAATCAATGTTAAAGGGAACATTGATGACTTTAAAATCCTTTTCATCATATTATCTGTTATTTAGGAAAATATTGCAGAAATGTCCTTCTTCATGTCCTCAACTGTATGTCTATGGTATCCATTGTAACAATGTAATCTGTTAATGTAAGGTAACATTATCAAATACTGAACTCAAAAATAGTTCATAGGACCTATTCTGAAATATTACCTGGGTATAGTCATGTGATTTGACAATTTCATGCTCCAAGTCATTTCAGATGTATGAACAAAGCACTACATTCTTTAAATATTTCCCATGACACAAAAATTCCGTCCTTTTTACCTTGATTGTGTGGTTATCAATAAACTCGGCATATGAATTCTGGTAGTCCACTTTTTTATCACGAAGTTGAACCCTATATCCCCAGTTGAGAGAGCCGATGTAATCCTGAAAAGAAAACAAAAGATTTGTACATAAACTAATTACAGAACTAACAGTCACAACATGTCCTTGTCTTGGCTATATTAATACATTTGTTGCACCACTTTTTCTATTGGAATATTTGGCTGTACTAACACCCTATTAAGTTGTCTGAGGGATTTCCTTTGCCTTTTTAACGGGAAGTGAGATATACAAAAGATAGAGTGGTACTTATCAAGAAATTCACTTTAACAGATATAATCTACAGAAAATGTTCCTCACCTGAATTGCATTTCTCATTGTTTCCCAATTGTGTTCAACTGAAAAAGTTAAGATCAAAAGTGAAACTTAATTCAAAATCATAGTCTGCTTCGGACAATTCATCACAACACTATTGTATTTTGTACCTCATGCAGGCACTATTGAAGTAATGAAATGACAGATGTACAGAGTATTTTTCCACACAAAATCTACTTCAATTATCTATCCATTAATTACACCTGCAGCAACAACAGGTCTTTGTTACTGTATGTATACATTTTTATAGGATTTCCTTATAAGGCCGAGCAAATCAATTTCTGATTTTAGGGTAAATGGAAAATAATGAAGACATGTAATTGAAATAAATATTGATCATCACTACCTTTCTCTGGAACTTCCCATCCAAAATGTTTAGCATCCACTAGACTTTGACCTGTAAAATATCAACAGTTCCAAAATATATTTGTTCATAAGATTTGATATATGTTAAAAAGTGGCATTATAAGTAATTGTATTTTAGGGCTGTACCAGTAAAACATCTACCTGACTCCAGGACAGAAGGACTACGAAAAAAACTCACTTCTATCAATGATTCTGATTCCAGCCTATTACTTCTATTCAAGTTATCAATTTAATTCTAGGTGTGAGAGCCCTTTACAAAACTTGGAAGTCCTTGCCAATATTTTACTGGATTAGTCCAGACTGAAGATAATAAAGAAAAGTCTCCATCAAACTTTAAGATTAAACAAACACTGACAACATGTAGCAGTACCAACCAGCATGCCACAAAGCTCCAGAACTTCTTTGCAGAATCTTCAGGCACTTCGCATGTGTAATTTTGTATATAATATCCAAAAAGACCACATAAAGCAAGGGCACTACTGAAAGCTGGACCAATATATCCCCATAACACCATTACTTTGCAGTGACTTTATCAGAATAGCTGCCTGTGTGACTTACCTAGAATAGCTGCCTGTGTGACTTACCTAGAACAGCTGCCTGTGTGACTTACTGAGAATAGCCATCTGTTATGACTTACTGAGAATAGCTGCCTGTGTGACTTACTGAAAATAGCCATCTGTTGTGACTTACTGAGATTAGCTGCCTGTGTGAGTTACCTAGAATAGCTGCCTGTGTGACTTACTGAGAATAGCTGTCTGTGTGACTTACCTAGAATAGCTGCCTGTGTGAGTTACCTAGAATAGCTGCCTGTGTGACTTACTGAGAATAGCTGTCTGTGTGACTTACCTAGAATAGCTGCCTGTGTGACTTACTGAGAATAGCTGTCTGTGTGACTTACCTAGAATAGCTGCCTGGTGCATTAACTTTTTGGGAATACATCCAACATTAACACATGTGCCTCCCAGACCTGGTTAATAAAATATAAATCTATAAGTGTAGTCTGAATTACAGGACTGCTGGCAGTGTAAGTGTAAACAATGAACATTGATGTACAACATGGTTTAAACAAGTTTACAAACTTAAAACTTTCTGTAGCGTTAATTAAATAGGAAATTAAAAATAATTGTCAAGGATCACATTAAACAATGGGTTTGGATAGAAATATGCTGCATATAGATATCTTTATCTACATGATCAGCAGATGTATAAAAGTAAACACCAAGAAACCATTTACCAACTTTGTAAGTTTTATCAGAAGTGTTATCAGCATAAACTTAATTCTTGTATAAATCTAAAATGTTTCATCAGCTACATGTTTGATGAAAGTGGAAAAAGCTTCATCATAACCTAGCAGCCCGGATATAGTGTCAGCTGATGATCACACACAACATACATTTACCAAACATTATTTACAATACAATTCAACTTCATATACAACATATTTAGAGCTGAATACTTCATGAATAAAAAGAATGTCTGTAAGATATATACCTTAACTATTACTTCAATTAAAGTAAAGCTCTATATGGTATCAATAACATTTTGTATTTTGAAAAAGCTGCAAACCAGGTTTCATCTAAATATGGTAATACTTATAAATTAGTCAACAAATCCAAATATGATATGATATTTATAAAGTTTGATTATTCCTTGTCACATTGATTTTTAGATGCTCAGTAAGTATGACAAGTCAATAAATTTATAACATCAACAGATGGACAGAGATTGTATTAATTTATGGCCAGTATGTGACAAGCAAAGTGCTGAAATTTAAATTGATCTATAACAATATCTACTTCAATTTTACAGAGATATAAACCTACCCCAAGTTGTCCCCATTGGTGTTGGCTTTACAAAGTCAAACACAGCAACCTTCTTCCCCAGTGATGCTGCCTCCTACAAGATAGCCATCATCATCATGTTAAGATACATCTGATCCACAAAGGTTTATATTCTAAATAATTATATGTAATGTAGTCGTACTGCTGAGGAAATCTTGATCAATTCTTATCCCCTTCCTTCATTTTCTGTTAATGATTGTTATAAATAATTTACATTGATGGATTATAAGCCAGTCACTAGCATCATGATACAAAAACTATTTGTTAAATGTAAACAATAACTGGATTACCTCCCTTGTCTTCAAAATGACTGGACAATTTCAGTTAAACCTCACTGTCTCAAATTCAGCAGAACCATGGGACTTCGAAATAACCAAGTATTTGGTTTAAGTGGGTTCGAACGTTTTGTGAAAAGTTAGGCAGGGACCGATGAAATATTTCAAATTAAACAGAGTCTTCAAGTAAATTGAGTTTGAGATAACAAAGTTTGACTGTATCTGTAAATGATGGGTAATGGAAGCACAATATATTACCTAGGATGATGGACCATTCAAGGTGTTGTGTTTCAAAATATCATGAAAGAATTTCACTCCCCAAAAACAAATTTCAGGTTTATAAGTAAAGGAAAAATATCTATTTGTTGCCAGTACCAGCAAAGGAATATATCAGAAAAAAATTCATGACATCTTTGATTCCTGAAGACAAAAATACTTTGTTTATCAATCATAAATATCATAAGGGAGTTAATTTTCTTGTTTAACTAAAGTGTTACCTTGGATGCAGCCAAACCTCCGGAGCCTCCACCTATCACAATAAGATCATAGTCATAGTTGGTAGCCTCTTGAAGCATCGCCTGTAGGCTACCATTCTTGTGTGCTTTAAGTGTATCATCACAACCTCCTGAAATAGTGAACAGAATAAATCCATAATTTATCTGTAATTACTAGCGTGTACTGAATGTCATCACAACCACCTGTACTATACAATTTATTTATCTCATATGTTATAGTATAGGTACTTAGAATGTTAAGTATTACAATATGTTCCTTATCTACATATAGAATAACATGCAGTACAAAAGTCCCATAGGGCCTGAATTTCTCACTCAGTTTTAGCAGCAACAGCCAAAAATGTGTTAATACAGTTCCTTAGTAACTGCACATTTCAGGATGCAGAACAGTTCTGTGTCTGATCACTCATCAAACCTTTTGAACCCCAAAAGGTGCAGACTAACATTTAAGACAGAACCTATTTCCTTTAACTAAGAACTAAATTTTACCTGAAGATTGTTATGAACCAAATTTAGACAAAATTGTATAATCCATACTGAAAAAACAAGGCTTTCAAAGAATTTGTCCCATTTCCCATATAGAGCCCAACCTCTCTAGCTCTGGACCAACTATTTACACCGAAGTTGGGTTGAATTTTGCCTGAGAATGCTTGAGATGTATAAAATCTTGTATTCCTATAAATCCTGTTTTATTCCCTTATTGGGCCCTTCCTGTCTTACAGCCCAAGTGATCCTAAACCTACCATTTACAGATACACAAAATAAATTCCACTTTACATGAAGATCCTTACCTGTAGAAAAAATTTCGACTAAATCCTGTAATCAGACATAAATATGTAGACATTTTCTTAAAAAATATATTCGGTTTTTCTCATTATGAAACTTTGCCCTCAGGTCTATAGCCAGGGAGGTCTGTCTATCTCCCTTCATACAAAATTGAGCCCCCTTCACCCAATGATGTTCTAGAACATATTTCATCAAAATCCCTTCTTGCAACAGAGTAAGAATTTTAAGAATTTAACCTCTAATTTCCTTACTGGACCTCACTTTGCTGTACCTAAGAGTAAAAGTCACTATTTATACACCATTGTGAAATTTTTACCCAATCTCAATTAAGTCAAAATCCAATCAGACCTTCCTGTGGACTTAAGCAGTGTTTTAGAACTAAAGTCGTATGGAAAAGTCAGGTGAGCTAATAAATTGTGCAAAGTAATTATCTTATCTGTCTGTCAATGAGACAACTTAAGTTGTATGATAGCTCTATGGCTTCAACAAGCAAATATTGATTGAAAAATCAACCTTAGATCTGCTGTATATAATGTTGTGATACTTTCCGGAGGCTATGGAGCTAATTTGTTACTGTGCAAGTAATCATTTGATGTATGTTAATATAGCTTAATCTTTTTTTTCGATCGAAGACAATTTTCAATACTTTTTGATCATGATTTCCCATTCCAACAAGAGCCAGGGACCTTAATGATCATTAGACTATCAATATTTGTAGATGGTAGAGGCCCAATGGGCCTGAATTGCTCATCTGTTCTAAAGCTTTCAAAGAAGACTTTGTTCATGAAGTTGATTTCTGCAAACTTGAAATCCGGAGATTTTAGCACAAATGACCCCTATGACCTTGAAAGTGAGTCAAGGTCATTTGTTTGAACAATCTTGGTAGCCCTTCATCCCATCATGTTACAAGCCAAATATCAAGTCTTTCTGATAGTGAGAAGTTGCTTAAACAATTGAACACATTTGACCCCTGTGACTGCAAAAGTGGGCCAAGGTCTTCATTTGGACAAATTTTGTAGCACTTTACCTGGTTACAGGTAAAATATTAGCCTTTGGTTCTTGAGAAGTTTTTGATAACCTAAAATACTATGTACTAAATTTTTGTATTTGCAATCTTTTTGATGAATTAAGGGTCTATTTTTTGTTTGACATTGTTTCAAAATACACCATTTATACCTTACTCAAGTTTTCCAAGAAAGGCATTTCAAGTATGTCTTGAATACCCCAATATCCCAAAGATTTGCTTTTCCTGTATCTCCATGAACAATTTGTCACAAATAACCCACTAATTGAGATCAGGCCTATAAAATAACTAACACTGTATGTCTAGCTAAATGTCATTAATTCAGTTAACATGGTAACCAAGGTAACAATATGACACTTGACTTCAGGTGTGTCATTCAATTCTGTTGGTAATTAATACTCCACATGGTCATTAAAAAAACAACCAGGAGTCTTAGAAAGCACATTAGATACCTGTGTCTGAATATAATTACTCCTATATGTGGGTGGTATTTCTTGGGTATTCTAATTGATTTTCATTACTCATGCCTGTATGTGGTACTTTCACTTTCCTTCCTGGCTTTAAAAGCTTAAGGCTATTAACAGACCTTTAACAAACTTTCATATGTGTTTATAATAATAAAGTTTTAGTGCACAAATCACCAGGGTAATAATATCAGGATTCAAGAACCTGGCAGCTTGAGTAGAGTATGATCAATAAATGTGATGTAGGGGCAGAGACTGGTAGTGTGATGTAGGGGCAGAGATTGGTAGTGTGATGTAGGGTCTGAGATTGGTAGTGTGATGTAGGGTCAGAGACTGGTAGTGTTATGTAGGGGCAGAGATTGCTAGTGTGATGTAGGGGCAGAGATTGGTAGTGTTATGTAGGGGCAGAGATTGGTAGTGTGATGTAGGGGCAGAGATTGGTAGTGTGATGTAGGGGCAGAGATTGGTGGTGTAATGTAGGGGCAGAGACTGGTAGTGTGATGTAGGGGCAGAGACTGGTAGTGTGATGTAGGGGCAGAGACTGGTAGTGTGATGTAGGGGCAGAGATAGGTAGTGTGATGTAGGGTCTGAGATTGGTAGTGTGATGTAGGGGAAGAGATTGGTAGTGTGGTGTAGGGGCAGAGACTGGTAGTGTGATGTAGGGTCTGAGATTGGTAGTGTGATGTAGGGTCTGAGATTGGTGGTGTGATGTAGGGTCTGAGATTGGTAGTGTGATGTAGGGTCAGAGACTGGTAGTGTGATGTAGGGGCAGAGATTGGTAGTGTGATGTAGGGTCAGAGACTGGTAGTGTGATGTAGGGGCAGAGATTGGTAGTATGATGTAGGGGCAGAGATTGGTGGTGTGATGTAGGGTCAGAGACTGGTAGTGTTATGTAGGGGCAGAGATTGGTAGTGTGATGTAGGGGCAGAGATTGGTAGTGTGATGTAGGGGCAGAGATTGGTAGTGTGATGTAGGGGCAGAGATTGGTAGTGTGATGTAGGGGCAGAGATTGGTGGTGTGATGTAGGGTCAGAGACTGGTAGTGTGATGTAGGGTCTGAGATTGGTAGTGTGATGTAGGGTCAGAGACTGGTAGTGTTATGTAGGGGCAGAGATTGGTAGTGTGATGTAGGGGCAGAGATTGGTAGTGTGATGTAGGGGCAGAGACTGGTAGTGTGATGTAGGGTCTGAGATTGGTAGTGTGATGTAGGGTCTGAGATTGGTGGTGTGATGTTGGGTCGGAGATTGGTGGTGTGATGTAGGGTCTGAGATTGGTAGTGTGATGTAGGGTCTGAGATTGGTAGTGTGATGTAGGGGCAGAGATTGGTAGTGTGATGTAGGGGCAGAGATTGGTAGTGTGATGTAGGGGCAGAGACTGGTAGTGTGATGTAGGGTCTGAGATTGGTAGTGTGATGTAGGGTCTGAGATTGGTGGTGTGATGTTGGGTCGGAGATTGGTGGTGTGATGTAGGGTCTGAGATTGGTAGTGTGTTGTTGGGTCTGAGATTGGTGGTGTGATGTTGGGTCGGAGATTGGTAGTGTGATGTAGGGTCAGAGACTGGTAGTGTGATGTAGGGTCTGAGATTGGTAGTGTGATGTAGGGGCAGAGATTGGTAGTGTGATGTAGGGGCAGAGATTGGTAGTGTGATGTAGGGGCAGAGACTGGTAGTGTGATGTAGGGTCTGAGATTGGTAGTGTGATGTAGGGTCTGAGATTGGTGGTGTGATGTTGGGTCGGAGATTGGTGGTGTGATGTAGGGTCTGAGATTGGTAGTGTGTTGTTGGGTCTGAGATTGGTGGTGTGATGTTGGGTCTGAGATTGGTGGTGTGATGTAGGGTCTGATATTGGTGGTGTGATGTTGGGTCTGAGATTGGTGGTGTGATGTAGGGTCTGAGATTGGTGGTGTGTTGTTGGGTCTGAGATTGGTGGTGTGATGTTGGGTCTGAGATTGGTAACATGATATCCAACCAGATATGTGTAGAGCAATCGAAGGACAAAAATTGGAAGTCATTTGTTTTTAAACTTATAATGAATTTTTAATGTGTACAATGTACAGTCCCATCTAAATTTGAATTAACCTACCCAATCTCAGTTGAATTAACAGACAGACAAAGCATGAATATAACAAGAGATCCAAGAGAAATCTTGGTGCCTACCATTTGCTCTTCGAATGTTGGATCTTTTCCCTTCTTTTGTCTTCTCTTCCCTGTTTTTGCTCTTACCAACAAGAAATTTGAAATTAATCCTTTGCAGAATTAGTGATAATAATCTTTTAACTGTGAAATCCAAGATGGTTACCTGAAAGCCACTTAAATTTTTCCCATACATGAAATTTAAGAAAGATCCATCAAGCTCTTCTCAAGAAATAGCAATAACAAACTTGCATAGTCAAAATCCAAGATGGCCACCTATTTGCCATTTTGATTTCCTGATCAGTCCCAAAATTAAATAATCACAACTAGAAACCAAAGGGAACTTACATATGAAATTTGATGGACGACATATGGACAGACAGATGACAGACCACTGATGTAGGGCAATTTGAATTCAGATTTCTATTAATCATGCAATAATGGAATTTTAACTCCTTTCAATGGTAACAGAATGCAACTTACCCAGGTGGTTACCATTGATAAACACATTTGGCACAGTTCTTTGTCCAGTTTCTTCCAGCAATATATTTTGTATTTCAGCCCCGTTGGCTGTAAAACATACACAAAATTAAGGATACCCTAATAACACATCAGAACAAAATCAGGACACATTTAAAAATCTCTCATAACAAACAGAATTCACAAAATAAGCCATACAGTAATCAATGACACAAATAATAGACATTTAAAGTTTAAAAATAATTTATAATAAATATTTTAGGTGATAATGATAATTTCAGACTGAAATGAACTTTTCCTACATACATGTCTGTTTGATTTTCTTTCTTTTGCGTAGTTTTAAAGCTAAGACAGCCGTTGAGGAAGTCCCAGATCCCATAACTTTTTTGTGTGAAGAGTTCATATCTGTCCAGTCTTATCAACATCTGTATATTTCTGAATATATCTTACACTACCTCCATATCAGAACACATTGTGCAAAGTTTTCATGGTCAGAATAAATCCTGGAATCAACACCCTGTGTTCAATGTGAACATGTCCATGAATCAACACCCTGTGTTCAATGTGAACATGTCCGTAAATCAACACCCTGTGTTCAATGTGAACATGTCCGTGAATCAACACTTTTTGTTCAATGTGAACATGTCCATGAATCAACACCCTGTGTTCAATGTGAACATGTCTGTGAATCAACACTTTTTGTTCATTGTGAAAATGTCCATGAATCAACACTAACGCTCAATGTGAACATGTCCATGAATCAACACTTTTTGTTCAATGTGAACATGTCCATGAATCAACGCTAACACTCAATGTGAACATGTCTGTGAATCAACACTTTCTGTCCACAACAACATGTCAATCTAATACGGCTGACTAGTTATTCAAACCTTAATTTGCAGTAATTATAGACACTAACAGAACTATCCAATCATGGAAGATACAAGTTACATGCAGAAAATCTATAATGATGTTTTCTCCAAGATCTGTCCTAGAAAATGAACTCTATCACTACCACTCTGACAATCTTCACAAGTGATACCAAGACCATTATCTGTCACAGCCATCACACAACCAAGGCTCACAGGTAAATCTACCTCAAAGGTATTGACACATTATACATTGGCTTCATCCATTAATCGTATTAGACAGTACAGCAACCGACCAGAACCTAGTTAATACTATAGATATCTGAAATAGTCAAACTCACCTATCTTATCCAATTCTGTTACCCCATATTCCTGGTTTAGGGATTTGAACAAATCCTTCACCTGTAAAATGAAAAATAGGTATAGCTGAGAATACCATTCAGAGGCAGGTAGAATAAAAAGGTATCATTGTGTGCAATACATATATAGTATAAGGATAAAATTTGACTCTTTCTTGATGAAATCGATCTTCTATCCGTTTTTCATTCATTACAGATATTTTATGTTAAAACAGTTGAATTCATTAGATGCTCTAGGATAAGAGGTCTATATTGCCAACATTGCCCACAAGTTGTTAAAAATATTTACCAAAGAGTGGTAAACTGTCACATCATATTCATTTTAAGACCATGTATTCTGAACAAAACAAGGTATAGTTTGTAATAGAAAAATTGGAAATAATTTTCCGAACTATCTACCAGCATTATTCAGTATTAAGTAGGAACAAAATTTTACCAAAACAGGGACATGTCCCCCTTTTTTCTTTTTCCAAGGGATCCCATACAGGGTGGTAGTATCTGCCCATACAGGGAAGAAGTATCTAGCCCATAAAGGGAGGCAGTATCTGACCTTATACAGGGAGGCAATATCTGACCCATACAGGGAGGAAGTATCTGGCCTCATACAGGGAGGAAGTATCTGGCCTAAAACAGTAAGAAGTATCAGACTCATACAGGGTGGAAGTACCTGACCCATACAAGGAGGAAGTATCAGGCTCATACAGGGTGGTAGTATCTGACCCATACAGGGAGGAAGTATCTGGCCTCATACAGGGAGGCAGTATCTGCCTTAACAGGGAGGCAATATCTGGCCCATACAGGGAGGAAGTATCTGGCCTCATACAGGGAGGCAGTATCTGGCCCATACAGGGAGGCAGTATCTGGCCCAAACAGGGAGGATGTATCTGCCTCATTAAGGGAGGAAGTATCTGGCCCATACAGGGAGGCAGTATCTGGCCCAAACAGGGAGGATGTATCTGCCTCATTAAGGGAGGAAGTATCTGGCCCATACAGGGAGGAAGTATCTGACCCATACAGGGAGGCAGTATCTGACCTCATACAGGGAGGCAGTATCTGGCCTCATACAGGGAGGCAGTATTTGGCCTCATACAGGGAGGAAGTATCTGGCCTCATACAGGGAGGCAGTATCTGACCTTATACAGGGAGGCAGTATCTGGCCTCATACAGGGAGGAAGTATCTGGCCTAAAACAGTAGGAAGTGTCAGGCTCATACAGGGTGGAAGTATCTGACCTCATACAGGGAGGCAGTATCTGACCCATACAGGGAGGCAATATCTGGCCTCATACAGGGAGATAGTATCTGATCTCATACAGGGAGGCAGTATCTGCCTCATACAGGGAGGAAGTATGTGGCTCATACAGGGAGGAAGTATGTGGCTCATACAGGGAGGAAGTATGTGGCTCATACAGGGAGGCAGTATCTGACCCATACAGGGAGGCTCATACAGGGAGGAAGTATCTGCCTTAACAGGGAGGAAGTATCTGCCTTAACAGGGAGGCAGTATCTGGCTCATACAGGGAGGAAGTATGTGGCTCATACAGGGAGGCAGTATCTGACCCATACAGGGAGGCAATATCTGGCCTCATACAGGGAGGTAGTATCTGATCTCATACAGGGAGGCTCATACAGGGAGGAAGTATCTGCCTTAACAGGGAGGAAGTATCTGCCTTAACAGGGAGGCAGTATCTGGCTCATACAGGGAGGAAGTATGTGGCTCATACTTGGAGTAAGTTTCTTGAGTCAGATTATTTATATTTATTTCATCCATAGCCACAAGAAAAAACAATTAAATACCAATTTTAATACAATCATATTTGGCCATTTTCTATAATTTTCTGAAACACTGAACCAGATCCTGATAATGCTATTGTTTCTACTTTGCTAACATCTCTTATCTGGTATAGGACCATGTAGATTTTCAGGATCAATTTTGAATTCTTATTTCCTTCATTTGGCCTTGCAACTCAGTCCTGAATATTTAAATAAGAGTCCAAATGGGCCTGCAACGCTCCCCTTGTATATACTATCCAAAGATCATGGCTCTAAGACTTTTAGTTAATGAGAAGAAGTCGTGTAAAGGTTTTAGCAAATCTGCTACCTGTGACCTTGAATAGCTCTTAAGGTCATTTTTTTTTTTGGAAGTTTTGTCTGGCTTTATCCTTGGAACATACCAGCAAAATATACAAAAATTTGGTCTATTGGTTATTGAGACTTTGTTTAAAGAAAAAAGTTGACATGTACACGGCATAAGCTCACTTTGCTTTTCAGGCAAGATGAGCTAAAAAAATCAAGCTGGTCTGGAGAATCATACCCAATATATATTGACATCTGTACTTATTTTCCTTTCTGTAAGAAGATGAAACCCTGACCTACTAAGTTCTGCACAATTAACCTTTCATTTTCAGCTTTGGTCCAGACAGGCCATGTACAATAGAAATCCATTTTTCCTACCTTAGTTCATGTGACCTAAAACACTGTGGTAATCACAAGATCCCGGGTATTGACAGGTAAGCACTTGATAATATTGATTTACATTATACAATCTGATACTTTCCTTAATGAACCTAAACGTGAGATACAGAGTAAGACACAAATTGATGAGAGTAGCATACCGTGCATTACTCAGGTAGTCCAAGACTAATTGTAATTAGTCTCAATACGAAACGATTTCTAAAGGCCGTATACCTTAGCAACAGACATGTAGGACCTGTAACCAATCATCAGGTCAAAGTAAAACATGTTTCTACTTTTGCTTAAGAGGTCACGGGTCAGATTTGATGATCTAGCTAATTCTTCAACAAGAAAATGACTGTAAGACATGAATGCTGCCACCATTTATGGTAGAACTGTTAGAGGTTCTCAAGGTATACAACATTAATTCAAGTTGGTACAGAATGTGATGGTGGAAGGTGCTGGACATGCTGATCCCCCACCCCCTATAAAAATGGTGGGTGTTTCAGCTCGGAATTATTTCAGCTGTAGTCATCAAAGTACTGAAATTAATGAAAGACTAAACATGTTGATAATGTATAATTTTAAATGCAAAATATAATCTATCACATGAAAAATAATCAAGCACTTTTATAGGAGATTACTATCAAAAGCAAAATTGGAAATTTTGGATATATTTCAATCAAACATTTCCCAAATCAAGAGATTGCCAATGACTTTGGTATTGGATAATTGAAACAGAACAACATTAAAACTCTATAACAGATTATAAAGGGTTTTGTTTATTAACCATAAAAATCCACGTACAATGCACAATTTCTCATGAAAAATTGAACGTCCAAAGCAGAGGAAGATTTTGATGATTTATTTATGAACAACAATTAATGATAAATAGATAAATAAAGTATATATTAATGTAAACTATCCAAGTCAACATCACTGAAAACCAGGACAAAGTATTTAAAAACATGATTAGCAACTAGCAAGACTGGAAACTACTGATCGGTAAAGACAGTGACGCATGTGAAACATTGAAAAATATGTCAATTATATATATATATATTTTCTGAAACACTTACATATTCAACTGTTAAGAAATGACACATTTCATTTTATTCTCCTTCACGTTGGGAATCACAACAAAGAAGCCATGAGCATATGTCTGCTTGTGTTTTGGCAGAAGTAATCATTGACATATTTTGAAACTTCTAACTACAGATTTTTCATTCATTAAAATACCTCTCATTTGTGTTTATTAAGTCACATGATTACTAAATCCTTGTTGGGATGCAATGATATTATCAAAAAGTGTAGTGAAACACTGTTACTCTTTGACAAAATATACATGTCAACATTTCACGCTCCACATACCTCGCTTGCATACAATACAGTGTTGGGGCCTATATTATAGTTTGTGTCAGCAACTCGCACAAGATGTGATAGATGACATAACAGAAAACCTCATTCACAGAGATTGTACTTACCTGGTTTGGTAATGACAAGGAATATATAACTGGACATGTTTATCTGTTATATACATCTTTGATAAATATCATAAAATGACACTGGGATCCATTCTTTCTTGTAATTAAAACAACTAACAAAAAGATTATGCTGCTTTGATGTGTGATATACATGCATATACAGTCAGCAATCAAGGGAAACCTTTGGTTTTGTAACTCCTCCAATTTTACAAATATCAACATAAACTTGGTACAAGGATGAATTATAAACAATAACAATACATCTTTTGATGTCGCTAATTTGTTTGAGTATTTCAATGTTTGAAGATACTGATTACCCATGCAATTTGTATAAAACATGTGTACACAATTGTGCCAAACTGTCGATCTCAACACTCATCATATCTTGGTCATTTTTTTTCATAAATGTAACTGAAACTCAATATATTAATGTATTATAATCATATAAAGTACATACCTTATGATGTGTCTGAGTTTATTTAGTATTTTAAGATGGATGATTGTGATACACAATGTACAGTGCTGCTGGCCATCAAGGAAAATTGAACTCTCCATTACTCAATCAACTTTACAAATATCAACATGAAACATGGCACAATAGTTTCTGATAATTTTATAAGATATATTTGGAAAGTCATACTGTCGCTGTTTGTCACTAATAGAATAGATGTCAGTGATCCCATAATCCCATGCATACTACACCATCTTGTCCCATCTAATGAAAATTAACTTCAAACCAGAACAATGCTAGTTTGCAATTGACAAAAAATCTCAATCTGAATAGCATCAGCAACACCTAGTCGGTCCCTTTTGGTGTAACACTTGCTCGTCTCACTGTGACCATACGCATGCATGACACTGATTTGAAAGATGGCAGCATTATCTACAGCACATGACTGCCACCATAAGTCTTGGGTACCTCAGACAATTTGAACCAGTCAGAAAAGATTGGTAGTAACATCTACTTCCAGGGGCTGTGACAATATGCTGAAACTGTAACTGCATTACGTTTAGACTAAAAATATCAATTATAGAGACACATGTCCAATGGTGTCTATGATATCAATTTGGTCTCACCTTTTCCTCAACATGACAGGTGTCATAAATAAACGTAATCATGACACACACACAATCACTCTCAACATGTCCATATCTATACATAACCCTTAAAGTTATTTTCCTGGTCTACTGACTTAGCTACATTTTCTTTCATAGATTACAGGATAATCAGCCCCAGTAAAAACACTTGTCTATTGTCCTCACGAGTGAATTTTGGAGACAGAAAAGTTTTTTTATTGTCACCTAGTCAGTCAGAATATTTTATTTTTTGATGTAATTCCATGAAATGATAAAATAAAACTGCCTACCTAACCATTAGCCGATACACATAACTTTTGAAAGACATTATTGTGCAAAATTATAAAATTTCTGTTCATGATCAGGAAAGCTTGTGCCTCCTACAATAAAAAGTGAACATGACGCAGCAGGTGCTTCATTGAGTCTGATTACAATACATACGCATGTGACCCTACCTTAGTACAGAAGGGACAAGTGACCCTACACATGACCTTACCTTAGTACAGAAGGGACAAGTGACCCTCCACATGACCTTACCTTAGTACAGAAGGGACAGGTGACCCTACACATGACCTTACCTTAGTACAGAAGGGACAGGTGATCCTACACATGACCTTACCTTAGTACAGAAGGGACAGGTGATCCTACACATGACCTTACCTTAGTACAGAAGGGACAGGTGATCCTACACATGACCTTACCTTAGTACAGAAGGGACAGGTGACCCTCCACATGACCTTACCTTAGTACAGAAGGGACAGGTGACCCTACACATGACCTTACCTTAGTACAGAAGGGACAGGTGATCCTACACATGACCTTACCTTAGTACAGAAGGGACAGGTCATCCTACACATGACCTTACCTTAGTACAGAAGGGACAGGTGATCCTACACATGACCTTACCTTAGTACAGAAGGGACAGGTGATCCTACACATGACCTTACATTAGTACAGAAGGGACAGGTGATCCTACACATGACCTTACCTTAGTACAGAAGGGACAGGTGACCCTCCACATGACCTTACCTTAGTACAGAAGGGACAGGTGACCCTCCACATGACCTTACCTTAGTACAGAAGGGACAGGTGATCCTACACATGACCTTACCTTAGTACAGAAGGGACAGGTGATCCTACACATGACCTTACCTTAGTACAGAAGGGACAGGTGATCCTACACATGACCTTACCTTAGTACAGAAGGGACAAGTGACCCTCCACATGACCTAACCTTAGTACAGAAGGGACAAGTGACCCTACATATGACCTTATCTTGGTATAGAAGGGACAAGTGATCCTACACATGACCTTATCTTGGTATAGAAGGGACAAGTGACCCTACACATGACCTGACCTTGGTACAAAAGGGACAAGTGACCCTACACATGACCTTACCTTGGTACAGAAGGGATAGGTGGCCATATTTACCTGACCTTACTTTAGTACAGAAGGGACAAGTGATCCTACACATGACCTTACCTTAGTACAGAAGGAACAGGTGACCCTACACAAGACCTTACCTTGGTACAGAAGGGACAAGTGACCCTACACATGACGTTACCTTATTACAGAAGGGACAAGTGATCCTACACATGACCTTACCTTAGTACAGAAGGGACAAGTGATCCTAAACATGACCTTACCTTGGTACAGAAGGGACAGGTGACCCTAAACATGACCTTACCTTAGTACAGAAGGGACAGGTGACCCTACACATGACCTTACCTTAGTACAGAAGGGACAAGTGATCCTACACATGACCTTACCTTGGCACAGAAAGGACAGGTTGTCTTGCTGAAGATCATGACTTTGTTTTTTTCCACCTGGTCCTTGACCTCTTTCTTGAGGTCACCAGGGCCCAAAGGGGGCATCTTGACTGGGGTAGAGTTGATCACGGGAGAACCAGACCGCTTAATCTTGAATTATTTTACCACAGCAACACCTGCAATTTTAACAGACCCTGGATTATAAAATAAAAGCATATACAAGAATCTAAAGAAAGAAGTGTTGTCATCATTTAAAAATAATGCAGTGGTAGCTATATAGAAAATAATAATGTTGTTTAACCAGTCCTTGTACATTCCACTCAATACTGACAGTCAGATAACCTGTCCTTGTACATTCCACTCAATACTGACAGTCAGATAACCCGTCCTTGTACATTCCACTCAATAATGACAGTCAGATAACCTGTCCTTGTACATTCCACTCAATACTGACAGTCAGATAACCCGTCCTTGTACATTCCACTCAATACTGACTGTCAGATAACCAGTCCTTGTACATTCCACTCAATACTGACAGTCAGATAACCAGTCCTTTTACACTCCACTCAATAATGACAGTCAGATACCCCGTCCTTGTACATTCCACTCAATACTGACAGTCAGATAACCCGTCCTTGTACATTCCACTCAATACTGACTGTCAGATAACCAGTCCTTGTACATTCCACTCAATACTGACAGTCAGATAACCAGTCCTTTTACACTCCACTCAATAATGACAGTCAGATACCCCGTCCTTGTACATTCCACTCAATACTGACAGTCAGATAACCCGTCCTTTTACACTCCACTCAATACTGACAGTCAGATAACCAGTCCTTGTACATTCCACTCAATACTGACAGTCAGATAACCCGTCCTTTTACACTCCACTCAATACTGACAGTCAGATAACCCGTCCTTGTACATTCCACTCAATACTGACAGTCAGATAACCAGTCCTTGTACATTCCACTCAATACTGACAGTCAGATAACCCGTCCTTTTACACTCCACTCAATACTGACAGTCAGATAACCCGTCCTTGTACATTCCACTCAATACTGACAGTCAGATAACCAGTCCTTGTACATTCCACTCAATAATGACAGTCAGATAACCAGTCCTTGTACATTCCACTCAATACTGACAGTCAGATAACCCGTCCTTGTACATTCCACTCAATACTGACAGTCAGATAACCCGTCCTTGTACATTCCACTCAATACTGACAGTCAGATAACCAGTCCTTGTACATTCCACTCAATACTGACAGTCAGATAACCCGTCCTTGTACATTCCACTCAATACTGATAGTCAGATAACCCGTCCTTGTACATTCCACTCAATACTGACAGTCAGATAACCCGTCCTTGTACATTCCACTCAATACTGACAGTCAGATAACCCGTCCTTTTACACTCCACTCAATAATGACAGTCAGATACCCCGTCCTTGTACATTCCACTCAATACTGACAGTCAGATAACCCGTCCTTTTACACTCCACTCAATACTGACAGTCAGATAACCCGTCCTTGTACATTCCACTCAATACTGACAGTCAGATAACCCGTCCTTGTACATTCCACTCAATACTGACAGTCAGATAACCAGTCCTTGTACATTCCACTCAATAATGACAGTCAGATAACCAGTCCTTGTACATTCCACTCAATACTGACAGTCAGATAACCCGTCCTTGTACATTCCACTCAATACTGACAGTCAGATAACCCGTCCTTGTACATTCCACTCAATACTGACAGTCAGATAACCAGTCCTTGTACATTCCACTCAATACTGACAGTCAGATAACCCGTCCTTGTACATTCCACTCAATACTGATAGTCAGATAACCCGTCCTTGTACATTCCACTCAATACTGACAGTCAGATAACCCGTCCTTGTACATTCCACTCAATACTGACAGTCAGATAACCCGTCCTTTTACACTCCACTCAATACTGACAGTCAGATAACCCGTCCTTGTACATTCCACTCAATACTGACAGTCAGATAACCCGTCCTTGTACATTCCACTCAATACTGACTGTCAGATAACCAGTCCTTGTACATTCCACTCAATAATGACAGTCAGATAACCCGTCCTTGTACATTCCACTCAATAATGAGAGTTTGCTAACCTGTCCTTGTACATTCCATGCAATACTGAAAGTTGTTTAACAAGTCCAAGTACATTCAACTCAATACCTGGTTAACCAGTCCTTGTATATTCCACTCAATACTGAGTAACAAGCTGAGAGCATAAACATATCATTTTTATGACTTAGTAAGGCATACATGTAATTACACCTCATTATAGTGTAACCAATGTATACACCAAGTCTCATGATCCTTGTTTGATCGTGGTTAAAGGTATGTTCTCAACAAAAGGAAGGACGGAAAAGCAGAAGGACAGAGACAGACAAATAGGCAAATATATGCTCCCCACAAAAATTTTCAGGGAGCTTAAACAAATCTTACGGATAAAAAAAAGAAACAAGGATCCCATGTTAAGCTCTCTCTGATGATTTGCAGATACATTTCTTATGCTTATCTGCTTGGCTAAAGCTTTTAACGATATTCATACATGATAATTTTAATGATACTGTTATGTTTTCATTGCTTGTAGTATAGTTCCACATAACAAAGTGACAACACTGCTGATGTACATCAAGTATGTATAATACATTAAAGAATTATCTTGAGATAACTTATGTTTTATAAATCAAAGCATTAATCATGTTTTTATTAAAAGAAAAAAATATAAAATGAGATTGTGTGTGAAGATAACATTACCTATGATTACTAATCAGATGTATCAATTCTAAGCAGTATATATAGATAGATCTGATGAGCATAACATACTGTCTAAAATATATTTAAAAATGGTCAGCTGATAATAAATAGATACAAGAGATCACTGGGATCTTGACACCATTTTTAAAATTTTTATTTGTTCTTTGAAAGTCTGATCTTTCCCTTCTTTTCTCTTCTTTACTCATATTTGCTCAGAATTATATGAAATTTTAAAATTCCTTTAAAGATATAGCCTTTAAACTGGCAAATCAACGATGGTTGCATATCGCCCGTTTTCTTTTTTTGTGAACTAAGGATTGAGGAGACTTGCATATGAAATCTGAAAAAGATCCATCCAATATTTCCCATGCAACAGCTATGACAACCTTTCATATCCAAAATCCAAGATGGCTGCCTGTCAGTCATTTTGTTTTTTATCAGTCCAAAAATCAAAAGGAAACATCTTACCAAGGACAATGTATGAAATTTGAGAAAGAACAATCCAGTACTTCTCAAAATTAAGCCACAGGTTCAAGGCCCTTTACTGTTATCCATATTCTTTAAATGCTGTTTTCCTAGAAATAATCTTGTTAACAAAAATAAGAAAACTTGAACTACATTGTACATGTCATGCAAACATAAACTGTGCATAACATTTACTCCCATCCCATGTTAAAAATTCTAACTACATCTGAATTAAAAGAAACAAATACTCAAAAATATAGTTTTCTTATATATGCTTTAGAAAACATTGCCCTCTCCCCACGTGGTCCTAATTTTGCTAAAGCAGCTAAGACCTTTCCATCCATCAAGAGTATCTGATTCTACCATACATCTGGATATTAAGAACATATTTGAAATTTTAATCCTTTTTATCCATGTGACACCTTTTGGTCCTTCTCATGAGCGCCTGTGGGTTGAACAGTCTGGATGCATGTATATTCATCAAACCACCTTCCTATACTAATAATTGTAACCAAGTTAGAAATATTTTCAATGGAGAATAAACAAGGTTTTCCTATATATATCAAAGTTAATTATACCTCTCCCCAGGGAAAAAAATGAGATTCTGGCTGATGAAATTCACAATTTTGTAAAGCACCCTAAAACCTTACCAACTATAAAGAGTATTTGATCCTACAAGATATCTAAAGCTTGACTCCATCTGACCTCTTTAGACCCTGGGGTTGGGGATCATATACCAGGTAATTCACAATTTTTATGAACTTTGACCATGAAAGGTTTATGCAAAATTCCATCAATACTGGTTAATGGGTTTCCAAAAAGTTGAAAATGTCAATTGTTTTCAATGGACAAGGTATATTGCCCCACAAAAGGAGATTGCAAAAGGTTACCAGAGATTTTGTCTCAGGGTGCCAAAATTTTATAGCAAATTTTCCATGATAGGCACCTAGCAGCCATTTTGTTTTTCTGGTCAGTATGAAAATCAGACAAATGTTAGCTTCTCAAAAAAGTAGGTGTGGCAAATGGACAGGTTCATTCAGTAGCTAGACGGGAAAACAAGTGTCAGCTATTATTTACTGTTCTTCAGATGACTTTGTTTGGGTTGAGAAAGTTTTGTCGTTAATTTCCATGTGATTTTTAAATGGAATGATTACATACCATACAGCAGTGTTACCTTTCTGTTTCATATAGTAATTGATCTTGAGAATTTGATATGATACAGTCAACAAGAACATATTTACTAAAGCTAATACATCTATTTCAATCTCCATCATCAGAAATCAATGACAAGCAAATTCTCCTATCAGTATGTGTACACATATATTGACATTGAAATCTATAGGGAAATACCAGTGGCAAGGGTTACTGCTGCATAGTCAGTGGATGATGAGAAAATGTACAAACAAGATCCATCAGCCCCTATCATCCTCAGTTTGATTGATTTAATATTTGACCTTTGTGATATTGAATCTAGCAATAACAGGGCTGCCAAATGGTTACCACAGCCAGTTAAACACAAAATATAAGTCTCATAATCACACACTAATTGGTCTGTCTGATTTGTTTGGTACAGCTATTACCTTCTCAAGGTTTCCCTCGTATTTAATTTTGCCAAATCATATAATTATCTATTCCAATTTAAATTTTTTCAAACAAGAAATACCTGTAATTAGTATTTGTATACCAGAATGGGCACAAGTGTGTTGTGTAATACTAAATGAGATGACAGCCGACAGCCAGACAAGTGTGTGTATATACATATGTTACATCCTATTTATCAAAGTGTACAGCATAACAGTATTTATCATACTCAATGAGGGCAGCATCCCCAGATAAAATCAAATGCAGTTTAAAGTGTTATCTCTCTGAAATGTCATGACCATTACATTAGTACCACACAAATGATCTGAATTAATTGTAAGTGTGATCTTTTCTCTTTTTTGATTCCTTTCTGTTCTATGCTCGGATAGTGTGAATATCTGTTGTATAGACATTTGACAGACTGTGTGTATCTATAATTCATGAAACAAGATTCCTTAAATATTTTCCAATAAATAGCCATGATTATATCCAAGATCTGTCATTGGACCAACTGTAATTAGCAATAATGTTGAAAAGGACTCATGAAAATAAAATGTAGATTGATCAATGTGGGTGTATCAGCAAGATCAGACCCACTGGGGAGAATTATCCCACATAGCTATGTGGAAAAGAACAGATAAATTTATATGGGGATTCAATTTGTGATAGAGACTTAGAAGAACTATCTGACTGGAGAGCAAGTAGTGTGCTTTCACCAGGCATGGAACCTGCAACTCTCAGCTTACTAGCCCACCATCTTACTGACCAAGCCTAAAGGAAATTTTATCTAGCAAAGATAGGTGAACCTATCTATATGTACAATATATGTGGAAATAAAATCTGCCAGTTCAATCAAGTCTGACCCTTGTGACCTTTAATATATGTCAAGGTCACCACTAATATTTTGTGGGCTTCATCCAAGGTACTCTCCAGCCAAATATTCTGACTCTTGGCCTTTTTCCAGTTTAGGATATTGAGAAGTTGAGAAGTTGGATGCCACACCACGGGATAAGGTAACACCTAAACCAAGAAACATCTCAAGAAATAGAGAGATGCATATTCATTTTCAAGGATAAACACTTGACTGACTCTACAGATGAATTTTGGTGAGCTAGCTGTATAGTACCAATCTATCATGTACTCTGTATGTTTACCACAGCAGTTTAAGAGGTACAAAGAAACCTTATATTGTATCATGTCATGTCTGTCAGAATCCTGCTTTTAACTTGAGGTAAGATATTGATCAAGCTAAAATTCACACTTGAGGTAAGATATTGATCAAGCTAAAATTCACACAAGTACAAATGACATGAAACACGTCCTGGTAATACAGGTCTATCAAATGTTGATGACACACAACTATCAGTACTATGTATTATGTATAGTATTGTCAGGGACGTATAATACAGTATTATACGTCCCTGGTATTGTTAATAAGCAAAGTGTGTGTGTAAATTCATGAAGTTAATACCCAACATACTATGTTATAACACAGACAGCTCTGAAATTGAACGAAATATATCAACAAAACAAACATTGCGACAAATCCGCGTTCTTCTCTGTAGAGTGCGAAACGCAATCATGTGGGAATTTTCTACAATAAATATGGCCGAACACCTGAATGAATGGCCAAATGGTCAAAAAACTTCAGAATATATATACCTGAGTAAAAATCTCCTTAGCACCTCTCCGCTGTAAATATGGCGGATTACAGTCGAATTATTATATTAGCTTCTATTTATAGAGAATGACCGATACTTGTCTTGTACACCCACCGTCGTAACCGAGCTATGTAAATCCCTTGTCATATCCCGCCAACCACGTGATTCTAATTATAGAACTGATTTTATAATGACGTCATCCGGAAGTGAAAGTGCAAATTCATCGTACGGGGAATCCTCCCAGAAAGGTTAGAAAATCGAACAGGATGAGATCGTTCGATACTTAGGAGGGCAGGGATTACTTTTTCTTTATTTCATCAAATAATATTTTCCAACAATTTTACCATAAACAATTGTACTTTCATTTCTACCCATATTTTGAAGCCAGTCTAGTTGTCAAAAATGCTCTCAATTTTTGCCCATTCGAGAATAATTTTGTAGCATATATCTCATCTTATGCAAAAGAAGTTGTGAAAATATAAGAGTTTTCTAGGGAAATCTTCATACTTTAAATCATTTCAATTAATAGTAAATGCATTAAGATAGCACGACATCAATCAACTAAATTTGATAATGTTAGTGCATAACGATCAGATTTGGTTTTATGGAACACGGTTCATAATTTCGGTATATTTTGAAAAGTGTCTATTATACGTAACTTCCATGTAAAAGGTACACGAAGTGCTATTCTCATTATACCATGTACTTATTGAAATAATTGTAAATCTCTATAACCTTGTGCCACGGAATGAGATATATAAGATAGGTGTATATATATCTGAGTATATAAGTACTTGCTTATACACAATTTCACAATGTCATAAATTATATCTAGGATAATAGATTTACAGCTTTCGTCTTTTAAAAATACACACAAGTATTACTTTATTTTAAAGAATTGTTTGCATATACATGATATCATTTAAAAAAACATACGCTGACAAAGGAGTGACAGCAAATATAATCAAATTATCATTATATGTATATGTATATCAGGGACGTATAATACAGATTTATTATACGTCCCTGATGTATATATAGTATATAATTTATTAAGTAATATCGACGGTATGGTCCAATATTTGTACTGGATCCTAACAAACAAATGTTCGTTGGATGCGTATTACTGGAATAGATATATGATCAATGAAGTAATAGCAACAGTACGGACAAGCGAATTGTCAAATTTTTGAGTCAACCTGACACTTTATCAAGACACAAATATTACATAAATTACATCACATACAAAAAACATAGGATATTATATAATGGTTGTTACTGGTAGCAACGTATGTCTCTTTTTTTAAAAATCAGATACGTTCACACTTCACAGTTTCAAACAAGTTAATCATACGTACCGTTTAATTAACACAATTTTCTAATCTTCTACTGAGTCTCTTAAAATCAGCTTGCTCACTCATACCGGATCTAACAGATACGTCCAGTCATGGCAATCTCATATCCGGCTTTATCATTGTGAATACAAGGACATACAATGTTTTATCTACGTCTCTGATAACCATCGTAATATATTAAGTAAAGAGAGTTGCTTCAAATCACAAAATAGTTATAATCACCTGGAAAGCATTATTGAACAGCGTTTTTATTATCTTTGTTGCGTTTACGTTACTATTAACGCAGTCGGAAACGGTACAGATCTTATAATGTAGCTTTCATGAGCAACTAGTACATTAGGGTATGGTTTTGTATTCCTACGTGAATGCAGTGAAAACGCTTGATCATGTCCCTATGTGACTGATCAGAACGTGCCTCTTAGCTATATACTGTAAGGCGAAGACTTATGACTTGAAGTTATTTTCTTGCATGTTCAGTTGAGATATTGAGGTGGACGAAATTCGGCCCCATTCAACACTCACGCAATTGTTATTGACTTTAGAGATATATAGACATGATGTATAGTGCCAGTCAAAGAAACGTTACTAATTCCGATATTTAAATTTGATTTTTTTTATGTATACTGTCCTATCTTACTTACAAATCAAATAAACATTCGGAAGTAAGTAAATAGCACCGACAGCGACAGCATATGCAATGTTCGTGTCTTTTTGAACTGGTTGTGTCGCAATCCGTTAATTAAAAGATCAACATGTAACTGCATGCTTTCCAAGGAAACTTCAACATGAATGTGGGGAAATAAATCTTATGTGCATTATATAAGGCAGTAGAATGGAAGTTCCGTGGGAGTATATAAATCTTGTGGGAGAAATAGAGATTGTGACTCTTACGGCAGATGAATGAAAGTCCTATTGAAGAAATTGAGGCCGTGACTCCTAGCTAGGGCAGATGAATTGAAGTCATGTGGAAGAAATAGAGATTGTGACTCTTAGGGCAGACGGACTGAAGTCCTATCATAGAAATAGTGGCTATGATCCTAGCTAGGGCAGATGAATTGAAGTCATGTAAGAGAAATAGAGATTGTGACTATTAAGGCAGATGGATGGAAGTCCTATTGAAGAAATAGAGGCTGTGACTCCTAGCTAGGGCAGATGATAGAAGTCATTGGGGAGAAATAGAGATCGTGACTCTTAGGGCAGAAGGACTGAAGTCCTATTATAGAAATAGTGGCTATGATCCTAGCTAGGGCAGATGAATTGAAGTTATCTAGGAGAAATAGATATTGTGACTCTTACGGCAGATGGATGGAAGTTCTTTGGTTAAATAAAAGTTGTAACTCCTGGGGAAGAAGGATGGAAGTCCTGTGGGATAAACAAAGGTTGTTACTCCTAGGCAGAAGGATGGAAGTCCTGTGGGATAAACAAAGGTTGTTACTCCTAGGCAGAAGGATGGAAGTCCTGTGGGATTAACGAAGGTTGTTACTCCTAGGCAGAAGGATGGAAGTCCTGTGGGATAAACGAAGGTTGTTACTCCTAGGCAGAAGGATGGAAGTCCTGTGGGGTAAACGAAGGTTGTTACTCCTAGGCAGAAGGATGGAAGTCCTGTGGGATAAACGAAGGTTGTTACTCCTAGGCAGAAGGATGGAAGTCATGTGGGATAAACGAAGGTTGTTACTCCTAGGCAGAAGGATGGAAGTCCTGTGGGATAAACGAAGGTTGTTACTCCTTGGCAGAAGGATGGAAGTCTTGTTTGAAAAATTCAGTTTATGACTCTTTGGACAGAAGGTTCAAAGTCATGTGGTGAAATAGATTTCGATGACTACACGGTCAACTTCATCAGATAAATGATCAGTTTGGAGCGTACTAGGAGTGAGGACGATTCCTTACTCACACATTTTGAAAGAGTTAGTGCCCTTTGTACTTTCCAGCATTCCTGTGTATGGTGAGTCTCAGTTTTTGCCGAATTATTCCAATGAAAGTTGGTAGCCTTTATCATAATGACATGGGATTGTGTTTTGCCGGTAGCATTTCGATTAAAAGTAATGGTTTCAAATGTATTTGTATTCCAGTTGTACATTGTGATATTGCGTTTAGGACAGGTGAATATTAGTATTGTTCCGCCGTGCTAGTGGTTACATGATAATGCGTTGGCTAATAGGAAAATGTCTGTCGCTTTCATCAGTGCTGCTTAATTGTTCTGTTTAAAAAATATATAAAATACCAGTTTAATGCCGACCTATGCACGGGGAACTACCATTTCGTGTTTTATCTATCAGGTGAGAATTCTTGCTACAGATCACAACATACAATGTCTAGAGAGAAAAGTAGACTCTCACAAAAAGAGCAGTTATAGAAAATTAATTATCAAAATAAACAATATTGATTTGTTCATGCTGTGTCCTCATTTCTCGATAGGTAAATATAAAACGTTACTTATGTCTTTTCTGAATAGAGAAACTCCGGCGATACAATATGTGAAAAAAACCGCAGTGTTCTTTCCCTTCTCCAGCCACCAACCTGAACTACATTGCTACCCTGTTCTCTTGTACCCACTGTCGTTGTCCCATAGGACGGTATAGAACGGTCATTTTGATGACACCATGGTCATTTGGTATATGTGTTATTTGGCATTAAACAGCACAACAACTTAAATCTAACGTTTGAGTTAACAGTGTCTCTTGTTAGGTCACCCAAGACAAAGGATCATGGTTTTTAGACGATAACTTGAGTAAGGGATGACCGATTAGGTTGAAACTTAATACAATGATAGTTTAGTAGATCTAGTGTGGGATTGTTTGGGGTTAATAAGTCAACTACAAATTTCACAGTTGCTAAAAATAGATTTTTGATTTCCAGATGCTAACTTGAGTTAAGGATGACTAATTAGGTTGAAATGTGATACAATTTAACTTATGTTAGTTTATGATCAGTTCTAGAGTCTGATTGTATTCCATGTTGCTGTCATCAAATCAAGATATCCCTTAATGAATTGTCATTTCACAATATCTAGTTACAACAGTGCTTATTGGTGATGCCTGAAAATATACATTTGTAACACATATTTGTTTGATGATGACAAATTCTGCAAAGAAGAAAGTACTTCTATCAGTAATCTATTTCTAATCAATACCATTTGATACAAACATACATCAGAAAGAAATTGACATGTATATCATATGGGTTAGAAACTAGCTAAAATTCCCATGTCATGTTTCAATCAAAGTATTAGAAAAGTTGCTTCAAAAATGCTAATTATAGCAGGGCAGAGAACGTGTGTTGATACAACACTAACAATAAATTTGTTTCTTTTAATTAAACTCTGGTTAGTATCCTCCATGGGACGACATTTAATATTAGATGCACTGTTAACATTTCAATTACTTGTACAAAATAGTTATCTTATTTAGTAGACAAAATTATTTCTATGACAGTACAAGAATATTCCTGTGTAACAATGACATTTTCTAATACAGGGGCATTACCTGCAATGTTACAGTACATAAAAGGTAACATGTAGAAGGATGAACAACAAAACCAACTAATTTGAATAAAATATTTTAATTAAATCTATTTTTTAATCAAATTTCAACTGTTAACAATTGAAATAGATATCTTTACAAATGATGAAAAATATACGTAAGTCCTATAATCACTCCCCACGTGAAACGCCCCTCCCCCCACATCCCTCTCCTAAAACAAAAAGAAAAGAAAAAAGTCCGAAAATATGATATTCTTCTTTGATGGAATATTTAGAATTTTGAAAATTTAAATACGTTTCACTGCAGTGACAATGAAAATGATTAAGATCATTGACCTGAATTTATTTGCTAGAACTTATTCCCATCTAGCTATGGGAAAATTATCATAAAATTTATCTGCATACTTAAATAAGCCGCTAGAAAATTCTAGCATAGATGAACCATAAAAATTTGGTTAAGGTCATATTTCTGATCAAACCAGATATAACTTCTCTGTCGAGCGTATACCTTTTAGATATTACAAACACAAATGATTAGGACCATAATTATTACATTTCTTAACCTTTTTGACCCCAGTGACCCTGAAAATGTCTTACATAAACAAACTACATGTACACTGTATATGATGCAAGAGTTACTTATTATCATATTGATAATTTTCATCCCTACTTTGTTCACCCGTGCAACAAAACCACACATTTAAGGCTTTTGCTCTAACAAGCACATTGTAAACTATAATTGTTATGAAAAACAAAACATAAACAAAAAATCACGTCTCCCAAATATAAATTAACACATACCTTGTGTCAAGTGAGCTAAAGAAATCACGCCGCCCAAATATAAGTTAACACATACCTTGTGTCAAGTGAGCTAAAGAAATCACGCCTCCCAAATATAAGTTAACACATACCTTGTGGCAAGTGAGCTAAAAACCATAGTACCCCAGTAACTCGCAGGACAGGATAAAAAATATCACATCTGACATGTCAAAAATAGACAATAATCAAACACCATTCTTCCCTCAAAATCATCCATATCAAACAATCTGTAAAGTACTAATATCCACCATTCAGTTGATAATTATCTATCATTCTAAAAACGAAATACCACTAAATTTACTACAAGTGTGTCAGGACATTGTGATAATACTAACTAGCCATTCATAGCTATCACTAATAAACTACCACTGCAAAAAGTTATTAGAACTTCATTTATTCAGAGAATCAAATACCCAGCAAATTAAAACTTGTTGGGGGAAAATGAAACAAGCCTGAATATATCTGACAATGAAATACAGATCATTTATCAAATCAAAATAGATAACTACATTCTGAATGCCAGTGTTTGTAGGTTTCATTGCACCATGAACAGCCAGGGTCAATTTGAAGCTTGTTCTCCTTGTAGTAGCAGGTGGCTACCTCACTGGAAGGCCCAACCATATGCCATCAAGAGCAATTCATGTAAAGCATCTTTCCAAAGGACACAACCACTTAGCACAGTCTGGTTCATTTTTAAACTTTCTGAAAAACACAAACTGGGCAGAACCATGCACTTTAGGTGTTCAGGTTAAGTAGGCCAGTGCTCTACTGACTCAGCTATCACAGTCACTGAATGCACATGTATTGTTTACAAATCCTTGATTTCAGCAGTTTCAGAGTCTTGATACACTGTTTATACACTTCTTGCTATACACAAATTAGCACTTACTATAAATAAAATGGGACACAATACATTTAAACTTTATAGAGAGGAAGCAATTACTTATAGTAAACCTCAGTAAAGGTAAGAAATCAATAATCTTTTAGATAAAAAAGGGCTGTAACTGCAAAGAGGGGAACATTTAATTACGTCACAAAACACAACATTCCAGCATTCTGATATGTTACCAAAGACACAATGAATAATGAGTATACAGTAAACAAAGGACAAAATGGAGACTGCATTGTCTGAATGACATATACAGCTCAAAGGGAGGTTATTTCAGAGTATAAAACGATACATATAGAAAGAATTGTTTTGTATTGTTGAGTTCAGCCTTTAATTTTACAAAGATTAAATAACAGTGCATATACCTGTTCTCAAGCCTGGAGTTGATATCAGGATGAGAATGTGATAAAACAATTAATTTTAAAATAAATTCCAGGGACAAGAGTGATTCTTGGTAGGGGTTCAGTGTTCCTGATATCCCTTGCTTGGATACTACATGGTATGCAGAGAAATTGAGGAATAGGGACAAGCAATGTAAGATATCAATCGCAACATGGTCAGGAGAAGTAGGTTTTAGGTTTATTAGTGTTGTTGACCAGTTATGCCCGAACTACGGAACTGGCCAAAAAAAGAAAATGAAGTGAAAGAACTGATCAAGTCTACTACCACACCAGACATTGCCCATCTAGCCTGGTCCTTCACAAAATTAACCTTTATACACATCACGGAATCAAAGAACAGCGCACAGGAAAAACTGAAGGAGAAAACTACAGAATGGAAACTGGGTACAAACGGTGGAATGATTTCAGGAAGGCACAACTAAACATCAATGATCAAAGTAGCATTGTTAACTTATCTGATAGGAAATTAAATAAAACTGAATTAGATATTTCATCCACAGGTTTAAACTTTTGCCCTACTCTGGGGGTCTAACAATCAAATAGCATAGTCACTCATTCACATCACTTACGAGATACACAGGACCCTGAAATACAGACAAGAACCTATGCTGCAGACCAGACTCCTCCAGGTGGTAATGATACTTTAAAGACACTTTTTTCAATGTGGTAATGGAAGTCGTGCACAAACACTCATAGAAAATACTAATAGATCTAACCTCACAGCTACGGAAAGGGCAGCTCTCAAATATTAAAGCAGGATGCTAAGATTGTTACTAACTCCAGCAATTAATAGTAGCACCTCCAAAATAGGGAAGACTACATAAACGAGGCAGACAGACAACTACATGGTAGAACTATGAGAGTGTTAACATTAACAAACCCACAGATCAAAAAGTCAATAATGACTTTCCATAAGTGTTAAACATGAAGAAAACAGATAAAGAGCTAAAGCGCTTTACTCCAAAGAATTCCCAAACCCCCATCTTCTACACTCTTCCTTAAATACACCAAAACTTGAAAACCCAGGAAGACCTTTAGTTTTATAAGTAGGCAGCTGTACTGAGAAAATACCAGAATTGGTGGATTTACATATAAAACCATTAGCAATGCGTACAGTCTCCATACGTAAGGAATTTGGGCAGCAAAGTTAGCTTTAGATAGATTGATAGAAGTGGTCCACAAACTATACCGTCTACATAGAACATTCTGCAAATGATCAAACTCAATATAATAAACTCTATAATGGTTTTATTGATGGTTTTATTTGTGATCTGTATATTAATTTTGAGAGACTAACAATTTAGTTTATTAAGTGGCACTATGTATAATAGATATATAAGTACATAGGATGAACTGTAACAACTATAATAAACTATAGAAGGTCAGGAGGTCACACATGTGACCCTTATATGGGTAAAACCGGTCAACAACACTAATAAACCAATTGATCATGACATTGTTGTGATTGATATTTCAAGTTGTAAAGAGACTAATGTTAGCCATGTAAATGTTATTAAACTATTAATAGTTTACACCGCCACCATTAGTCTCTTTGTAAGGTAATGATGAAGTAGTTTACAGTCCACAAACAAAATACAGATGATTAGAAATAAATAGCATGTCATGGTTCCTGTTTGAACAACACATATTTTACATATTTTACTTGTGAAAGTGACTCTGAGCAACTGTAGTAGTTAGATAAACACCAAGCTGATCACCTTATAACAAAACATACACAAATATCTGATAAAGTAATAGACCTCCTATAAATATTAAAAGTTTGTTCTGATCCATTTCTACTACATTACAACAGATACATCAAATATCAATAACATCAATTTTAGACCCCGTTTGTGGATACCACATACACTGTATAACTACACACATATCAGGGTATTCTCTCATCGAAAGTCTTATTTGTTGTATTTTATTTTCAAAAACAACTAAAAATTCTCTCCAACACTATTTTATATTATACATCATATGTACTGTATCGTTAAGAAATTAATCAGTAGACTAACACTACACAACACTACAGAGAGACAATCATTGTTGGTATAATCTAACAAACACTCTGAATTTTCTCTAAACGAAACAACATAATCAATGTTATTGTACCAGTTACACAAAAGAGTCCCCAAGATCTGGTTCTAACATATGACATGATAAAATGACACCATCACAGTAACAATGGATATTATGACAGAATTTGGAAACATTCTGTATTAAAACTAAAATTTGATAGAAAATTTCACTATTTCAATATATTCTTTTTTCAGGTATTAAGTGGTTTTGTCCAATATGACAAACATTTATATCTTCATGACATATTTCACTTTCCCTCGACATTGATAAATACAAATTGTAAATTGAGCACATTATCATGAACTTTCTTACACAACATCATCACTATCAAGTTTTAAAGGTTCTGCCTCAGGAATTGTCCTCGTCCTAGTTTTGTTAAATTTGCCTGCAGCACGATACACAGAGAATGTTCCTAAGAAGGACAGAGCTATCATGAAATAGAACATCCCTGACCAGCCATACCATGTGGAAATCACACCAATGATTGGTCCTTCCATAAAAGTTCCCACACTTCCAAAACCTGCAAGGCGAGGATTGATAAGTGACAAGTTCCTGTATACATAATGATTAGTGAAGAGTAAAACACTTTCACAATTGATGATGTATTTATTTTCTTGTATTGGTTTCATTGACTGATTTCTTCAATTATTACTTTGTATTAGTATCAATGCAAGGCTCCAAACAAATCTATTATCATGTAAAAACATTATTTTTCATTCTTGTATTTTAAAAGTTTTCTTTACCATTGACAAGGCCAATAGTGGCAGCAGCAGCATTCCGTCCGTCCATTTCACCCAGCTGGGCAGGTACAGCTCCACCTGGTGGGCAAAGCAATAAATAGAAAAAGATGTGCAAGTACATTAATAAGTACCACTAGAGGTCCACCACTGAACAAAAAACATACAAGCATTGTTATATATACATTAATATAGCTCCCTCTGGTGGACAAAATGATGTATTGGTACTGTTATATATGGATCCTCATGGCACACATATAAGTTCTGTTATAGCTCCCCCTGGTGGACAATGTAGTACACTAATACTGTGGACACAGTCGTGCACTAGTACTGTTATAACTCCCCCTGGTGGACACTGTCATGCACTAGTACTGCTATAACTCCCCCTGGTGGACACAGTCGTGCACTAGTACTGTTATAACTCCCCCTGGTGGACACGGTCGTGCACTAGTCCTGTTATAACTCCCCCTGGTGGACACAGTAGTACACTAGTACTGTTATAACTCCCCCTGGTGGACACAGTAGTACACTAGTACTGTTATAACTCCCTCTGGTTGACAGAGTCGTGCACTAGTCCTGTTATAACTCCCCCTGGTGGACACAGTAGTACACTAGTACTGTTATAACTCCCCCTGGTGGAAACAGTAGTACACTAGTACTGTTATAACTCCCCCTGGTGGACACAGTAGTACACTAGTACTGTTATAACTCCCCCTGGTGGACACAGTAGTACACTAGTACTGTTATAACTCCCCCTGGTGGACACAGTAGTACACTAGTACTGTTATAACTCATAACTCCCCCTGGTGGAAACAGTAGTACACTAGTACTGTTATAACTCCCCCTGGTGGACACAGTAGTACACTAGTACTGTTATAACTCCCCCTGGTGGACACAGTAGTACACTAGTCCTGTTATAACTCCCCCTGGTGGAAACAGTAGTGCACTAGTCCTGTTATAACTCCCCCTGGTGGACACAGTCATGCACTAGTCCTGTTATAACTCCCCCTGGTGGACACAGACGTGCACTGGATAGTTTATTAGACCACATAATAGTGATTTATTCCTCTGTACCATACGCTGTTATATGTGATAATGTGTCAAAAGTCATCCTGGTCTATGAGCAGGTCACTCATGATTTGTGTCCTTCAATTAGTTAAGCTCACCTGTCATTGCAAAATCAGTGACAGAATACAGGGGTTTATATGAAGACCATGCTATTTGCTTTTTATAATAGTGGTTCAGAATTTGCAAGAGTAAATTGACACAAACTTGTTATACATTTGTATTACTAATATTGTGAAATTTGGTAGCTTCAAACATTCCACATTAAGTGGGTTACAAACTGTCAACGTTGTTTAAGAAAACTCAAAAGCATTTTTTTCATTAATCTTCCATAGTTGACAGGGTAGAAGCATAAAATTGTTTATATACACATAGTTCCCCTGGAAAGATGAAACAGTTACATCACAGTCTTACTTCATCTAGTCGCTCCCATGGAGAATAAGTTGGTCAGAAATACTAGTAATGGTATTATCATACAAAATGATTTGATGGTATAACTCAAACTGATGGACAGAATGGTAAACATTTAAACATTACCTAATATACTGTCAGGACCACAGTTGAAGACTCCAGCCAGAAACAGGAATAGACCATTGAACCAGATACCCCATGAGCTGGTAAGGAGGAAACCCAGCAAGGAGATGGCTGACAGCAGGGTCGACAATGCTGTCCCAGATAGTGAACGGCCCCAAAACACACTGCACACAAAAAATATATAATAATCAAGTAATATGATCAAATACAAAACATCAATGGAGATGTGCCTTCTTCTTGTCTGTGAGTTTGTCTGAGAGATGAATTTTCCATATCTGTTGATGTGTGGGAGAATGGAATCTTCAATGACCACGAGTGTGTTGTCTGTGGATGTGTGGGAGAATGGAATCTTCAATGACCACGAGTGTGTTGTCTGTGGATGTGTTGGAGAATTGAATCTTCAATGACCATGAGTGTGTTGTCTGTGGATGTGTGGGAGAATGGAATCTTCAATGACCATGAGTGTGTTGTCTGTGAATGTGTGGGAGAATTGAATCTTCAATGACCATGAGTGTGTTGTCTGTGGATGTGTGGGAGAATTGAATCTTCAATGACCATGAGTGTGTTGTCTGTGGATGTGTGGGAGAATGAAATCTTCAATGACCATGAGTGTGTTGTCTGTGGATGTGTGGGAGAATTGAATCTTCAATGACCATGAGTGTGTTGTCTGTGGATGTGTTGGAGAATGGAATCTTCAGTGACCATGAATGGAATCTTCAATGACCATGAGTGTGTTGTCTGTGAATGTGTGGGAGAATTGAATCTTCAATGACCATGAGTGTGTTGTCTGTGGATGTGTGGGAGAATTGAATCTTCAATGACCATGAGTGTGTTGTCTGTGGGTGTGTGGGAGAATGAAATTTTCAATGACCATGAGTGTGTTGTCTGTGGATGTGTGGGAGAATTGAATCTTCAATGACCATGAGTGTGTTGTCTGTGGATGTGTTGGAGAATGGAATCTTCAATGACCATGAGTGTGTTGTCTGTGGATGTGTGGGAGAATGGAATCTTCAATGACCATGAGTGTGTTGTCTATTGATGTGTGGAAGAATTGAAACTTCAATGACCATGAGTGTGTTGTCTGTGGATGTGTGGGAGAATGGAATCTTCAATGACCATGAGTGTGTTGTCTGTGGGTGTGTGGGAGAATGGAATCTTCAATGACCATGAGTGTGTTGTCTGTGGATGTGTAGGAGAATGGAATCTTCAATGACCATGAGTGTGTTGTCTGTGGATGTGTGGGAGAAGTGAATCTTCAATGACCATGAGTGTGTTGCCTGTGGATGTGTAGGAAAATGGAATCTTCAATGACCATGATTGTGTTGTCTGTGAATGTGTGGGGGAATGGAATCTTCAATGACCATGAGTGTTGTCTGTGGATGTGTAGGAGAATTGAATCTTCAATGACCATGAGTGTGTTGTCTGTGGATGTGTGGGAGAAGTTAATCTTCAATGACCATGAGTGTGATATCTGTGGATGTGTAGGAGAATGGAATCTTCAATGACCATGAGTGTGTTGTCTGTGGATGTGTGGGAGAATGGAATCTTCAATGACCATGAGTGTGTTGTCTGTGGATGTGTGGGAGAATTGAATCTTCAATGACAACGAGTGTGTTGTCTGTGGATGTGTGGGAGAATGGAATCTTCAATGACCATGAGTGTGTTGTCTGTGGAGGTGTGGGAGAATGGAATCTTCAATGACCATGAGTGTGTTGTCTGTGGATGTGTGGGAGAATTGAATCTTCAATAACCATGAGTGCGTTGTCTGTGTATGTGTGGGAGAATGGAATCTTCAATGACCATGAGTGTGTTGTCTGTGGATGTGTGGGAGAATGGAATCTTCAATGACCATGAGTGTGTTGTCTATGGATGTGTGGGCAACATGAATTCTTAGATCTGTGGTAGAGTTGAATCCTACAATGTACATGTATGTACTGATTGTCTTTCGGAGAGTTGAATCCCCAATATCTATGGGTGTGTGGAAGAGTTGAATCTTCACCTATTTGGGTGTGTTGAAGAGTTGAATTTCTATACATAAGGGTGTTTGAGAGAGTTGAAATATGCAAGAAACAGAATACATTACATTTAGATGAAAAAGAAGATTTTACACTTGTTGGAATAACCTTATTTTGGACACACCTTCAAACTCTCCTTTTGTTTCTTACAAATCAACTGAAGAAATCATCATCTTTACCTACAAGTATGAAATTGGTATCTTAATGATATTACAAAATGTTATACTTACGCATCTATAACAAAGCCTATAACTGCACTTCCAAATACTCCTCCCACTTCGAAAATTGTAGAAAACATCCCAGCTTGAGCTTTAGAGTATTTCAACTAAAACAAGAACCAAAAATGAGACAATTTTACTACTTCTGTACATAAACTTAGCTCTGAAGGCAGTTTAATTTTACTTGAATTGAACTATGCAAATACCAGACATAGTTTATCTTAGTGGCCAACAAACAATTACCAAACATAGCACATTTTACTCATTTTCCATACATTTCACATGTATCTATTGAGTCTCATTTATAGAAGTACTGGATAATGCACATCAATTATAGTTCAGATATGCCATGCATGATTTGTTGCTAAAATAATTGTAAAAGGCAAGTGAAGATTACAGTTAAAACATAATCCACACAATATGCTATTTATTCAATATGTAACTTACATGGTCTAGTAGATATAGAGGAAGCCACATGTACATACAGTAGCGAACAACTTTTAGACAAAAAACAGCAACAGCTACTTCTGCCAGCATCCTAGAAGTTCATAAAGAAAATGGCTGATCAGCTGCAGGAAATCAAAAACAATCAATGATAACATACCATACATGTCTTCATTTTTATCATAATCTGATCACCTATGTATCTTGTGCAGTATATTTCTGAGCTGAAATTGTTGAAAAAATGTTTCTATCCATAGAAAAAAAAATTAAAAAACAATGTTCAAGATATACAACTGCAATATCTTCTGCCTTGATTCATTACTTTCAATTGTAACACATATTTATTCTACAGTCTTGCTGAATTTATTAAGGTAAATAACAATATGTTGAAAGTTGGACATTCTGAAGGCATTTTCAAGTCAAGATAATACTGATTTACTCACGGAATTTTCCATAGCTCTAACCAGGTCATCTTTCCAGCATTTTTGGTAGAAGCTGCATTCACAGGAGCTGTAACAAATAATTCTGTATTAGATACTTATCTTTTGGCTATCAAATATCAATTGTTAGCAAAACACAGCGTACAGAAAGAAAAACTGGTTCCTCATGGTCCCTCATAAAACTGTAACCTCCAATGATGTTTAGATGAGAAAAAAACGGGAAATCAACAGCCAGTCCAAAGGATTTTCAATGTTTATCTGTATAATTGAACAGTTAAACATTACTGTATATGTTGTCTTAAATCATTGTATACACATTTATGATCATAAAATAACTATGTACCTGTACCATGTGCCAGGTTAGGATGTCATTCAATTGTCCTTTACAACTTTGTATCTATTTTCTCACCTTTACCAGGCACCTCAATGTCAACTTCGTCTGGTTGTTGAAAAAACAGAAGCACCAGCACACCTAGAATTCCCTGTAAATTTTCAACAAGTTGTGAAAATATGTTGTATTATACAGATACATGTACAATTAAGGTGTACTTCAAAGATGCATAAGTAGCTTTAATGTTCATCATAAAAATTCTCTTCAGGTTAATTAAAAAATGAAAACTTCATGACATCACAATTACATGCTTTCACTATGATAGTGATGTGACATCACAATTACGGGGTACATGTTTTCACTGCAACAGTGATGTGACATCACAATTACATGTTTTCACTACGATAGTGATGTGACATCACAATTACATGTTTTCACTACAACAGTGATGTGACATCACAATTACATGTTCTCACTATGATAGTGATGTGACATTACAAATACATGTTTTCACTACAACAGTGATGTGACATCACAATTACATGTTCTCACTATGATAGTGATGTGACATTACAATTACATGTTTTCACTACAACAGTGATGTGACATCACAATTACATGTTCTCACTATGATAGTGATGTGACATTACAAATACATGTCAATATTAAGTAACATTATAATGCCTCCTTTCATTTGAGAAGAATTGTGTTGGACACTAATTGTTATCAATAAATATGATGTGAATACTTTCATTGTCAGGTAAATTGCATAACAAAACATGTACATATTTTCATACATGCCTTTGTTTCTATAAGATGTGATATTACAGACCATTTCCTTGAGGTATATCTTGGCCAGATACACATGTAAATGTTTGTTAACATAAAAGGTATTTATGCTCTGTAAATATTACATACCACAAATGCTGACGGTAAAAGGAAGGCACTTCTCCAGCCATAGGATGATTGTAAAAATACCTGTAAAACACAGGTATAATTATTTCATGTGACTATATATAGTGAGTCAATTAAACAACAGATCACAGAGGGATCTTGGCACCTACCATTGTTTGATCTTTATTTGTTTTTTTTAACAGTGCATCTTTTCCCTTTTTTTCTTTTTTGTTTTTAATGATAAGAAATTTGAACATTAATCCATTACAGAAATAGCGACGACTAGAACGGTCACCAGGACAGCTGACCAATACCCCTTGCTCCCCAATCTACAATAGTTTTGGGAATGTCATCCCAACACGATTCCTCAAAGAATTTTCATTTAGTCACAGTGGTAACCAATGGAAACAATCCGATGCCTCCAAAGTATTTCCTTGGTAAAGGTTTTGGAATACCTAATATGTCAAACCATAGGTTATAATTAGCTGTAGTATTTGATCATGTTTAAATTAGAAGTGAAAGGGCACAACTATATATCATAAGGATGTAGCATGCCAAGTTTTGAGAACTATTGCTTCAGTACTTTTGAAGATACACTTGACTTAATATTCTGCATAGATGGTCAGATGGTCGGATGGTCAGATGATCAGACAATATGATTCCATTGTAACACCCCCTTGCCACACCTGAACGTCATTGTGCGGGGTATGATAATCTTTAACTGCCTAACATAAACATCCAAGATGGTCTGTAGGAACCCATTTAGTTTTTTTCTGATCAGTCCCGAAATCAAATGGGCACTAGGGACCAAGGGTAGCCTCCATATAAAATTTGAGAGATCAATCCAGTACTTCTTCTCAAGACATCATAGTAAAACAAACTTTACTAGGCAAAATCCATGATAGCCGCCTGTCCACCATTTTGTTTTTCTGATCAATGCAAAAATCAAAAGGGCACAACTAGGGATCAAGAGGAATCTGAAATTTGAGAAAGATTTATGCAGTAGTTCTCAAGAAAATGCGATAACAATCTTTCAATATCAAAATCCAAGACAGCCGCCTGTCAGACATTTCGTTTTTCTGATCAATTCCAAAATGACAAGGGACATATAAGGGACCAAGGGGCACCTACACGAAATTTCATAAAGATGGGTAGTTGTGCTCAAGAAATAGCGATTACAAATATTGTTTATGGATGACAGGACCATTGACCATGGATGTAGGGTGATTTGAACAGTTTAATAATCAGCGGAGATTATGATGGATTCCAAGCTATATATCTCAGCATTTTCTTATATTTCATTTCACATACATACCATTATACCATTAATACCCTTGCTAAAGATTGCTTTTAATAAGTTGTAAAATTATTAAACTTTATCTTCTCATGAAATATGTCATAACAGAATTTTGAATAGGTATATAAGAAATGTAACTAAGCCATAGAAATAAACTTTTATTTTACAACAATTGTGACCCTGTGTTAACCAATATTTAAGAAATGCAATCAGTGTCACAACCTGAAATGCTATATTGAAAATAGTGTCACCTGTGTGTATACATACCACCTTTAAGTGATCATTAATTGTTAGATAGAAAGTCACTCACAGCAAGCCCTGTTCCCATGATACCACCAGCAAAGGCACAGGTTCCAAACATTCCGAATATGGAATTTCTCACTTTGTCAGGATACCAGGATCCCAAGGTCTTCATGCAGTTTGGCCAGCATTGTGACTGTTGATCAAGGATACAGTGACCATTGATTAAGGATATATAAAACTTAACTTAAACACATAGTTTGTGGAGCACTTTACATGATATCAAACCATATCTGACAAGTATAAGTGACATAGCATATAACACTGTTTTGTGGTAATAACAGGAATGTGCTTGTCATTAACATGATAATGTTTTTGTGACATTAACAGAATACTGTTTTTTGTAACATTAACATGATACTGTTTTTGTGATATTAACTAGATACTGTTTTTTATGATATTAACAGAATATTGTTTTTGTGATATTAACAGAATACTGTTTTTGTGACATTAACAAAATACTGTTTTTGTGACATTAACAGAATACTGTTTTTGTGACATTAACAGAATACTGTTTTTGTGACATTAACAGAATACTGTTTTTGTGACATTAACTAGATACTGTTTTTTATGATATTAACAAAATATTGTTTTTGTGATATTAACAGAATACTGTTTTTGTGACGTTAACAGAATACTATTTTTTGACATTACCTGGATATTATTTTTGTGACATTAACAGGATATTGCTTACGTGAAATTAACATTTTGCCTGCCATGTCATGTAATCTCTCTTATCCCTAACCACGAAACCACAGTTAAATTGTTGGGAACATTCTATTTGTTTAATGAGCTCAACTTAAAAATGGATGAAAACACATTCAGTAGCATGTGATGCCAAAATTAGCACCCAGAATTGGTGTTGTTTAGATAGAAAACAGCATTACTACATGTTGTTAAATAGGTATATCTTTATCTAGACAGCAAATACAAGAAATAGAACCAACACTGTAGTAGTTGATATACTAGATACACAGTTCCTGTTTTTAGGCACTTTTTTCAGGAAATCAATATGTTTTTGTCCTGTGGTCTAAGTTTTGGAAATGTTTTGAACTATCTCTATTCTGAACAAATCAAGCTTGCTCAAAACACTATACTAAATCGTCATTCTGTCAGGGCCAATAAGTGAACAAATAATCCCCAGAACAATTATAGGTACAGCCAGAATAACACAAACATAGTGTTTCAGTAAAACATAGCACTGAAATTATAACATGTAGCGACATTTGATGTATAACATCTGTTTAACATGCAAAACGTGTCACATTTTGTAGACAAAACTGAATTTTTAAATGTCTAGAAAGAATCATGAATTCCTGTGACTATATATAATATATAATTGTGAAAGTCAACATACCTGTGCAGCCCCATTCATGAATAGTAAGCCAGCAAATAGGTAAAAATTACTCCATTGTCCAAAAGTAAACTGAAAGGAAATAATGTCTGTATTATCTAACACATTATCAACATTCAATGGTTACTTGCCATTATTCCAGCTGTCACTCATTCTCCTGGTTGCCTGCTATCAAGTTTGTCCTACACAATCCCTTTTATTGTTTACCAAATTGCCCTTACAGCTGGTAGCCCTTGGTTGCTTGCTATTACACTTGTTAAACTTGCAGACGGTTGCTGATGGGTGCCTGTTATTACTTTTGCCCTTGCAACTGCCCCCCTTGTTGCCTGCTGTTACTCTTTCCTTGACAGTAAGCCCCCTTGGTTGCCTTTATTACTCTTGCACTTGTAGGCTCCTGTTGGTTGCCTTTATTACTCTTGCACTTGTAGGCTCCTATTGGTTGCCTTTATTACTCTTTCCCTTGTAGGCTCCTATTGGTTGCCTTTATTACTCTTGCACTTGTAGGCTCCTGTTGGTTGCCTTTATTACTCTTGCCCTTGTAGGTTCCTGTTGGTTGCCTTTATTACTCTTGCACTTGTAGGCTCCTATTGGTTGCCATTATTACTCTTTCCCTTGTAGGCTCCTGTTGGTTGTCTTTAATTACTCTTGCCCTTGTAGGTTCCTGTTGGTTGCCTTTATTACTCTTTCCCTTGTAGGCTCCTATTGGTTGCCTTTATTACTCTTGCACTTGTAGGCTCCTGTTGGTTGCCTTTATCACTCTTGCCCTTGTAGGTTCCTGTTGGTTGCCTTTATTACTCTTGCACTTGTAGGCTCTGGTTGGTTGCCTTTATTACTCTTGCACTTGCAGGCTCCTGTTGGTTGCCTTTAATTACTCTTGCACTTGTAGGCTCCTGTTGGTTGCCTTTATTACTCTTTCCCTTGTAGGCTCCTGTTGGTTGCCTTTATTACTCTTGCACTTGTAGGCTCCTGTTGGTTGCCTTTATTACTCTTGCCTTTGTAGGCTCCTGTTGGTTGCCTTTATTACTCTTGCCCTTGTAGGCTCCTGTTGGTTGCCTTTATTACTCTTTCCCTTGTAGGCTCCTGTTGGTTGCCTTTATAACTCTTGCCCTTGTAGGCTCCTGTTGGTTGCCTTTATTACTCTTGCACTTGCAGGCTCCTGTTGGTTGCCCACTATTACCCTTGCAGCCTATCTTCATAGTTGTCAAATGCTTTGATTTTCTGTCTCTCTGATTGGCCAATGTACTGATTATTTTTGTCCTACATAGTTACCTTAACTGCCTGATATCACTTCTGCCCTCCCCACCACTCACTAAATATCATACCATTAATATTGCCGACAGATCAGGCATATTATACAATATATCATACCATTAATATTGCCGACAGATCAGGCATTTTATACAATATATCATACCATTAATATTGCTGACAGATCAGGCATTTTATACAATATATCATACCATTAATATTGCCGACAGATCAGGCATTTTATACAATATATCATACCATTGATATTGCCGACAGATCAGGCATTTTATACAATATATCATACCATTGATATTGCTGACAGATCAGGCGTTTTATATAATATATCATACCATTGATATTGCTGACAGATCAGGCGTTTTATATAATATATCATACCATTGATATTGCTGACAGGATAAGACATATTCCATAGGTTTTTCTTGCTCCAAACTTGTCTCCCACATTACCTAGAAGCATCTAAAAATAGAAAGAACTGTTATATCAACAATATCATATCACCAGAAAAAGCAAATATTTTAAGGTGACTTGTCTAGAAATTAAGTTTGTAGAACAGTGCTACAAGTTTGTACAGCTGTTATACAAGTTTGTACAAGTGTGATACAAGTTTGTAGAGCTGTGATAAAGTTTATATAGCAGTGACACAAGTTCGTAGAGATTTGTTTCAAGTTTGTAGAGATGTGTTACAAGTTTGTAGAGCTATGGTACAAGTTTGCTCTTCCTGAATCGAAGCACACTGTTTATTGTTGTGACTCCAATGAGATGAAAAAAGACAAAATGAAAGCAAAAATTATTAAAAGGATCTGCGGTTACATGCATGTTAAAGCCCCAATATACGTAACATTCACCAAAACTTTAGTGTAGAATCACACATAATTATTGAGATATTCTCTAAGATGTAGTTTAAATTAAGTTATTCAAACAACAGTTACCATTACTTTATGCATGAAGTATTGATATATGAGCAGTTGAAACTCGCTATTTGTAAACACACCTCCATTTTAAACACATCGCCATCGAAATTATGATTGTTGCCGAATGACGTCGGAAAGTTTGTGACCTGATCTTGCGAGAGTTGAGGTTTCTACTTATAGAGGAAACACATGCAGATATGTCTAAGGTAAGTTTTTGTTTACAAACATTGTTTGCGAAGTCTTGTCGTAGACTTGAGGTATCCTGTGATAAACATTCAGTTTTTGGGAAATTATTAGAAGGAATATTTAGTTTAGAAACGATACGACGCACAATCATAATGTAAGAATTCAGAACTGGCCTGATGTATGATTGGAAAAAAAGGAAGCGACTGGTGAATGTCTGTACTGTGTCTGCCATGTTTATACACGCGGAATATGCGCATGCGCAATGTTATCGCTATGAGCGGTAATGTATGAATTATTGTGGGTCCCACATTGTTTATTTTCCGATTTTTTCAATTTTTATTTAAATTGAAAACAGTCAGTTTTATTTTCTTTAATTAAAGGAAAGTATTTTGTTGCATATATTACCGGGAAAATAAGATAAAGTTTGTTTTTCATAGTGATTTTTACGTATATTGGGGCTTTAAGATATGGAATGATGTATGACAGCTATAAATATAAGAAATTGCAAAATTTGCATGCACCACAAGGATGTGTGGTAAAGTTATAAATATGAGGCTGTGTCAGATTAAAACTACATGTAAGGGAACAAATTTTTGTAGTCACTGCTAAATTATTCAGTTCCCTTTCCAATCAACTTACAAGTGCCTCTTTTGATATTCACTGCTCGATTTCTAACTTTAGTTAATAGATTTAATTTAGCTGTTATTGATGTGTAAATTAGTAGTCTGTGACTTACTTGAGAAGAGATATAATTGTAAAATTTACCTGTACAACAGCATATGGCAGAAGAAGAGCAGTATCCAACCATCCTAACTGTGTTTTGGTGATATGTAGATCTGTTTCTAGATCTGTTTTAACCTTTATAATAAAAGATGAACATGTAGACATATTCATGTTTGAATATTACAATATACTTTATCACATGTCTCAGGAATAAAGAAATTTCTCCTCGTCAAGCTTATTTTGGAGCTCTGTGGATAATTGAAGGTAAATAAATTTGTTAAAAAGTAAGAAAGAGCAAGAAGTAATTCATTACCACCCCTAATGGCTTCCTCAGAAAGTATGTAGATGCATAGGCCATCCATCCTAGGCAAAACACTATCAGCTGTCGTCTGTGCAGTGGGTTTTTCAAAGTTGCAGTGATACAACAACCTAAAACGTGAAATTTAGAAATGTAAGGACATACATATAGCTTGGAACAATGTACATTTGTGAAATATAGTGATATAGCTAGGGCCAAAACACATTTGTGGTTTATAGGGACATAGCTAGGGACAAAGTACAGCTGTAACACATAGGGCACTCCTCGGGTCCAGGGACAAAATGGCAATTAAAACTGAAATAAACGAGGGGATTAACTCTGGGAAATAAGAATTTGGAAATTGTCACAAAATATATAAAAGTTCTTTTAACCATTTAATACAAATTTAGATAGTTACAGTAAGGATCGAAAATTTGATTGAAAGAAATGTCAAAATCTAGCGTAGTTGGGGAGATGCAATAACCCCACAATTCAGTAACTTTCGTAAATTCAACACATGACAGAATATGTCACATTCAATTCCCTACCATCTCTTGGACCTTTCGGTCGATCAAGCGATCCATTCATGACAATGGTTTGTAGTGCCTTAGAATTAAAGGCAAACGGATATCAAGATTGAGTGCTGAGAGTTAGTGGTCGAGAGGAAGTTTGTTGACATGTGCAATTTAGTTTACGGTATGTCGTAATATCCTGAGAATGTTTATCGAAATGTTCGAGCACGTACTTGAAAGTTACAGATATATTTTTCAAAACTAACTACAAACTGGAAAGGCTACAAAATTTAGGCAGTCGAACTCCTTGATGGTATATTTGCAACATTCAAAACGAAAACCGGAAGTAAATAATTTGGTCAGGTGACCTCCAAAAATAGAACTTTCATGTTTATTTTCATTTTAAGTGCAAATACCCTCAAATAGACACCGTTTCGCGAGGAAATGGTACCGCATTTTAAACATTGACTTCTCTGCAGGTAGGTTGATATTGCTGTTTACTTTAAAGCGCAGAAAATAGATGTTTTGAAAATAACTTTCACTGGGCTGATTTTCTTTCTGAGCTGTGAAGTTGTCGCCATAAATTTGTGGTTTTTCTCGACTTTATCAACGTACGCGATGAAGTACCCAGTCAGTCACGTGACTGTCGCAGTACTTTGACGTTAACTCTTGTTAGCGCTACCAATGAATAGAGCATACGTTTATTATGATGGCAATATATATAACGTATTCATTATTTTATCAGAACTCTTTAGTATTCATTCATAAAACTCTCGATCCTCAAAACAGAACGGCTTTCATTTATCACAGAGCTTTCATTCCATTCATTCCCAAAGTTGATAATTATTGCATGTGTGCAACTGTTTGATTGATTTTACGAAATTCATAAAAAAACACGGAATGAAAATAAGATCATTCTTATAACTTAGGCATACAGGTAAAGAGTAAAGACATTCCACGAGTAAAAATCACAGGACACTGTCCATTATATATATATATATACACACACACTGTCCATTACATTTACGATCACCTGTATTAGGTCTTATTAGACATGGTGCATCAATGGATATATATCTTAGTGTACAAGAAGTTGAACTGTAATCTAAATCTTGTCTTAACCTTAAGTCTTTATCTTGTACTTCTTGTATATTCAACTGCAGTGTTAAATATGGTCTCTGTCACCAATCTGATGAAGCATGCTTCCTTGGCTTGATCAGTTAGTAGAGCCCTTGGAAGACTGGTTCAATTCCAGTTCGGCGCACTTAACAGGAATGTGTATTTGTCATGCCATGTTCTGGAGTCTAGTTGATATTGATAAATCGCAGGAAAAGGAGTGCCCTGTCAGTTTGGCTGTTGCATGGTGGTAAATATGATCTCTGTCACTTGGCTGAAAGTATTGCTGGAGACGCAGGTTCAAATCCTGGTTGGAGCTTTTGACAGGAATGTGTATTTCCCTTTCCTTTCACAATATAAATGCACCAACAATCAGCAGAATGAGAGACATCAACCCACTGTGTCTAGGATTGTTTCAATTTGAAATCACATCAGTAACAGCTATCCACATGATGAGTATCGATCAAGACCAGCTTAGTTATATCACTGATAGCCCTCATCACTGACAATCTTTATTTATTTATTTAGTTACATATTAACATATAAAATACCTGCTATTAAGGCCTTTTTTTGCAGACCTGCTTGAGTGAAAGAAGACAGTAGAAGAAGGAGGAAGAGATGAATAGAAGCTAACTGTGGCAGAATTTATATTGTAACTGAACTCTGACCACAGTCAACCATCCACAACTTTATAAAGATGAAGGAAATTTAATGGTTAGATTTCATTAGTTTTTACCATGCGTTTGTTTTCGGGCAAGCAGTGTAATACTTAAAATTAGACTCTTCACAGAATTATAACACTCTCTGAGAGAAATGATTATCAGTTTGAAACTAACGCCAGTCGACACTCGTTGTTTTGTCTACCACCTATCGCTGTTTTAATTGCAGATAGTCAAGTTCATCATGTGACTTTTTGGAGCCTTGTAATAACCTGACATTTTGATATGATTTCTTACTACATGTAATAATGCAGTTAGCTAAAACTTAATTTGTTAGCCATGTTTCAATTCTTACTTTGTAAACTGACTTCTTGTTACACACTATACATATGACAGAGTGAAATAAATGAATTTGAATTAATCTGAATCTAAAACTGCATGTGCAAAGACATTGTTTACACTCTCCGAACGATAATGATATGAATCAGTGTTGGGTCACTCCTATTTAATTTTTAATTTTTTGATGTTGTTAATTAAATGGTTATGCAAATTTAAAAATATTTTAATGAACAGAAAGTACACAATTTTTAACATATTTAAATGTTATAATGCCTTTTTTCAGTTATGAAATGAATATCTAACCATTTAGTCCCATTAAGTGTTTGTATGAAAAGGATAGTATTATTTACGCCTGACTAATCTCAGACAAAAAACAGTCTACTTTTCTTTATCTGTCATTATGAAGTCCTTGATAAGTACACCTCCCACACCTCTTCCTATTTGGCAGCAATCATCAAAATATAAATTGTAGATCATGATGTTACTGAATCTTAATATTCAACTGTTGACTTCTGTAATTCACAATACTTTTGTTATATAAGCATTTTGTGATGGCAGCTGTGGTGAGTGGGTATAATTTCTATATTTATTAATATATTTCTCCTTTCAGTGATAGCAGGATGGAACTTTACCCGAGGGGTGGTGATACACAGTATTATTTACATCTTAATATGTAGACAGATAAATGTCTACAATCCCCTTAAGTCTTCAAAGTGTGATGTATTCTAATAATTTTAAATTTTATGTTTTGTTACAGATTTTCACACACGTGTTTAAGTGAATGGACTTCAGCTACCATACCAAATTGTCAGTGATGTTGTTGAGAGATGGGGGTTAAAGCCAGCAATTTGATGTGGTACGACCAGACCGGTCGTACAAAAGACTCATTCTATATCTACAGCTTCAAGTTACCTCCCCCTAGTTTTAACTACAATTGGACTGACCTCCACTACGCAGCCAGTCATGGAAACACATCCAGAATTCAGGAAATCATACATAAATCAGGTTGATCTTCTTAAACACTCGCACTATCAGTTGTTTTCACAGGGATGATAATTTTGCTACTCCGTGGTACATAAATGTGAACTGGAAAGTTTAAAACTTAATTGGGTTGGATAATAATACAATTATTTTAAAAGAAATCCTGGTTTTGGGTCAATAAAATTACCAGCTATAAAGTATTTGTCTTACGCATAAACCTCAGAGTAATCTTACCTTTAGTGTATATCTTTACATGGACGGTGTTAAAAAATGAGACATTAACAATTGTAATAGTAATCTGAGACAACACATGTTCAATATTGTATTGAGTCTGGTGCTTCTATAGATCTAGACCTACTTTTCATAAACAAATACCTTAAAACAAGATTATTTTAACAGCCCTCCCTTCTCTCTGTGGTAGACTAATTGTAGAGAAATATGTAGTTCATGTTAAAGATAAGGTCAGAACATCTAGAGCTTCCTATCAGAAGTTTCTCTGTTAAATATACACTAAAGATATTTACATTTAATATACAGTAAAGATGTGTACACTTAAATATACAGTAAAGATGTGTACACTTAAATATACAGTAAAGTTGTATACACTTAAATATATAGTAAAGTTGTGTGCACTTAAATATACAGTAGATGTGTACACTTAAATATATAGTAAAGTTGTGTACACTTAGATATAGAGTAAAGTTGTGTATGCTTGAATATAGAGTAAAGTTGTGTACACTTAAATATACAGTAAAGTTGTGTACACTTGAATATAGAGTAAAGTTGAGTACACTTAAATATACAGTAAAGTTGTGTACACTTAAATATACAGTAAAGTTGTGTACACTTAAATATACAGTAAAGATGTGTACACTTGAATATAGAGTAAAGATGTGTACACTTAAATATATAGTAAAGATATTTACACTTAAATATGTGTACACTTAAATATACAGTAAAGATATTTACACTTAAATATACAGTAAAGATTTGTACACTTTAATCTTTAGTAAAGATGTGTACACATGAGATCACCAAAAAGTGTTAAACTCTCAAATAACTCCCACTAATGTACTGAGAAATCCAGCTAATGTTTTTACAGTTAGAAGTGTGCTCGCATATAGTGCTAGGGAATTGGAAAATTGGAATACAATGTACGTTGTAGTTTGACACTGATTGGATTTCATTGGAACTGAATTATTATTCTTTTTTTTTTTTTTTTTTCGGCAAAACAAATTTAGGAAGATTAGAGTTGTCATATCCAGCCAGTGTCTTATCAAAGTATTTTTTGCATCTCCAATCATATTTGCTTCGTAAAAATATGTTTCAACTTGTAATTATATCAAGGGAGGTAATTCTTACTTTCCAAGTTCACAGAAAGTGCTTTTTCTTTATTTTGAAATTTGTCATTCTGTTTTGTTTTTTTTAAGATAATTTCCTTTTCCTGAATTGTGTGTACATTATTGTCACTTATGGCCATTCACTTATATGGCCATTTATAGGAGATCTTTGCAGTTGAATTTTGTAATATTTGCTGAAAGTAGAATCAACATACCCTATAACATATACACTGAACAGTATATCAAACACCCCCATTTTATGTTAGCTTGTTTTAGATCAATGAAAGGACAGACTATTGATCTTTTGTCATGGTTGTAAACAGTACTTTTGCTCAAGTTTAGAATCGTCAGCCATTTTGAATTTTGATACATAAGTTTGTGATTCCTTTTTCTGAAGAACTATATTTTAGGGATTTTGATAATACTTGATGGTCATGAGCTTAATGGGTCTTAGATGTAGACAGCACTTTTTTTGTCCTACTTTATAGATAGCTTTTTTTTAGCCTACTTTATAGATAGCACTTTTTTAGCCTACTTTTTAGATAGCACTTTTTTTAGCCTACTTGACTCTTCATCAATGGTCCTTATACTTGTTGTTGTTATTTCTTGGTAAGATCTTGATGGATACCTGCTTTCCCATTGCCTAATTTGTGACTGATTGATCGATTGAAAATGATAAAGAAAGCAGCGATCTTGGATTTTGTCATATTTGTTATTGTTATATTTTCAGAAAAACTGGATGAATCACTCTCAGAACTCGTATATCCCTGGTCCCTCATTGTGCATTCTCCAATTTGGGTTGGAGAAACAAAATGGTTGACAAATGGCCATTTTGGATTTTGGCAGTTAAAGTTTGTTATCACTGTTTTTGAGAGGTACTGATGGATAATTCTTAAATTTGATATATAAGTTGCCATTGGTCCTTTGTTTGCATTAATTAGAAAGGAAAATAGCTAACAAGTAGCAATCTTGGATTTCCACAGTATGATTTGTCATCACTTTTTCTTGAGAAGAGTTTGGGAATATGAAATGGCTAATTGGTGGCCATCTTGAATTTTGACAAGTATAGTTTGACAAGGCTATTTCTTGGAAAGTACTGAATGGATCATTACTGACATGTATGTTGGCTGCTCTTGGTCTCTAGTTTTACACTGTATATTTTTTGACTGATTGCAAGAATTGAATTGCAGACAGATGGCCTTCTTAGGTGGCAGTTATATTAATGGATAATTTTCAAACTTCTTTGTCTCTACATTTGTGCATTGTCCATTGAAAAACTCATAGGAGAAATTCCATGGCAGATAATTTTGATTCTGACAATGATAGTTTGTTATCACTTTTTCATAAAGTACTTGATGTATCAGTCTCATATTTCATTTTATTTTCCTCTTTGTTCTTAAATGTGCATTATTTGCATTGGCACTGATTGTGAAAACAAAATGGCCGATTGGTAGCCATCTTGGATTTTGTTTTTGTTTTTTCTTTAGATACTGCCTTTGTTTGTTAGTGGATGTTACTGCATGATTAATTTACCCTACAATACAATGTATAATTAATACTAGGTAAACAGAAGAAAGAAAAACATATTCAAGTTGTAAGAACAAAGATCATACAATAATGGTTGCCAAGGTTCCTCTGGGATTTCTCCATGAATTGATTCAATATTTAAAATGAGCACCAACACCTATTTTGAATTCAGGCATAGGGTGTGGTTGATTAGCAATATCGATTGTAGTTGTACATATCATAACTATGTTTTTGACTGTATAGAAATCATTGCTAAAAGCTTTACAACGCCAATTTTACCTTGAGAATATTGTAAAAATGTTTCTTCTTTTCTGGACTAGGAAACAAAAGTGTGAACTACCAAGACTACTACGGTAAGACACCATTGTACTGGGCTGCCTATAAGGGCTACAAGTCTTGTGTTGAGGAACTCCTGAAATGTGGTGCATTAATTAACATTCACTGTCGAAATGGAGGGACACCATTACATGCAGTAGTTGGACTCTACCCTGATTGTGCCTTATTTCTCATACAAGTAAGATTCAAGGTCACTTCTATAAAGGTTGACTTAAGAGTCACCTTACTACAGGTAAAAGCAAGTATGAATTTAAGGTCACATTTTCTTTTTACAACAGTTATAAGATTCAAGGTCACCTTTTTTGCTGGAACTGTTGTGCCATTCTTAATAAGTGTTAGATATATAACATTGAAACTGTTAAGATATCAGTGAAGTCTGCATGGAATTTATAGGTTCAGGTTCAAGAAAATTTAATTTACTGTTTAAATATATACAGTACGGCTTATGTTAACAATGTTATGTATACTTTCCCAGAATAATGTAAATTTTCTCATCTCAAACAGCATGGAGCCAATGTAAACCACGTGGATAATTGGGGTGTGACACCCATGTATTTAGCAGCCTCCAGTGGTCAGCTGGAGGTCATCAGGTACCTACTGGCAGCTGGGGCTAAACCAACATTCCGAAATAGGGTAAGAATGAACATCCTTCTTGGAAATCATGAAAATTTAGACCCTTATTTCATGATCTTTTTAGTTAAAGGTCCAGAAATGGGTAACTGAATAATTTGATGGGTTAAAAGAAAATTGACAATTTACAATATATTGAGAATCCTGAAACCTGAAACATTTTATTTACAAATGTATGAGGAAATTGTATATGATATAAGGCGAGACCCTGTCCTATATACATCTGGTAACTTGACATGATCAGTGGCCAAATAGCATCACAATGAAATGGTATCCATTTGTTTTCCTTAGGTATGACCTAAAAGCAGATCATTTAGTTCAATTGAGGAAATTGGTAATGAATTTTTTTGTGCATTAATGACAAAATTATGTTCAAGAATTTAATTCTTATAGCAGCATATGTTCTACATCAATTTATGTCCGTTTTGGATTGACATTCTGTAACATCTCATTCTTGTCTTCACCTCAGATGAGGTGGAATGTCAGCCCTTGACTGAGATAAATCAATCTCGAAAAAAACATACGACTGACAGCTCTTTTATATCATACTAGTTTTCAGTGCAAGTTATATGTCTGACTTTTCAGAAGACGGGTGATATTCCCAAACAGCTTGGTGTTCATAAGCAGTTTTGTGATTGGCTTGTGAAGTTATCCAAGAACCCACCGTCCCTTCAACAGCTGTGTCGTACCAAAGTCAGAGAGAGGCTCGGTGAACCACTCAAGATTAAGATGACCACCTTGAACATTCCAACAAAAATGAAGGCATACGTTTCCCTGGAGGAGTTTAGCTAGTCTCTGTGCCTTAAGCATTATATGCAATTTACTTTAGATAATACCAGTAGGTTATAGGAAGTTCTTCAAATGGTGTCTTTTGATATGCAGATCTTGGAGCATTTGATTGTAAAGAAATGGTTTAGCAAGGTTCATAACATCAGAATAGTGGACTGTGCCAGTATTTTGTTTTACTCCAGTAAACTGGTATTGGTCTTTGCGATGTCTGCTCAATTGATGTTGTACATGTTACATATAGAGTTAATATATTTACATTCCAAAATAGTGAGCTTGTAAACAGGGACAAGGGGGCCCAATCACTTTTGAAGTCTCTGACAAGGTTTTATGCAAAGCATAGCCGAATCGACTTTTATGTGATAACAAATTGTTACCACTTAGGTAAGGAAGAAAATATTCCTGTTGTTTTCTCTGTTAATGTAATCTTATTGTACTATTTTCTGTACAAGTGAATACAAGATTTTAGTGTATCAGGTAGTTTTCAATGTACAGCTTAAACATTTTGTTGATACATTACCACCTTGAACACTGAATATGTCGGTGCAAACACACTTCACACTGTTTTTCATTTGGTGAATGTGACAGTGTAGTCTTTGAAATGTCACACATAATTTTCTTACTGGTTGAAATACATGAACTTTTATTTAATATATATTTAGCAATCCAAAGAAAATATTTCACAATATACACATAGTCATCTTTTAACAGCTATGACATTTTCTAAGTGTTCTCTGTACTGAAATTTTGATTATTTTGCTCCCCAAAGAGAGAGCATAAAGTGGCTGCTTTTTCTGTCAGTAAATTTGTCTGTCCATCGTACACTTGTCTGGAGTGTAACACAAAAACTGTAAGAGGCATCAACATAAACATTCATAGGTAGATAGATCTCAACAAGGAGAAATGTCGTGTACAAGAACCATAACTCTCTATGCATTATTTAGGAATTATTGCCCTTTGTTATTTTTGTACTTAAATTTTGTCCAGGGCATAAAACAAAAACTATAAGAAGTATCAAAATAAAACTCCTAAGTGGATAGATTTTGATGAATGAAAGTGCAGTGTACAAGAACCATAGTTTTTTTTTCCCCATTTGGGGAGCATAACCCGTCTCCGACAGCCCTTGTTACATGAAGGGAGTACATTTATATGCATATGGTATATTATTGTGTGCGTCATACTTTTGTGATGTAAATGTTGGTTCTACAATATAAAACTTGTGTATATAACAACCATGGCGTACCATTATACACATGTAATTACAGAATAAATTTTCTGCAAACCTTTTCTTTTCAAGGTATCTGGGGTATCTTAGTATCAGAGTTTCTTGGGTATCCAGGGCATCTTTGGTGACTGGGGCATCTTGTGTATCCAGGGCATCTTGGGTGTCAGGGGTTTCTTGTGTATCCTGGGCATCTTGGGTGTCAGGGGTTTCTTGTGTATCCTGGGCATCTTGGGTGTCGGGGTTATCCAGGGCATCTTGGGTGTCGGGGGTATCTTGGGTATCCAGGGCATCTTGGGTATCCATGGCATCTTGGATGTCGGGGATATCTTGTGTATCCAGGGCATCTTGGGTGTCAGGGGTATCCAGGGCATCTTGGGTGTCGGGGGTATCTTGGGTATCCAGGGCATCTTGGGTGTCAGGGGTTTCTTGTGTATCTTGGGCATCTTGGGTGTAGGGGTTATCCATGGCATCTTGGGTGTAGGGGGTATCTTGGGTATCAGGGCATCTTGGGTATCCGTGGCATCTTGGATGTCGGGGATATCTTGTGTATCCAGGGCATCTTGGGTGTCAGGGTATCTTGGGTATCCAGGGCATCTTGTGTATCCAGGGCATCTTGGGTGTCAGGGGTTTCTTGTGTATCCTGGGCATCTTGGGTGTCAGGGGTATCCAGGGCATCTTGGGTGTTGGGGAGTATCTTGGGTATCCAGGGCATCTTGGATGTCGGGGATATCTTGTGTATCCAGGGCATCTTGGGTGTCGGGGGTATCTTGGGTATCCAGGGCATCTTGGGTGTAGGGGGAATCTTGGGTATCCAGGGCATCTTGGGTGTCGGGGGTATCTTGGGTGTCGGGGTTATCTTGTGTATCCAGGGCATCTTGGGTGTCAGGGGTATTTTGGGTATCCAGAGCATCTTGGGTGTCGGGGGTTTTCAGGGGTATCTAGGGCGACTTGGGAGTCAGGGTAATCTTAGGTATCTAGGGCAACTTGGGTGTCAGGGGTATCTTGGGTATATGGATATCTGGGGTATCTAGGGCATGTCATGTTCCTGGCCTATAACTATGTTAGGTACATTTCAAACAGGACCACATCAGGTCACATGGTCTTTTATATCATGGCAGTATAGGATATAATCCTGACATTTGTGTATCTTGGTTTTGTCAGTATAATATGTCATGTTCCTGGCCTATAACTATGTTAGGTACATTTCAAACAGGACGTCATTATGAACTTCTATCTAGTCCTACTTATAATGATGAATTTGTGGTTTTAAGATTGTATAATGATGCAGCAGCAGTAGCCTATAAAGGTCACAAAGATATAAAAGTCATGATACTGGATGCAAAAGTTAGGACAAAAAAAATATTTTGAAATATATTGTTAATCTCATGGATGTAAGCAGATAAATCAGGTGAAGGGGAAGGAAGGAAAATATCCAGCTTTTAAATAACAGATAAAAGTCATACATTGTCGGGTGCTGAGATCCTTCTGGGATCTCTTGGTCTAGTATTAAATTGTATGCTCTGTTATACCTTTGTATTTGAAGGTACTTTGTAAGTTATACATATATATGCTTGAACAATAATTTGAATTTTTAGTTCAGTTTTGAAATACCATGCATTAGTATTTTCATATATTTTGCATCTGACATTAGTTTTGGAAACATGCACTTTTTTACATTTTATGAGCATTGATTGTACCTGAAATATGTTTACTTTCACTATTTATGTACTGCAATTTTTCAATATTATTATGTTATATACTTAGAGCTTTAATTATTTTATCTGGTGCTTTATTACTTTGTAGAGTTGTGACATGTAATCATATAAGATTAACAATATAGGCTAGTTTATATTGGTAGGTTTCTAAACTTTCTGCAATATCTGTGATATTTTCTCTGTGTAGTACACCTGGGATATCTTGTCTGTGTAGTACACCTGGAATATCTTGTCTGTGTAGTACACCTGGGATATCTTGTCTGTGTAGTACACCTGGAATATCTTGTCTGTGTAGTACACCTGGGATATCTTGTCTGTGTAGTACACCTGGGATATCTAGTCTTTGTAGTACACCTGGAATATCTTGTCTGTGTAGTACACCTGGAATATCTTGTCTGTGTAGTACACCTGGGATATCTTGTCTGTGTAGTACACCTGGGATATCTTGTCTGTGTAGTACACCTGGGATATCCTGTCTGTGTAGTACACCTGGGATATCTTTTCTGTGTAGTACACCTGGATTATCTTGTCTTTGTAGTACACCTTTGATATCTTGTCTGTGTAGTACACCTGGAATATCTTGTCGGTGTAGTACACCTGGGATATCTTGTCTGTGTAGTACACCTGGAATATCTTGTCTGTGTAGTACACCTGGGATATCTTGTCTGTGTAGTACACCTGGATTATCTTGTCTTTGTTGTACACCTGGAATATCTTGTCTGTGTAGTACACCTTGAATATCTTGTCTGTGTAGTACACCTGGGATATCTTGTCTGTGTAGTAAACCTGGGATATCTTGTCTGTAGTACACCTGGGATATCCTGTCTGTGTAGTACACCTGGGATATCTTTTCTGTGTAGTACACCTGGATTATCTTGTCTTTGTAGTACACCTTTGATATCTTGTCTTTGTAGTACACCTTTGATATCTTGTCTGTGTAGTACACCTGGGATATCTTGTCTTTGTAGTACACCTGTGATATCTTGTCTGTGTAGTACACCTGGAATATCTTGTCTGTGTAGTACACCTGGGATATCTTGTCTGTGTAGTACACCTGGGATATCTTGTCTGTGTAGTACACCTGGGATATCTTGTCTGTGTAGTACACCTGGCATATCTTGTCTGTAGTACACCTGGGATATCCTGTCTGTGTAGTACACCTGGGATATCTTTTCTGTGTAGTACACCTGGATTATCTTGTCTTTGTAGTACACCTTTGATATCTTGTCTTTGTAGTACACCTTTGATATCTTGTCTGTGTAGTACACCTGGGATATCTTGTCTTTGTAGTACACCTGTGATATCTTGTCTGTGTAGTACACCTGGAATATCTTGTCTGTGTAGTACACCTGGGATATCTTGTCTGTGTAGTACACCTGGGATATCTTGTCTGTGTAGTACACCTGGGATATCTTGTCTGTGTAGTACACCTGGCATATCTTGTCTGTGTAGTACACCTGGGATATCTTGTCTGTGTAGTACACCTGGGATATCTTGTCTGTGTAGTACACCTGGGATATCTTGTCTGTGTAGTACACCTTTGATATCTTGTCTGTGTAGTACACTGGGATATCTGGGATATCTTGTCTGTGTAGTACACCTTTGATATCTTGTCTGTGTAGTACACCTGGTCTGTGTAGTACACCTTTGATATCTCGTCTGTGTATTACACCTGGAATATCTCGTCTGTGTAGTACACCTGGGATATCTTGTCTGTGTATTACACCTGGGATATCTCGTCTGTGTATTACACCTGGGATATCTCGTCTGTGTACATTTTTTGGTAGGGTACCTATAGGAATTGATAGGTGAATTGATAAAAATATCAAATGCATTTTATAATTAATATTGGTCGCTTGCCAGGTATTGTTAAAGTGTGTTTAATACTAATTAAGACAATCTGAGGATCACAAAGCAGTAACTGATGATTGTAGGATCATGTTTATCTTCTTAGGTACAGCTGTTTAATATAGGGACATTACAACCTAACACATGTTAGGATGGATATTGACAAAGTTTAGTTTATCTGTCATAGTATGTGTTAATTATTTACCTGCTTAAAGCTGTAAATGTTATACATAAATGATCAGTATTGCTTTAAAGTGTTAGTGGTACTGAAAACTGCAGTGTAGGATGTGAGCAATGGGGGTTCATCAAATGTCAACCCTGACTGTAGTCGGCAGCTTAAATGTACTATCAGTGTTGAAATACATATAAATATATATAGTGATAACATCTCACAATGGATAAATATATTGTACTCAACTTGTCCAGTTGATGACTTTATTTATTATGGGATGACTTGTGAAGTCAGAGGTTGAAGTGTAGTAGAACTGAGATGACTTGTGAAGTCAGAGGTTTAAATGCAGTAGAACTGTACACATAAGGCAATGCTAGACTGTCTAACAGTTTGAATGGAATATTATTTGCATGTAAAATGACAATCAAGTTATATGTCACAAATAAATATATCAATACTGTACCAAGATTTGTTATTCTTTGCCTGATTTACAATCTTTGTAGTATGCTGAAATGAAGAGAAACCAATTCTGTGCAAAGGAATGACCTTGACTAGTTTTAAAGGTACCAAGGGACAAATTTGTTAAAATTTTCAAATGATTTCTTATCAATACCCAAAAGGCACAGAGTTCTGGTACTGAACCCCAGTCATGTCTATTTAATATGGTAGGTCATGTGTCTATTCAATACAACAGACCATGTGTCTATTTAATATGGTAGATCATGTGTCTATTTGATAGGGTAGATCATGTGTCTATTGAACATGGTAGATCATGTGTCTTTTTAATACGGTAGATCTGGTGTCTATTTAATACGGTAGAGCATGAGTCTATTTAATTTATCTGACCATGTGTCTATTTAATACAGTAGATCATGTGTCTATTTAATACAGTAGATCATGTGTCTATTTAATACAGTAGATCATGTGTCTATTTAATACAGTAGATCATGTGTCTTTTTAATACAGTAGATCATGTGTCTTTTTAATACAGTAGATCATGTGTCTTTTTAATACAGTAGATCATGTGTCTTTTTAATACGGTAGATCTGGTGTCTATTTAATACGGTAGACCATGTGTCTATTTAATACAGTAGATCATGTGTCTTTTTAATACAGTAGATCATGTGTCCTTTTAATACAGTAGATCATGTGTCTTTTTAATACAGTAGATCATGTGTCTTTTTAATACAGTAGATCATGTGTCTTTTTAATACGGTAGATCTGGTGTCTATTTAATACTGTAGGCCAGGCATCTGTTTAATACGGTAGATCATGTGTCTATTGGATACTGTATATCTGTGTCCTTTTAATACTGTAGATCATGTGTCTATTCGATACTGTAGATTTTGTGTCTGTT